CAGTGCTTCCTGTCAAAGAAATATATTCACATACTCTGTACACACATAAGCACGGTCTGTCCATAACATCTGTCTGCGTGACTGGGGGCAGAACACATGCAGGTGGCCTTTGTGGCTCCCATCACAGCTGGCTCTCCCGTCTTGCATGAAGATTTGTCCACTCAGGCTGGAGAATCTCACCGCGAGCGAGCATCACACGTCAGCACCACGTACGAGAGAGGAGCTCACGAACGGACGCACGTGCCTCGTTGCCTATGACCACCCGCGCCCGCTCGCTCACGAGCATATCCACCGCCTGCACGACGCCGCCTTCAGCTCCTCCACCCACGACACCGGCGCGTTCGTCATCACATACACGCTCCGCAGCCTCCACCGCTCCTGCGTCCTGCGCACCTCCTCGGCGCGCCGCGTGATCTCCTCGACGCTCGGATAGAATCAACAGATCCCACTCACGACTCTTTCAATGAAGGCTCTGCCGAAGTAGTCGTCGGTTCATCCTGTGCATTCGCATTCTCACCCGCACCACTGCTTGGTAACGCGTTCATAGACCCCTTGCTTCTCACCGTCGGGGAACCACCATTCCTGCCGATCGAATGTTGTTCTCGTTCCTGTCGTCTTGACTGCTCATGCACGGAAAGCAAATCACTCGTTGATCGTGCACGGGTTGGTGAAGTTGGAGTAGTTGCTGTCCGCGGGGTAGATGGAGATGTAGGCGACGATAAATGAATTGACTGTGAGGGAGGCGGTAGTACAAACTGTGACAATGTTTGTGGCTGGCTGGCTGGTTCAGGCTGCGTTGATGGTTGTGTAGGTTGTGATTGCGTCGGGGCGATGGATGCAGCCGTGGGCGTGGCAGATGAAGCGCGTGAGTCATCCCATGATGGTGAGGAGACGAGAACGGAGGGCGAGGCGGGATTGCGGTATTCATCGCGTTCACTTCGAGCGTTTTCAGGGGTCTCTGCACAACGATAGCACTGAACACAGGAAAGGGCCCATTGAAGTGGACAGCACGTACGCAACTCGCGAAATATCGCTTTGAAAATCCACTCAAATGCTGTCCGTATTTTGTCCTTACCTGCAGGATTCGTTGTCGCAACTTCGATGAGACCTACGTCATATTGCTGTAGCACTCTCGCGGCGCGTTTGGGATCAACATGCAATGGCAGGTCTGATTTGCAGGCAAGTACTATGGTCGGAAGTTTGAGGTGTGCAAATTCACCTAGACAAATCGTAGTCATTTTAGACTCACATTCGGGTGCACCTTTCAATGAGAGCACTTACGCAGGCCATCCGCAACGTGCTGAAAGGACTCCTCGCGTGCCGCATCATAACAAACAATGATCCCATTTAATGAAGGCCGTTCCCAATATTTTGCGCCACTCTGACTCAGATCCAACGCCGAGATGTCGACTTCGAGTATTCGAAGCAGGTAATCTGGAGAATTATGGCCGGCTGAGATCTTCCCATTCCAGCGGGTGTCTAATGGCAGCTATCAGCTTCGATGATCATCAGCGGAGGAAAGCAGCTGCTTACAAGGTATTTGGACATCATCGTCGGTGGCCGTGGGGCCAGCAGAGAAGCTGGACGTGGTAGATTCAGACAGCTTGTACGCCTTCAGACCTTTCCGTATGACAGTTGACTTGCCGCATCCCGCGGCGCCGATGACGGCAATAGATATCTGAGGTGATTGTGGAGGCTTGTGCACAATGACGTGTGAGATGAGAGCTTAGGTAGTGACGCTGAAGGGACATACCGGGGGTATATGGGTATCAAGAGACATGGGCGACTTTTGTTTTGCCATCTTGTGGCTCAGGCTACTGCTCCTTGCAGGGATGATCGGAGCAGGCGGGTGATTCGCATTGATGTTAGGGAACGAGCTCATGGTCTGCAATCGCGATGGTAGTCCCAGTTCGCCCGGCGGAGGTATGGCCTGATTGGACGCTGTCTTGCTCTTTCGTGCGCGCCTGGACAGGTCTTCTGAGCGCTCCATGTCGGACTCATCAAGAAAGTAGGAATGATCGCGCGCGTCCGTAGTAGCACCGGAACTTGTCCCTCTAGATTGCGACGGTATGAAAGGCGGAGGAGCGCCGCGCCTTTCGCGCTCTTTTGTGGGCATGCGGGAGGTGCTAGGCATCGGATCCCCTGCTTGACCCGACTGTGAAAGGCGCAGACGGGCCTCACGGGGATAAGCAAGGTTCGAAGACATCGTGTTGCCTCGAGTAGCGCGTGAGGCTTGAGGAGGAGGCTTGGAGCCGACAAAAGAGTCGACGGAGATGGATTTCCTCAGCGTGGAGTTGGGAGACAATGAATGTGAGGTCGTGGCGAGCTGGTTCTCCTCAGCGGAGACCCCGTTCGAGTCTGGAGGTGGGGAGAGGAAGGTGTCCTGCGACGCGTACGAAGAATAGCGCAGTGGCTGGGAAGCCATGCTGGAGGGCCGAAGAGAAGACGAGGAGGCGCAGTCGGAAGGTTCTGGCACCTGGAGGGATGGAATCTCAGGAAGGTCGATCGTGTGGTTTTTGGCGGTCATGAGAGGGCGTGCATCACGGTGGGAATGGCGTTGAGCAACGAGAGAGAAAGAGATGCGCGAGTGAAGACGGGAAGAGGGCGTCGCGGCCGACTGTGCGCATGCGACCCGCCCTCGCAGCAGCGCTGTCTGGGTTACCGTATCATGTGACCCCCGCCCGACGCGCGCTCGCGACCCCGACGCCTGCTCTCGTCTCGTACCCAAACCCTGTCTCCGGCTCTGCTGCGTGGTCTATCTTTGTCGGCAACGAGGGGTCAATGTGCCTCTTGCTTCGTGAAGCGTGTTAGTAAATTCTACCGCAGGTGCATCCAGACTCGTTCAGCGGCGGTCATAATTCGCAGACGCAGACGCGGACGCGCTGTTGCGTGTTTGTGTCTGATTGGCCCCGACGGTACGAAGATGGCAAGCAAGGAGCGGAGAAGAGCTTGACTGCCTCGATACTCACCTCATGCAATGTATATATGCCCTCATACGCAGACTGCAAGCGAGACATCTCACAGAATTCTACCCTTTCAAGAGTTGGCAACAGCGCGTCGTTGTAATGCTGTATTCTGTTTTTGTCTCTTCAGCCCATGTTTGATCTCGTCGATCCAACACATGTCGGCCGCATGTTTGCCACGATGCTCGCGACCATCCCTCACGCCTCAACAGGCAGCACCTTCATGTCGCATACTATTTCTTCCCCGTCCTCCCTGCGCAGGGCAGTGGCCCCGCTGGTGGACGAGCCCATCACACCAATCCCACCTCTGTATCCTCCGCCTAGCGTCGACAAAATGCGACCGAGGCGATATCCTTCCCGGGCTGCCTCCCACCCGTATCTCTTCACATTGATGACCCTTACAGCGATGGCAGAGCTGGGCCTCACCGCCTTTCTCATAAGCGCAGGCAATGAAATAGCCACCTGGGCTACCCCTGGATACTACCCTCTGTCCGTCGCGACTTTCGGATCGTGTCTTGACGTAGACTGACTTTAGCCTTTGGGCGATGCACTCAGCTTGATTATGCTTTGTTTCGATGCGGCATGGACCGTCCTTTTTGCGGGTGCATATGTACTGTGGGTCGTGGATGGTGCGGTGCACCTCCTTGCAAACATCGCTAGCTCTGTCATATGGCTTCTGCTCACTTCGGTTCTCTGGGTACGCTGAACACGTCTTGAAATGACTTCACGATACCGACCTTAGCACTTTTCCCAGGGTACCGGTGCCGGGTTAATGCACCGCTCTCGCGCGGGTGTAAATTGCCCCGAGCGTGCCTCGCTGTCGAGGTTCGTTCCAACACACCAGCCATTTCGCCCGCCGTATGATCTGAGCGTACACGCTTCAAACAGGTGCAGACAGACCGTTACAGTCGAGGCTCTTGGCTGGACCGAATTCGGCCTCTGCTGTCTTACCTTGAGTGCGACGCTACTATGGCTGAAGACTGGACTCGGGAAGAGAGGCAGTTACATTCGTGACTCGAGAACTTATGTGTAGCTTAGCGAAGTTGCGATTTTGGCGTTGTCTGTCGGGACTACTTTGTAGGACATGTATGTACTGTGACGATGTTGGCGCACCGAATGTCATGGAGACGATGGCTGGATTATGCGACAAGGCCTCTACCGAGCCATGCACACGGATCTCACATGCATTAGCAGCTCTCACGAGTGCTGTATCTCCAGCTTGCATGAATGTATGGCAGCGTACAGAGTCGTCGTCTTCTATGTATGTGAGTGGCACCCTGTGACAATGACGATAATAGAAGAGACGAACATCCATTCAATGAAGAGAACAACAACATGGTCCAGCTGCGCGAGCTGTAACAAGCACGTCTGAATGACGGCTCGGAGCCAAGAGCTTTTGACCGTCCAATCTACGCTACGCAATTAGAGCATCATGTTCAACTCCCGTGGACGGTACGCTGTTTCCGCAGATGCTCGATCAAACCTTTCGGGATTGAGCATCCGATTCCTCATCAAGAACAGTCGTCGGAATCCGAAGATGAAGAAGCACGAGTCTGCCTCCAGCTCGTACGCTGCTGACTGGAGGAAGATATCGTGAACTCGGGGGTTCAGCATTCCCGGGAGTGTCGAGCTTGACTAGCGAAGCGTTGAGACTGGTAGGCAGGATCCGAAGGGCAGCGATCGAGCAAGGCATTCCGCTCCAGTGAGATGTCTTGGCGGCGACAATTTAGGAGTACACCATACATCCTCAAAGCGCACTTGCATGTGCCCGGAAATGAGTGGGCAGCAACGGAGGTCGAATAACACTTCATGCAAGCGTACGGCGGACCACAGGACCTGTCTGCACGGCATCGTCCTCGACCCTTCCGTGGTGAAATGACAACCGCAAAGATAGCGAACAGAATAACATACCCCCGAAGTCGAAGCAAAGACCGAACGAGGCATCCATGATGAACCAATGAACGCATAAGGGTTAGATGATATAACATTTGATTGCTGAGCGCCAGGAAGCGTTGTTCAATCCTTGTGAGAGAACGGCCAAGTCAGTGGCATCGGTCCGAAACGGTCTAAAAATTTCATGGGAGCAGAAGTCACGGAATCAATCCAGCCGCAGTACCGCATGTATAACTGTAACTGAGCCGCAGTAGTAGTATTTGCCTCCTGTAGTCCGACGCGAAGTCTTGAGCGCTTGTTAGCACGATTCACGCTGGTAAGGTGGCACGACTTACCAGGATATATGTCGCTCATCACTGCTGCCCCGAGAGCTGTCGAGGCTTGAATCCCAACGAGATCTCCCTAATAACGATCTAAAGCTGAAAAACAGAAGTCCCGAGCAGTTTGGACCAGAGTTGAGCGCCGCGTAAGTTGAGTTATTACTATTCGTTGGGGATGCAGCCTTTCATTTTCATATTCACCATCCGAGGCGAGTGATAACTGCGAACCTGTCTGAATTGATGAAGCTCCTCTCCCGAGATCACGCTGAGGAGCTGACTGCAGCTAAAACGCACCTGTAAGCCTCGGACGATCGCCTGGCTCCGTGCCGCACGCTCTTCAAACAACCTGACGGCAGGAGACCTGACTTCTGCACACTCCAACCTGGAGAGCTTGCGGAATTGGACCAGTTCACTAAGATGGTGTATGGCACCCGAAGCCGAAAGCACGCTCCCTGGACATATCCATAAAGCGCGATTCTGCGTTCGAAGGGCTAGACACGCTGCCAGACTTCGCCCTGATCGATACGATCTGCAGTAGTATTGCGCGTGTACCTGGCATGATAATTATAATCCATTGGGCCCATGCGTTGCAGTCCGCAGTAGCTTTCTCGGGCACCGCGAACAGCACGCAGCAGCCTGTATGTCGTCAGAGACACCCATGAGAAGAAGATACGTCGTACATGCAGGCTTTTGGAAGATGTCCGAAGGGATGACGATGCAGGCCTTCATGTGCGTCAGGAGGTCCTGCACATAGCGTGCGCCAGACAAACTGCGGGGGGTACATGGTGCTATTTCTTGCGTTGGACGTTCCCTCGGGCCAATGCACCATACCATTCGGGGGTGTCGATTACGATAGCGACGTTCGGATGCCCTAGATTCAAAAGCAGCGGTCTATCAGGTTGCTGGACCAAAGAATATCGAGCTGCGCATGTAGAGCGTTCCATAAAGGAATACTAGTGGTGAAGCACGAAATCTATCACGGCATGCCTTCCGCCTTTCGGTCCGTACTGATTGCGTCGAACAGGGACGTCTTCCTTGCGGCCGGTCAGCTGAATCACAGGCAGCTAACACGGGCGCCGCTATACTTCCACCATGGCCCCCCTCGGGGGGTGAACATAGCATCCTCATCGTCGCGGAGAGCGCATTGGATAGAACCCGCGTACCTGATCACCCCAGGGGAGCACACAACTGCTATAATGGCAAGGATGCCGAGGAGATCATATGGCGGATCTACTGGGTAAAACTTGATGAGAAATCAAGATGCAACGAGCAACAGCTCGCCAAGGTTGCTGAGTTCAAACGAGGATGGCAGCAGAAGCGTTCCAGGTGAAGTCAGACGGTCGGACGCACATTCGGCATGATTCTAGACATGTTGGCTAGATCTTCTTCTGACTGCGTAGCCTTACAGTTGCAATAAGCAGTATGCGATTGGGGCCAGAGGAGCGGACAGAAAGCCAAAAGATGTGCGCGATGAGCAGAATGGACCAGCAAAGGCAGAGTGGCTGAGCATCTCGGAGATGGCGTCGGAACCGGGGTCCGGGTCTAGATAAGATAGCGTGATTATCTGATAAGTCACCTGTTGTCATCGGACGCAATCTGATAAAAAGGAGGCCTGGAGCTCCATCATCTTCCGATATGCCATCCTGCGCCGGGTCTCCCCCCAACATTTATTTCCTCATCACGTCCCTACGCACCAGAACCGCCTGGCCCTCCCGTTCATTCCGGTTCCTGCTCGTACCACGCTGCTGTCTCTACATAAAGTCGCTTGCAGCCTGACTCGCTCGACGACTGACTGACATGTCTCGTGCTGCTGTTCCCTCCAACGGCTTCGCTACCTATAGCATGTCGCCCAGCATGTATCAGCACGCAGACGAATCAGAAGAGGAGGACACGATCATCTCCGACGAAGAATGCGAGCCTTTGCGACTGCTGACAGAGGAGGGACGGTCCTCGCCCCTTCGAGCCTATTTGGTCCGATCTCTCGCTCTCCTTTGCGCCTGCTCTCTGAGCATCGGCAGTCATTAGTGAGTATCCTAGAAGGCACCATGTACATTCTTTTACTCACCGCCCCACTTTGCAGTGCATCATACATATTGGGACCGCTCAAGTCGCGACTGTCACGGGAGATGGGCACGAATAACACGGAATTCTCCCTACTCATCTCCGCATTCTCTCTGAATAGCACGTGGACCCCGTTGGTCGGCGGATTGCTTGCCAGTCGACTCGGAACAACGACAACGAGTATCCTGGCTACCGGAGTTATCTTCCTAGGTATGTCGATTGCCCCCGTTCTCCTTACAAAGTCCGCATGCTTAGTGGCGCAGGCCAGGCTTTGCTTCTATTCGGCAACCTCACCGACAGCGTTCGCTTCATGACCTTCGGTATGTGGGTCTATGGCCTCGGAGTTAGCCCACTGGCGGTTGTGCAAGAGACCATCATCGTACGGTTCTTTAGATCGCATGGCCTCGGGATCTCGCTCGCGTTAGGCTTGGTCGCTGGCAAGGGTGCATCATTCGTATCCGCTCGCACTTCCTATCCCCTTTCGGAACGCTTTGGACCGCACGCACCGTTCTACGCCTCGACAATCCTCACTGCCGTATCCTTCACTGTCAACATCATCTACGTGTGCGCGTCGAAGTGGCTCATCCGTGGTGCCGGCGCCGAACTTGAGGCCTCCGAGATCAAGGATGAGGCTGAGAACAGTCATATTTGCCTGACAGAGGCAGAGGCTCTGAAAAAGGTGGCGAAGAAACGTATGGTGTATCTCCGGGACATAACAAAGTTGGGTGACGTATTTTGGGCGTGGGTACAGCTCCCTTTGAAGTGATGTCCGTTCGTTGACGTCTCGTTTCAGTTACATCGGCCTTAATGTTCTATGCGGTGCTATATGGGCGCCGTTCACCCACCTTGCCGCGTACGTTCTGTTAAGCGCGTGCTTATCTCCATGCCGCTAACTGTTGCTTGATAATGAACAGGAATATCATTGAGAGAAGGTTCGGGTTGAGCGAGCGGGACGCCAGTACAACAGGATCGTACCTGCTTGCTGGAAGTGTGCTCCTATACCCTGTGGTACGGGTCTTGTCGAAGTCAAGAATATGTAGACGCTGAGTTACGTATCTGATTAAGACTGGCATCATCGTGGATCGCGTGAAGACCCGCGGATTTGTCACGCAGCTGCTCACTGCATCTTCCGTCTTTACTCTGCTGTGTTACGCGTGGTTTGCTTTGCCGCCGGAGTGGACCAAGACACCAATGCCTGCTGTCGCTGCGTTTGCTTCTGGTCATGGGTTCTCTCCTCGTAAGTTCTTTAAAAGATAGTAATGCCGAGTTTCCGTTCGACTTACGCACCTTGGATATCAGTACTCCTTGTGGTCATTGTCCCAACATTGGTCCCGGCCAAGTATATCTCGACGACACTAGGTGCCCATAAAGCGGTATGTCTTCATACACTCACTGCCATCGCACCTTTTTGACGATGACCGCCTCAGCTCGAGCAAGTTGGGTCGACGGCCTTCCAAACTCTCGCTGGTGTCGCTTTGGATATCAAAGGCAAAGGCAAGAATGCAGAGTTAAGCTCATTGACTGGCGACGACAAGGATCTTCAATACCTGTTGAATGCCTTCCTGCTCCTCAACGTTCTGCAATTTGCTGCTGTCATTGGACTCTCTCGCCTTGAACGTAGACGAAGAGAAGCTGTTGCTCTTCGCCGGAGCGCTCGTCTATCCGCGGTGCCAAGTGAAGTTGGCCATGATGACGATGCACCACCCCCGAAAGCCGAGGACTCGCGCGGACGAAAAATCTGGCGCGTCACCTCAAGCGAAGTAGTGATCGGTGAATGCAGTCGAGGGCAATCATGTTGTCGTGCAGACTCTTCCGGGGCAGCGGAGAGTGTCCCTCTTCTCCGAGATTCCTCGCGGACAGCGTCTTACCAAGACAACCGCTTTCTGATTTCACCAATTAGTCCTCGCAGTCATTCCCGGAGCACGCTCAGAGTGTCAAGATCAAAGGCAGTGATACGACGAGGCGAGTTGTTCGCGGCGATGTCGGCAATGATGATCGTATTTGCATGGGCGCTGTTCCTCGGGACGGCGTACTTGAAGCTGCGGTCCAAGGAGGAGAGGGGCAGCGCGGGAGTTAGAATGCCTGTGAGCTGATGACTGTTGACGTGTGTGAGAAACCAACCTATCTATATTCCCATGTATCAATAGAATATACCACGCACATATGTATGTACCAGTTAATAGCATACATCAGCATCTGGAGGCAAAATGTAACCGGGAATGAAATGACGACGACAACGGGTGGTCGCGTGTGCGAGCATTACAACCTCGCGGATCACAGTAGAGGCTGGCCCAAAGGCGCTGACACCTTTGACTTCGTGAGACTGGTTGATTGCGCAATATCTGTCCGCTATACACGGTTCTGTTCAGGATATGTAAACCAAAGATGCAGCTGATGCATATGGATATGAGCAATGAAATGGAGAGTCAATCACTCTGCGAAGAATCTTCGTGCACAGTGCGCCGCAGCCACAGTGGTCGTTGCGCGTAGCGAGCGGTAGTATTCTGAATCAAGGGCTGATCGGCAATCGCACGTGGTAGGAAATCTGAGATACGATCTCGCTGAAATTTCGATAATCGCGCTACCACTCGTTGGATACCGACACCCTCCGGTTTTTGGTCCTCTCTTCTGGCTAGGACAACATGGCTCAGGACGAGGACTTTGTTATGACCATTGACTCTGATGTGGAGGACGTCGCACCATCGATGAAGCCTGCGACGACGACAACAAAAATCCTGGCCGTGGAGGATGCGCAATTGAATCCCGACTTTGTATTCGATATTTCGGGAGATCCATATTCTGAACTGATGGAGGAGTCTATGAACTATTATGACTTGGTCAGGAGCGGCAATAAGCCGGTAAGAACCCGTTTGGACATCGCTCTGCAGTTTACACGGCTTATTCGTTCAAGGAACCTATCACTGTGGACGATATCATTGAACGGCGCAAACGTAATTCTCATACAGCCAAATGGCAGAACATGGAACCGGAGGATGAAAGTGACGAAAGCGCAGTATCGGACAACGAAGATCAGTCGGAAGACGAGGACAGCGGCTCGGACGATGCGTACATGGGACGTAAAGATGAGACGCATGAGGAAGACCCTCTAGCAACGTCTGACGAGAATTCTGAATCAGAAGAAGGAGAGCAGAGTGATGAAAAAGACGAAGAAGAGGACGATGAATCATCCGACAGTGAGTCGGAAGAAGAAACGCAGGCTGATAAGGACCGGAAAGCTGCGTTCTTTGCATCCGACAGCGCACCGTCTGAAGAGCACACGTCTTTCCTATCAATGAATCTCTCGCGCCCCATCATCAAGTCAATTACCTCCCTTGCGTTCCATAAACCTACGCCTATTCAAGCTGTCACTATTCCTGTTGCTTTACTAGGAAAGGACGTAGTGGGAAATGCCGTCACAGGCTCGGGAAAGACGGCGGCCTTCATCATCCCCATGCTGGAACGACTTATGTACCGCGACCGGGGCAAGAAGGCTGCTGCCACGAGATGCCTCGTCTTGGTGCCGACGAGAGAACTGGGAGTGCAATGTTTCGAGGTTGGAGCTAAGCTGGCTTGCCATACAGATATCAGATTCAGTCTTATTGTTGGTGAGTGAATACAACACCTCAGCGTACTCGATGTCTTTGCTTACTTTTTTTGCCCCATCAGGTGGTCTGTCCGTGAAGGCTCAAGAAGCGACGCTCCGTACACGGCCGGATATAATCATTGCCACTCCAGGTCGACTTATTGATCATCTACGCAATTCTCCCACATTCACCCTCGACGCCCTCGATATACTTGTGTTGGACGAAGCTGACAGAATGCTCTCTGATGGATTCGCGGAAGAGCTCACTGAGATCATCAAGTCGTGTCCTGCTTCGCGTCAGACGATGCTGTTCTCTGCGACCATGACAGATTCCGTCGACGAGCTTGTGCGAATGTCGCTCAACAAGCCCGTGCGCTTATTCGTTGATCCTAAACGCAGTACCGCTCGCGGGCTCATCCAAGAATTCGTACGTGTGCGAGCCGGGAAGGAAGCTGAGCGGTCTGCGATACTCGTTGCGTTGTGCAAGAGGACATTCAAGTCAGAAGTCATTATTTTCTTCCGCAGCAAAAAGCTTGCCCACCAGATGCGCATTGTATTCGGCTTGCTGAACATGAAGGCAGATGAGCTGCATGGTGATCTCAGTCAGGAGCAGGTTGGTGCTGACGTATTGATGAATCCCCGGATTCCGATGCTGACATCAGCGTACAGCGTCTCAAAGCCTTACAACAGTTTAGAGATGGTGCGGTGGACTATTTGATGGCGACCGATCTTGCATCGCGTGGCCTTGATATCAAGGGCGTTCAAACTGTAATCAACTACGACATGCCCTCGCAGTTGGCACAATACCTACACCGTGTTGGACGGACGGCTCGTGCTGGTAAGGTGGGTCGGTAAGTCGATTGCAACATCACCACATCGTTTGGTTTTATTGATTGCGCTGCGTGCAGGTCAGTGACTCTTGTCGGTGAAGCCGACCGCAAGATGCTCAAGGCGGCAATTAAGCATGCCACTGCTGAAGACTCGGTTCGGCACCGGCAAGTTTCTCCCGAGGTGGTGGCGAAATGGGCTACGAAGCTGGACTCTCTCAAGCAGGAAATCTCTGAGGTGCTGCAGGAAGAGAAGGAAGAAAAGCAGGTAATATCTTTTGGTTCTCTTTCGCATGCACTGTGCTCACTAGCTTCCTTTAGCTGCGCAAAGCCGAGATGGAACTGAAGAAGGGGCAGAACATGATTGATCACGAAGCAGAGATTTTTTCGCGGCCAGCCAGAACGTGGTTCCAAACAGGGAAAGAGAAGGCAAAGGCAGAAGGTAATTATCCAACAGGATGCATACATTTCAGGTAACCTGACCATATCTATGTAGCCGTGAGTAAAGAGCAGTACGAGAGCGGCACTGGTTCCACGAAAAGAGGGAAGGACAAGAAGGCAGACGACAGCAAAGTCAGTCACTCAGTATACTTCAGATTGGCGAGAGTAGTGACATTTGGATCCATATAGCCGAAAAGAGACAAGTTCGCTGGATTATCAAGGCGAGCGAAGCGTCGCAAGATGGCTATGGAAGAAGACGAGGAGGCCGGAGAAAATGGAGCTATTCGTGCTGCTGTGCGTTCCGTAAAAAAGGCCTCCAGACCTGCGAAAATCGGTCAGCCAGAGCGGAAGCCCTCATCGGCTGGTAAGAAGCGAGAAAAGGTAAAGGAAAGGAAGAAGAGGGGCAAGGCAGCGACACGCATAGGCGGTGCTTTTGACAAAGAGATGGGGAGAAGATCTGTCAAGGAGGGAGTCCGCGCGAGGAAAGGGGATGTTATTGGTGGGATGGGAAAGAAGAAGGGTATGAAACGGAAGGCGAAGTAGTTGGATGTGGCGGAGTGCTAGTATAGACGCCCATGTGACCTACCGTATGTGACGCGACGCGTCGCGTGCTCCCACAGGCGTTAGCACTTGTGGCCTGCTCTCATCTTCGCTTCTCTCGACGGTGAGGCAATGGTCTGCTGAGCTTTGTTGAACGTTTTGCATATTAATTGCAACAAAATACTACTGCGCGATCAACCTGTGCCCTGATCCATCCATTCAGGACGGGAAGTTGAGCACTGCCTGCACGCCCTGATCTTACGTTCTATCAACACATCGACGTTCTATGTGCTTGTGAACAATGGGGACGAACTCTATCGTGTCTCTAGCATCAATTCAGTTACCTTCGCCCGCACGCATCCTGCCTTCTTCATGGTGTCCAGATAAAGACTTGCTAGTGGTCATCACCCGACTGGGTACCAAGGACAGGATGAGCTTATGGAAGATGCAAGGATCTAAGAAGTGGGAAATCGGGTTTGACTTTGACGATGCATCAAGCCAGCACGAAGTTGTCAGCATCTCATGGAGTCCCGATGGTAAGCGGTCATGTAAAGCAATGCATTGACGGCTCACTGTGACTTGCAGGACAAGCACTCGCTGTCGCTCACAATCCTCCTCGTGTCACCATCCATTCAATCCAAGATGGCCACCAGGAACGCTCGTTACCAATCTCTCCGCCGCTGCAGGGACTAGGGACTCGGCGGACAGTCGCGCTGACCGGTATTTGGTGGTTCGCGCCAGAGCAGAGGAACACAAAAAACAGTATCCCTGATATATTCAAGCGAGACAATATTATCGTAAGTGCTATTAGTGACAGCGCATGGCATAGCCGATGACAAAATCACAAGACAGGTTCTGCTCACTCGGTCCTCAAGGGTCAGCCGTTGCTTGATTCCTTGCAAGATGAGTCGCAACCGTTAACGTGAGAGATTGAAAACGCGCGAAACGACGTTATATTAACGACCTGTGCAGTGCTGCCGACCTCTTTGCTTTCCACAGCACGCATACTCGGGCCCTGACATCATCTTTGCCGGAAATGATCTCAGCTTGGCCAACACTACCGCAGGATCTCCTTGTTGCCTCGATTAAGCCATCTAAGCTCTGGGGAGGCCCTCATCCCGGAGAGGATCTGGATGAGGTTGACACAGCAAATGTCGACAGCGTGCTGGTAGCCACTGATGACTCAGGACACATGTACGGTTTTCTTGACGGCAGTTATCCCCTCGGCGTGGTCGACCCGGGCTTGGAATTCTCGACGATCTCTCTACTGAAGGAGAAAGACCTGTTCCTGGCTCAGTCTCGCTTTTCGCATTCGGGACAAACGGTCGCGAAGCTGCTGCCAATAATTCTGCGATTACCGCAATTGCAACAACGTACACTACGCGAAGTGGCTAGAACATCATCTTCTGTGCGTGAGCTTGTGTGGTACACAATGCGCGTGGTCAAGGATATGCGTGCAGCTTGGTTCGGCTCCGACACTCAAAATGGCGCTCGAGAACTTGGTCCAAAGTGGGTGCATGCTCTCGAGGAAAGACAAAGGGTTGAGTTTGGCTGTAAGTATTTAATCGCTGTAGTCTTGTGTGAAAAGAAATCCTCACGTCTATGAGCAGACGATGAGCCCCATGCCATGCTGGATTTGACGTGTCTTCTGGCTACTGGTCGCACGTCCGAATCTTTAAGCGATTACCTCGGAAGCGGAGAACAAATGAGCGAAAGAGTTGGTCATGCTAAAATTGTGTTACTGTTGTATCGGTTCTGAAGCACTCTGCTTTGTTTAGGGCCTTCAGAAGTGGGAGTCAACGATGGTTGACGCGCTGACCAAGTTGCGCGATTATGCAGAGAAGAGAGTGGCTCCCGCCTGCCAACGTATACAGGTCTTGCTAGAAGAGGTGCTGGGATGGTCTCGACTGTAAGAACCTCCCCGTTGTATAAGATTAACGGGCTAATTCGAACAGGTCTCAATACGATGCCTGTGACCTCAATGCGTCTCACATACATACATGCCTTGAACTCACAGGCCGTGCCATCGTGCTCTCAGGATGGCTAGCTGCAACTGCTCGCCGTGAACTTGCCCGGTTCAAGGAGTTTATGACCTGGCTGAAACACGGTGTGTAGGAATTCCCGTCGCGAGTGTTCCGCTTGACGGAGCATTGCGTTAGAGACATCTCATGCAAGCTCATCGTCCGACCATAATCATCCCGCGCCCAAACATGACATCCTGGAAGTGAACGACTACCTAATGTCCGGCCTGGTGGTTAGCGCTATCGACAAGTGGTTCATGGGACCAGTTCCTTCATTCTCGCCTCACGATTTAGGCGTGCCCAGGGATTGGCAAGACCTGCACGCTGTGATGCATCGGGCTCGTGCTATACTCAACGAGCCGAAGCAGCTTGAATGGGGGCTCGTGAGTCCGTCCAGTCACCAATGATAGGGCATTCATTTCTATATCGTATTGCAGAACGTGAAGCAGAAAGATTTATCCCACCTTGATCGAAACCTTGATTCATTGATTCAAGATTTGGCGACACGCTGCCAAAGGATTTTCTTGCATGCGGCCAGCGCCGCGGCACGCTCAGCTATCGTTGTCTCCAGCCCCAGTCGCGCTGGAATTGACAGTGCAATTTCACTGCATGGCAGCAGTTCGGACTCCGGCACGCTGATGCGGGAACGAACCGTGAAAGAGACGACTAAGGTAATTCTTTAGCGGTGTTAATATTCGTTCACTAAGCGAGGCTAGCAGCCCGGTAAATTCCAACAATATCTGCTCATGCAGGCAGCGGGTATCAACGATCGGTCCTATTGTACGTATTGTCAAACGGATAACCGGAAGCCAAAAGGATTAATGAATGACTGATCATTCTCAGTGTGTATTTCACGAATGCGCGGCGGGTATCCCTCAGTACCAGCCTTCCACGTCGACATTGCTGTGCTCGCTTGCTTACTTCCGAAGCAAGACGAGCGTGAGGAGAAAATTCCATTTGATGTACTCGATGCGGACTTTTTTGATGACAGCAGTCTCGTGCTGGTGTACCGCATCGATCAATCAGGCAAGCCAAGAGATATTTTGCTCCACCCCAATGCTCACAACTAGAAGCAGCTTTCCTTGCGACTATTAGGTATTCTGATATAACCTACCACACAATAGAAGTGAAGCAAAACGTAAATGACTTTACAAGAGAAGCGTTGATGGCGATCGTGGTTCAAGAATTGCAAGAGAACAAGGTTCTTTGGAATATTCCTCATCTAAGCGGGCGCGCTTTACTGACGGCGAACTTCTATGGTGGTACAGCTACTCCCAATCAGTCCGCCTATCTTGAAATCCCGCCGCTTAACCGGATGCAGGGAAGGGTCTGCGTCCCTGGCAGTCAACGGCAGGGTTGGCCGCCGCGTCGCTTGCGTTCTAGATGATACGGGGCTGGCGTTGGAAATACTGGATATAGAAGGCGAGGATGATGAATCAGAGATGTCTGCGGTGGAGGCGTGATGAAGCAATATTGGTCTCCACGCTCGCGGTGCCTTCGGGAGCAATTCTGGTGGCTGCAGGAGGCGCCGTCCGCGTCGTCGGCATGGGTCTGCCACGACGCCCGAGCGTGTAATTCAAACAGCGAATATACGATTATTGCAAGAGGGTCCGCAGATAAAGTGCGCGACGAGGCCGCGAATATCACACGTGCGGCGGCGATATGAGTGAGCGGACAAAAAAGGGAGGGCAGGGTCACACGGATGGGAGACCGCCCACAGGGTCGGGCCACAGTTACAGTTTCGAGCATCGGTTTGCCGGACCTGTGATTGAAAAATGTGGTTTAGGCTCGCTGATGAGAATGAGCACGAAGAAACATCAACTAATAGAATTTGGCGTGACTTTCCGCGCCGAGCCTTCAAGCCGTGTAACCGGCGAAGAGGACCCTTTCCTCGTGCCCTCCGTTCCAGTTCTTTTTGCCATGCCAGTTTATATCCCGCCCTGACCCGAATCTTGGTCAATCATACGCTCTGTGATGTCCCCTAGTCCATCTGCACAATCTAAAGCCAGCTCCGACGACAATGCCAGCAAAATGTCGGAGGCGGCGCTCAGAAAGAAGAAGAACGCCGATGCGCAGGCCGCCTTTCGTGCGCGACGTGCAAACTACATCGCTACCCTCGAAGAGACAGGTTCGACGGCGTCGATTCTTACGAGAGCATGAAATCGATATTCATCTCTCTTGCTTCTAGTCACAAACCTCGAATCCGTGGTCATCCAGCTCCAAGATTCTTGCAGTGAGGTGAAGGAAGAGAATGCTAAGCTGCGACAGGAAGTCGCTCGCTGGAAGCAGGAGGCCAGACAGCGAGATCGCATGTTGAAGACGTTGTGGCAAGAGCGGGGAGCAGCCAATCTCAGCTCACAGTCGCACGATTATCCTCCTGCGCCCCCATATTCAGCTCACCCATCACCGAGCGTCATCACGTCTCCAATGAGCACTACCCATGTCGGCCAGTACATGGACAATGGCGTGCGGTATCCAGCCCAGCCGGTTTCCCTCGGCGGAGCATTCCAACATCCTAGCATGGGGTCTGGACAGGACTATTCGCAGCGTTCGCCTACGGTGACGATGGCCAGCAATGTAGGAGCAGAGACGTCTCCTGATAATCGGGCGCATCACTTGGATGCACAGAGGATGTCGCGATATGAGCAATACTCGTACCCTCCGGCCAATACCACTAGCGATGGGGCATGGATGCAGCCAGAAGCTCAGGCGGGGCTATCGCCCGAGGTCTTCGATGGCAGCAGTTCGTCGCATTCCCCGAACTATCTCGAATCGCCCACTCTGACATCATCAGAGCTGGCATATTCGACGCAATATGGTCTTGATGATCAGAAGGCATCAAGTTCCTTGACATCCTTCGACTCTTCTTCCTACCCTCCCCCACCCAGCCGTTCAATCTCCCCAGCAGCATCCACGCCAACATCAACTTCATCGACAACATCGTTGGCACCCGCCCCATTCTCGTTCACATTTCAGGACAGCTCACTTGTCCAGGACCACTCTGAGCTTGGCTATCGCCGGCAACCACAGCTGACTTTGCACGGAGGAACTGCTGACATCTCGATGATCACCTCGAGCCGTGACGCGGCCCGTTACCGACCCAACGGCCGCTCCAATCCGTTAACCGATCGTCCGATAGCTCAAGCTCTCGCTTCTTACTCTCGGAGGGAAAACGGTTCCGGTGGCCGCGAGAGCGATGACAGTGAATCATACGCATACTCTAGTCGTTCCCGTACGAGAAGCGAAGCTCCCTCTACTCATGTCTCCCGTTCACCTTCTCCCGCCCCGCCGATATGCGGAACGCTTGCCGTCATCAAGGCACAGGCTTTTGGTGCCTTGCGACGAACGAGGAATCGGAGTAGGAAGACGTCGGAGGGCGCTGCGAAAGCGGCAGTAGAGGCCTTGGAGGCGAGAGGTATTGGGATGGGGGTTGCCATAGGATCGAAACGACCGCGTCTGCACATCGACGACGACGATGATGTGCACAATTGAAAACACATGGCTAGATATCATGACAAGTTGTACTGATGACACATCCGCTGTAGTCTTGGAACTCTGTAGACCCATCTACACATGCTTCGCATTGCTTACTTATTTGCTATCGTTGTTGCACTTCATGTAGGATACCATTGATATGTAATATACCACTGCCTTCGATGTTGGCTTCACTACTCGAACACCGATGGATGTGGCCATATTCGCTCGCGCTGTGATGAACGAGCGTTAGGAAGTCTGACAATTGCGAAAAGGCTGATATACTCACATACAATCAGTTTTTGCCAAAACAATATTGATACGTGCTGTGCGAAAAGCCGAAGGGGACCTCGGGGAGGCCCCGAACAAGTGACGTGAGATCGGCGCCAGGACCACGATGAATCTGTTGCACATAGCCGTGATTGCGGATGATACCCGAGCAACACGCAGAAGAACGACTCTGCCTCGGAAGTATGAGGCTTCCCTTGTATTGGTCCATATGAACGAACGTGATCCACATGTGACGTGCATGGGCAGCGACTCATGATGGACGCCCGTTGTATGATCGTGAGATGCTCGACACACATACATTGTCAAAAACGCGCCCTGAGCTTGTCGGCGAGCGGAAGTTGCACGTCATTCCTCATATCCGGACACGAGGGCCGGTCAGATTTTACTTTGACGTATTGGAAAGTCGTTGACGATATTGACTGCAGTGCGCTTAAGTCACCTCTGCTTAAATAGCCGAAGGCTGCTGACCAGACAACGTACTGGCAAAGAGCACCGTTGAATGCTTATCGCCCCTTGAGCACGTGGTATGCATCAAGAATCTAGGCGGTTGCAGAAGATGTCGTTTCGTGGGTACACACGCCGTACCATCACGACTTGCACGACCTCCGATCGGGGCCACCAGTCCTGATTATGAAATTGCCCTCTAAGGAGTGACTCCGAACCTGTCGGGCTTGTTAAGGACAGGCACGGCTGGATCCCATGTGCCCCTAATCTCACTGCGGCGGCGATAGAGCGATGCGAGCAATGAGTCAGTCTGACCATCCCGACAGCGGCATGATGAACGTACTTTTTGTACTTCTGCGCCCAGATCAGAACTCCCGGCCCTACGAACATCACAAAGCTGAGTGATATGAAGACAAGACAGGTCCCGATGCGTGACACAGAAGCTGCCAGGCGAACTGAAGATCCGCACAAGCTAAGCGTCACAAATCCCTGTAAGAACCCGGGACCGGTCTATGGTAGAAGTCAGAGTCGGCGACCCTGGAGGGAGAAGGGGGCATCACCTGTAAGCGACGGCGCAAGATGGGAAATAGAGCGAATAGCTGCACGGAGAACAGCATGAGCGCAAAAACCGATTGGTCATCCGGCAATCGGGAAGCGAGAACTACGGCTGAAGAGATTGCAGCATTCATAGACAGCACTGATGTCAACCTAGAGGGTCATAATCGTACCACGAGAATTACCATATACGGCCGCTTCACACTCACCTCTCCTGGTGATGGATATAAGCACGAAGAGGGGTATAATCCGCCAGTAGTGCGCTCAGCACGAAAAGACCTGCTGACAACGCCCATATGGAATCTGAGGACGTCGCAGCTGTCAGAGTGCGCAATACCGGAGACAATGCCATGAGGGCCAGAAAGACCAATATAGATGACTTCATGGCTTTGGCATCTGCATGAATGTCACGTTGCGCGTGAGGATTGGAGAGATCAGGGAGAAGGTTTGAGGGCACGTACGATTTGCCCCGGTTGACGTCTTGCTGTCACTACGGCAGTCGACCAGCTCCCATAGGGCATATCCCGTAATGAATGCACCAATAGACATCCATATGAGAACACGAGCATCCAATCTGCTCTCATTCAACTGAATGAATACAGCAAGGAAGATGAAGATTGTGGCGAGGTGCTGGCTGATCGCGCAGGACGCGCGGACTAGATACCAATACGTGTATGGTACGAAGTTAGCTGATGTTCGCCTAGGTGAGCAGAACGTATTCCTCCGCAAGGGCATACAACTTACAATTCCTGGAAAGAGACGATAGGAACGACTTTGGCACGTAGTTATCCGGGTATGATTTCTTCTTCCATAGCACTCTGTCCCATTCCGCTTCCCATGCGGCTTCTGTCATTCATATGGGGGTTGTTATCGGCCAGCGACAAACACTCCGTCTTGGCGACGATGATGCTAAGGAGTGTGTAGATATAGCCAGCTTGCGTGCGGTCGCGACCGTCGGTCGCGTGCGCTATCCTCCAGTAGTGGTGGTGATAGCGACTGCTTCCAGAGTATTGGTGTTCAACAAGCGCCCGTCATGTCCATTGCAATATTGTAACGTAGCTTTATTATTATTTACGTGGAAATTACGACTGAAGCATATCCCTCTGTACAAATGTTTGCGAATAAGGAGGGCACCTTCGATTAACCAACACTAGTACTGGCACTGCTGACCCACGTTGGCATGTTTGTATCATACTGTTCGATTGCGAACGAAGGGCAACTATGATAATAAGTCAGAAGGGACGAATCGGCGAAGCACTCTTCCTACACGAGAATCTGCTTCCATACATTTTGCTGCAAGAACACGTAAATGACTGCCTTCGCGGAACTTGTCGTCGGTGGATTCTGCGAGCAAATTACTGGTTGCGTAGATTGCGGGGCAGCACATCAGCTTGAAGCACGAGGCACGCAGCATCATCGAAGATAGGTTGACGTAACGGAAGTAGCTCGAATGTACGAATAGCATGGAATAATGCGGCGGTCAATCCCACTGCAGGCGAAGACGTCAGGATTGACGTGTCTTCGGCATGCAAGAAGGCAGGAATGCACTCACCACGAGCCTCTCTTCTTGCTTGGGCTCCGGTGCCCTGGGAGCTTTCTTCGATGCCTCCAGCTGTGCTGCCAACTTACCCCGATTTGGGTTCGCAGCCTGCGTGCCACGCTTTTGCTCCTGAGATGGAAAAGTTGTTCGCACGAAACGTAGTAGAATATATCTTATAAAACTCACCGCCTGACGCCGTTTCTCAGCAGCCTCTGCAGCAGCCGTGCGAGCGCCCGTCTGGGGCTGGCCTCCGTTAGCTTGTGAGCTCAGCGTGTGTCCTTCTTTGCCTTTGTTTATTGGACGGAGAACGGTATCTCCGCCCGACAGAGTGCTTGGTTTTGAACAGAGCGAGCCCATGTCGGTGTGTGAGATGGGACAGTGCACACTCGTCCTCGATGCGTTCCGTAATCATCAACACATTGGCGCAGTGCCTCTGATGGCAGTGTTGATTTGAAATCAGGTGCTGACGACAGCGGCCCAGCCGTCAACAAGGTCAAGAACGTGCAAGAACGTGCAGGTGTGTGTGTATGCGAACCCGAGCGGTGGCAAGCTGGCTCAAACGCCCAGGAAGAAGGTCTGTTGAACGATAACCCGAAGCATCTTCATCAAGCAGGGCGGAGCTCAGATTCTGACTGTCTGGTATTCACAACGTTGTGAACGATAATAATGAGATATAAAAGAGCGAATAGTAATACATATAAGAGCACGATGCAGAGTCATAATGTAGGTGTCACAGATACGCTGATGTACTGATCCCGCCTGTCGTCTTGCCCTCGATTCCACAACCCGCGAACACGATTCGCGAGCTCAAATCCAATGTCTTCAGGATGTCTCTGAGGGATCCATGCCTGCATTGACTTTGTAAGATGAACTTTGTCATTCGCAGGCTGAGCAAGGGGCTCACCTCCCACCACCGTCTGCTTGTATGCCATGGCAGGCTTGTATCGAGGCCGGCTTTGATCATCCTACCCTTGATACCAGCCCCAAGCAAAAGACCGAACACAGTTAGCAGGAAGATAGTCACCACGAGCTGGTCCCTTGGCGAATCTCGCTCTGGGAAACGGACCAATCAACGTGAATCCACAACCAGAGCGCACACTCTTTAGACTCACGAAAGCACCTTGCTTCGACATCACCCTCTTTACCCGTTGCTGTGTCAGGGTCTGCATCTCCTAGCGTGGCACCTGCACATATAGGCAGATTCTGGTTTAGACACCATTGCTTCGTGCATGACAGGCAAGGTTGCTTCGGATTGTCAGGTATCTCCATGTGCAAGATAGTGTAGTTGGAGCCGAAACATATGCCTGCATAGCAAGGACTATGAGCGCATGCGAATTGGAGTTGTGTTTGAGTTCGACGCACATTTACAGAGTTCTGTGGCCTCCCATTTTTGACCGAGGATAGCATGTGTGGACAGCTACATTTGCGAGATACTCCTGTGAATTTCAGGCTCTTTCCCCGAGATAGCTTGGTGGTGCTCACAGCAAGGCACAGTATTAGCAGCAGAGCGCAGAACCATCGCGACGAAGTCGACATGATGAACGGAAGAAGGATGAGTACATGCGCGAGCTCTGTCAGACGCGCTAGTCGCGCCGTCTCGCGACGCGTCTTACACCTAAACCTCCATCTCGAGTCTGCCACCAGTAAATCATCGCCCGGTGTCTGTCCACCGGGGCCGTGTCAGAACTACGCCTTGTGCAGTAAAGTAGGATGGCTAGTGAATTCGAAGATGTGCTCACAAACCAGCCGGTAGTCATCGACAATGTATGTCCACTTTATTGGGTTATGTCCCGCTCCGTCCATTGACAAGCGTTTGGTCGCATACAGGGATCGGGCACTATAAAGGCTGGGTTTGCAGGACAAGACCAACCGAAATGCTTCTTCCCGTCCTTGTGCGTCTTCACGGTTAGGGACATCCCACATCGCCCGTGCACAGCGCACTAACGTCCGTATCATGGTGCACTAGTGTGGGACGGCCTAAGCACATACGTGTTATGGCAGGCGCTTTAGAAGGAGATGTCTTCATTGGCAAGAAGGCTCAGGAATTCAGAGGACTGTTGAAGATCAAATACCCGATGGAACATGGGATAGTGACTGATTGGGACGACATGGAACGTATATGGAGTTGGGTGTACGCTGAAGAGCTCGGAACTCTTAGTGAAGAGGTTCGTCTACTTTGCCTACTTCATCACACCCGATGATAATGTTCGTCAAAGCACCCCGTATTGTTTACAGAGGCACCTCTGAACCCTCGGCATAATCGAGACGTGGCGGCCCAAATCTTCTTCGACACCTTCAATGTGCCTGCACTCTTTATTTCTGTTCAAGCTGTCTTATCGCTGTAAGCACGCTTTCATTAATTAAGCCTCCATTGTACCGAGATGCGTTGCATTCAGGTATTCTTCAGGGAGGACAACCGGGATTGTGTTAGATTCTGGGGATGGTGTCACACATGCTGTTCCAGTGTTCGAAGGTTTCTCTATGCCGCATGCAATCCGACGAGTGGATGTTGCAGGACGGTGAGCATCACTAGCCTCGCTCATTCGGCCCTGCTCTCATGCCAGTGCTTAGCGACGTGACAGAACATCTCCAGCTATTGCTGCGCAAATCAGGACATCATCTGCACACTACGGCTGAACGGGAAGTCGTTCGTACCATTAAAGAGAAGTGTTGCTATATTGCCCTCAACCCCGCAAAGGAAGAAAAGGATTCCATTGGGCGGAACGAGGAGTTCCGGCTGCCCGACGGCAATACTGTGCAAGTGCGTGTTTGTTACCTGTATGCTAAGGGCGTAGCTAATGAAAGATGGCAGCTCGGCCCCGAACGATTTCGCGCGCCAGAGATCTTATTTAATCCAGAGTTAATTGGTCAAGAATATGCTGGTGTACATCAAGTAGTAGTAGATTCAATCAACCGAGTCGACCTTGACCTGCGGAAGAGTCTGTTCTCGAACATCATTCTCAGCGGAGGAAGCACCTTGTGTCGTGGTATGTCGTTTCTTGCGTCTATCGCGCCTTCTCTTTCACGATATTTTTAGGATTCGGTGATCGGCTGCTGAATGAGGTGAAGAAGATGTCCCTCAAAGACGTGAAGATAAAGATCTATGCACCGCCGGAACGCAAGTATTCAACTTGGATCGGGGGATCCATCCTTGCCGGATTGAACACGTTCAGAAAGGCGCGTTTTTCTCTCACTGGTACACCTCTCCCAGGCTCATGCATGTCCGGCCACAGATGTGGGTTTCTGCAGAAGAATACCAGGAAGATCCGGATATAATTCACAAGAAGTTGGGATTTTGAGCTCTTTACCTTGTCATGTCGTCATTGCACTGTGCTTTCTTCCTGTTCGTACGCAATATCCTAGACCACCCATGCGATACCCACAATGTACTGTCCAGGCATCTCGTAATATGATGGTATCAGAGGCGAACAGAGCAATGGGGGACCCGCAAGTCCTACGGCACATGTGCAGTGCTGCAGCGCGGTCGAGGTGACGGTCATAGTTCGGCATGCGCATAGGACTCATGAAAGCGAGGAGAAGGCCAGCATACGCAGTACGATACAGTTGGGGCACAACGTTTGCCCCGCGATGGGGTGGGGGATGAGGGGGACGAATGTGGTATGAAATGCAAGAGACGATGAAAGCACCGATAATACACGACGCGCCCAACCATTACTTGCCCTTCTTCGGCGGCTCCGCAGCCTTGACTTTTTTGGTGCCACGGAGCTATGAGCGTAGAGTCAGAGTCGTAGAGATGAACTAGATGCAAAGACATGCTGACCTTCTTCGCACGGTTCTTGCGCTCTTTCCGCAGCTTACGGTTGGTCTTAGGAGGCGCCTGGATAAGGCCAAGCTGTATATAAAACGAGTGAGATTGTCCGGTCTTCGCTCACGTCAAAACAGGGAACGTACCCGAATCAAACGGTACTTGGGCTCAAACTTTCTTTGCGATGCCTCGTCATCGTAAATCAGCGCAAAGCCCGTGCTGCGTCCACCACCGAAGTGTGTCCTGAAGCCGAAGGGAACGACGCGTCCCTTTTCGGCCTTGTAGATCTTCGCGAGCTGCTCGGCAAGCTCGTCCTTCGGCACATTTGCTCGCGATGGGTGTAGGACGTCAACGACAAATTGGCGGCGGGAGAGGAGGCGGTTGGTAATAAACTTGCGGGTCCGGATGGTGATGGGTGCTGCTGGGTCGGTCTGCAAGTCGGGCAGCACGTCAGTCATCTATTCCACTCCCCTGGTCCGCTATGGTACATCCCGCCATCATGTCCTCCATCCACCGAACTGCCGACCATTCCCCACCATTCCACCGCACCCAACGACTCCCACGACATCCAATACGCAACAGGAATAGCACTCACCATGGCTAGTATCCACGCTTTTCTGATTCCCGTAAGCTGGACGTCGACTGGGCCGTCGAGGAACCTTCCCTATCGGGGCAACACGGTGTGGGACAAATACGTGTACATACCATTGTGGCTGAGAGTTCTCAGGCCGCCGGTCCGGCAGGGATGTGAGGCTGCGCTTTACTCTTAAGTCACATCGTCCTCAGTACTCAGGGACGTTCCTGTCGGTGGCGGGCCAGATACCTGTATTTATACTGCTCCTTACGCATCTGTTACATCTGCATCGATTGCAACGCGTGACCATCATGAGTAGAACCAGCTTCGCATCATCGTTCGCCCCTTATGTGAGTACGTCTGCGTCCTGGTGTCGAGAAAACGTATTCACCGAACATGCGTAGACTCCACCACCCGATGACCCATCGTATCCGTCTTCCTCTAGACACACATCACGCGCATGGCCCCCGCGAGCATCCTCACAACAACCCATGTCATACCAGTCTGGAGCTGTTCCGACTTTCAACACCTCTCAAGCCGGAGGCCCCGGCGCCGTGGAGGAGGCAGCGGCAGAAAGTGGGGCGCAAATTTGGGAGACACGATTTGGTGCGAGAGTGGACATACTAGCTGCGTTTGCGTATCTGCTCGGGCCAATATCTGGTGAGTCGGGTGTCGCGACTCACGGATGCGCACCAAATGAAACTCGTACACAGCTCTGCTGCTACTTATACTGGAAACCGACAATGACTACGTGCGATTTCATGGTTTGCTCATGTAACCTCTCCTGTATCAGTCCAGTGGCTCATTCTCGCTTCGCCTTAGCATACCAATCAGCCCTGCTGTCTACGCCCTTGATCTTGCTGCGGATTTTGGCGTCCCTGCTTCAATTCCCATCCTTCATGCGCACAATCCTTACGTTGATAGTAGCAGCGCCTTTGCTTTACATGACGTGAGTGCATTGATATTGACCGGAATGGAAGTCTCTTGCTTATGTTCTGCGTAGCTGGCAGGCGTACATCGATGCCGCCCGCAATGGTTTGGTGCGATTTCAGCTGCCATGGATTGGACCTATGGCCGACCGATGGGTATCTGAAGAGTAGCGATACCATGGTTCCGTGCTTAGAGCCTGAGCATCAGACATGGAGGCCTGAGAGCTCTGCTCCTTGTCTTCGACATCCTCTGTATTTAATGCAGCTTACCCGGACACCGGTTTGCCTTCATACCGGTTTTCTCTTAATGACGGACTTAACACATGCCCTGCAGTCCGTCATTAACTCCTTTTGTTTACACCACCAACTCAGAGAGTCACCGGTCCACAGTTCAAACTTAGCTTCGTCTCGGAGTTGCAACAGTGGGATAGATTGTCAGCGATGCATGCAATACGAATGCAAAACGAATCATGATACACAACGATGCGAAATACTATCAATACATATGAGGGTCCAGCCCTTGATTATACATGGTCATGATCGGAGGAAAGGGAGGGGAAAGGGTCGCCCGTCGTGTGCTCAAAACGTCTCCGTCATAGCGGTAGGCACAGGCCAACAATCTCGACACCGGCTTCGCATGCCGTAGAGGTGGCTTGACCGAGGAGATCGCGAAGCAGTGGTACCAAGTCGTTGATAATTGCATCGGTCAGATTCTCCGTGGCATCGAGGACTTCGTCAATGATACACTTGATGTCATAGACGGCTGTATGCGCAATGAGACACATCATCGCCACACATCAGGCATGAACTTACTGGGACCTAGGAGGGGTCCAATCCCTGGAATGCTCTCGATCGCTTCGTAGGTATCGCCCAGGATGTCCTTCACAGCATTGACGGTGGCCTTCAGCAAGGTCTCGAGCTGATCATTCTTGTTGTAGTTGGCTAGTCCCTTGTCCGCAGCTAGCGCAGCGAGGACAGATTGGAAGCCACGGAAGTTGGTGTTGAAAGACGATAGCTCGGTCAAATATTGCTCGCTAAAGTCGGCGTTCGCAGCACGCTCAGACGCCGGCTCGCTAGCCATGCCACCTGCTCATGGTTTAGCCTAGTGGGTATCATTGAGGAGACATGACACGCACGGATTATGTTCGCGTTTTGGTTCATCTGCGCGGAGTACGAGCTCAACATGTCAAAATTATTCATGACGCTGCTGTCCGCTTGGCGCTTGTGAGTTGACACGGACGAAGAGTGAGCAGAAGACGCAGGCCCATGATCAGCGAGATGCGACTTGAGAGTGACGTTGTGGTCATGATGCGAGCTGCCGTCGGACATTCTAGACGAGAGATCCGTCCGCTGAGCCAGGTCCATGGTATATGCATTCAAAAGTGGGAGAGGCAACGGCAGGGGAGACGCAAGAGCTGGAGTAGACCATGTCGAGATGCCAACCAGTGAAGCAATAGCCGCAGCGTGGAGAACCAGGAAGAGGGCGCGCAGGATGGAGGACATTGTGATTGAGGTACCGATAATTAGTTTTGAAGATAAGAGGATGCGAGCGGCTAGCGCTGCAAAAATATGAGACTAGGTAGAGTATAAAGCAGACGAGCGAAAGACGGCGGGCGTTCGGGACAAGACGTGACAAGCGAGTGTTGAAGTTGAGGAGACCTCTTATATAGCGCGACTCAACTGAACCTTGTTTGACGGCTCGGCCATTCCTCCGCATTCTCATTGGCCCCCACCGACGCGTCGCGCTCACGTGACTCTAACACCGTTTTGCCACCCATATAAGCGCCTGAATAGTATCTAATCGCAATTTTCCGACGAAACAGAATCGGTATATGTGGCACTCCTGCAGACAAACGACACAAACATGCAGCTTGCGGCATAGTACGTACTACATGGACGCCACAGGGGACGTGACCGAGCATGGGGCGACGTGAATGTAAGGAAACTATCATCAGTATGAGAGTCCAGAATGTACGTGAGTATCCATTCCAACGTTGCAGCCATGTAATGACGAGCCCAGCCCGAACCAAGCGACGCGGGTATAATTTAAAGAACAGTGGCTCTCAAGGAAGGTGGGAAAGTTAGGAGAATATAAGGTTGTTCATGATGATGATACGTCGAGGACATTGCCTCAGGTGCTTGCGGTTCTGTGCGTCCAGCTGAGCAGCTGAACCACACTCATAGTTTGATGCACGATTTCCCATCTGCAGACCGTTTGTAACCCTGTGCACAGGTATAAACTTCCATATCGTGGTCAGATGCCCATGATCTCGGTTGATATGACATGACCCGACTTACTTGCGCAGTGCCCGCGCACGCACCCCACATTCCATATACCCTCGATGGCAGCGCAGTCCTGTCCTTCTCCAGTGGATGCGCAACCACCGCACGACTCAAGCTCAGCGATGGTATCGAGGCACTCATAGTCTCCCGTGAGCCCACCCAAGCCGGCAATGGGGCAAGCCTCCAAGTTGTCGGGGCAGAGGGGGTTGTTACGCGATTTCAGAATACGTTTGTGGTGCGAGCTGATGCCCTTTGCAGATGGAGTCGGCGATGCGGACGTCGTCGTGGTGTGGGGCTCGCAGCAGGTAGAGGAAGACTCGTTCCACTCCCAGCCACCAGAGCACTGGGGAGTAGGGCTTTGATCAACCGGCTTCTTCGGAACACAGGCCTCTTTGCCGTCGTGCCAGTACCAGCCGTTTGTAGGGCATTGCTCATTCCCCTGAGGAGGCGATGTCGTATTGGATGTACCGCCATACGGAAGACAGCAGTCTTTGATTCCATAACTTTCGAGAAAGCACACGTCAGCAAAGAGAGAAACGAAGCATAAGGCGACTTTCTACAAACACTCACTAGAATTCGGAGTCTGCGCAACTGTCCGAGCCAGCGAGTACGAAGGGAAGCGCGGCGGCCAGGAAAAGTAGGGCGGAAAAGCGGGCCATGGTAAACGATCGTGGGCTCAAAGGAACGACAGACTGCTATACGATGAGAGGTGGGAACCAGAAAGGCGAAAAGGCGAGATTTAGCCGACGCCTTTATGGTACCGGTCTTCGGTCACCTAACAACGGACTCCGGCCGATCCGTGCACCGTGCGGTAGCGTTGGATCGGTGATTGGATCGTTCACATCACATTCCTTGGCGGTGTCAACAGAACGTGCACCGGTCTCACCAACAATTGACGCGCTCGTACTCACCAAGATAAGTAGAGGCGCGAGACATGGGACCATGGAGCGGCATGTTACTTGCACCGACAAATCACCGATCTTGGCAGTCGCGCGGAGTAGTCATTGTCATGCATCCATGAGGTCTGTTTTGCTGAGCTTCTCTGAAAGCTCTTCTATCGGCTACCATAGGCTAGAAACCAGATTCCAGTGGCGCGGTTATTCTGAAACCTCTCCAGGCCTGTCACTGCTTGATTGTCGAATAAGCCACCACGCCTTTGATACGTCAACCGGAGCCTGACGAATAGAGACATCGTGACAAAGCTTGTACATTACATTCTTGTTCTTCGGCCATTGACAACGGTAAGAAAACAAAGAGAATGTGGTAGAATAGGAGCTTCGAATGGCGATTGTAAGGACTATATATGGACACCCTCAAGCTAACGTTCAGGCACATATTTCAGAAATCGACATTTATTGCTGCACGATCAAAGAGTACTCACCTCCTATCTCATGTGCTTTCTGCAGCGCACGGGATGCGAAGAATCGCACGTCAGCATCCTGGTCATTTTTCAATACGTCTAATACCGGGACAATCTTCTGTTGCGTCAATTGCTTTCCCTCTGGACTGCTGCCGAACGTGTCAGCAAGAACTTCTAGAGCCTTAGCGACATTAAAGCGGATGTTGGGTATAGGGTCATTCGCCAATTGCAGGAGGGTGTCGAGTATCTCTCCGCGAACGATATCGAGAGTGAGGGACGGAGCAATGACCTTGTTCAGGTGTAAGGGAACAATCTACGCAAGAAGAAAAATAATACTCACTGTGATGGCCTGCACAGTAGTCATTCTATAGAGGTAATTTGGGTGCTGACCCATGCCGACCACCTTCGGCACGATCTGGACCTTGGCCCAGTCAACGCCAAAGACTTCTGTGAGCTTCTTCAAGTTGACGATAGCGGCCTCCCTAATGCTGAAGACGGTGTCGCCAAGCCAGGACATGCAAAGGTTGCCCAGCTGTTCGTCGAAGAATTCCTTGCCAAGCTGGGTTGCAAGAAGAGGGATATATTCGATGATGGCCTGTCGCACTCGCCATGATTTGTCTTCGGCCAGTTCAACAATGGCCGGTAGCAAGCTCTCCGACAACAAATCAATACCAATCACTTCGACCACGTCAGCCCTTACAGATACGAAAAGATCTGCGCACGTACCCGCGTTGACCTGTTCAAGCTTGCTGATGATATTTAAGCGAACCTCCGGGAACTCATCCTTGAGCAAATGGAGGAACAACGGAAGCAAGTGTTCAATCGTCGAGTCCTTGCCGAGCAACGGAGCGAGACCACTGATTTGGTTTGCAAGAGAAGCTCGGACGTGTTGGGAAGTATCCTGACAGAGTTCTCGCACGCATGGAATAATACGTGCAAGGATCACTTCCTTCTCGAGAAGCTTGGCGAAGCCTGGATGAACGTTACTTTCTCAAGCATTCCTGGACAAAGGGAATCGCGTACCTGGAACTTGGCCTGCGGCAGCAATACGGACCTCAGCTTCATTGTCCTTGAGCAATTGAACAAAGTGCCCGATGAACTCCTCCCGGACCAATTCTTGCCCAACCGCTTCCGCAAGCTGATCATAATCAGCATAATCTCAAATGGCATCTACCATATTACCGACCTCGTTGAAGTGGCTGGCTGCCATATACCGCACTCGCCAGCTTTTGTCAGACACGGTCTGCCTGATCTGCTTCAGTAACTGATCCTTTACTTCCGCCGGCGTGAGTTGTTGAGCTATTGCAATGAGGTCCTCCACGGTCAATAGACGGACGGAGTCCTGATCATCCGATTGCAGTCTACGATAGATAGCGAGACCATCCGCAAGAACGTGAGGCTTCGAGAACTTCTTCGCCAGGGGCTGGATAGTATCGAGCACGATCAGCGCAAAACATATCTCATAAGAAGTACGTGAAGACGTACACCCAGCCACTTCGCCGCCGCCCGTCGCACCATTGGCGTATCGTCCGTCCCCAAAGCGGCAAATCCTCTACGCAACTCATCCTGCACCTGGGGCGCGACTTTGTCGTACACCGGGGCGTATAGTGCACATGACGACGTGCGGGAGGTGAACCATCCTCCATGCGATAGTCTTTGCAGGAGAGGAATGTAGTATTTCTCGATCTGGGCTTGACTGAGCGCCGCGGAGATTTTGGTGATGGATTCCGCGGCCTAATGGTAATCGAGGAAGTGAGCATATACGTCGAAGTAACACGCCTTATAGAAGCATGGCCCTCGCTGGGAGAAGCAACGGACGCACCTTGTCTCTGACAAGCGTCTCTTCCACCGCGCAAAGATTCTCCAGTGGCCCCAAAAGTAGATGGGCGTATTCGTTTCCTCCGATGTACTCCTCAAAATTACTCCCCAACTCCTCCGCAAGCGCTAGCAACACCTCATCCTCGTCGTCCACTGAGTCTTGTAGAAACGGAATGAGTTCGTCGCGAGCACGTTCCGGCCCCAGCGCGAGAGCGATTGTCGAGATGCGGTGGATCGCGTTCAGTCGAAGTTGAACATCCTCGGATCGTAGCTCATCCATGAGGATAGCAATCGGCGCAATCTAAAGAAAATCGAATTATATTCAGATGCAGCTGGTAATACGGCAGCCAAGAGTACCGACATCGTCGACCGAGAAACCGGGTTCCATGGTGGCTTATACTGAACAGCGATGAATCGTGGCGAACGGCCGGTTAGTAGACAGACATTGGCCCCACGTAGGATGGCTTGCCTTCAAAAGACGATATGGTGATCAGCAATGTACTACGGGCCGCGAGAGTAAATGCACGCAGGGTGAATGGATCACGACGAGACGAGGACAGCAGATGTTGATGTCCCTGTTTGGACGCAAGTGATCAAGCGATGCTTCAAGCGCGTGCCGCACTGCGCTGCCAGCGACTCGCGGCGATGGCTCACAATTCAACTGCCAATTGCTGAACAAGTTGCTATGTATATGTGATTACATGGCCATGTTCTGCTACAGCGGCCAGCTACGTGCATGTAATGTGCAACCAACGCTAATGGTAAGGCAGCAACGCTCGCTACGGTGGACTGCTCCTTCAGTTTAAGGTTACGCCAAATCGATTCAGCGAAATCGCATAGCGTCACCCCGTTGAACTGATTTTACGGATCTTGCACATTCCGTCATCACAAATTTACTGTTCATTGAGAATCTCAGCACATGACGTTGACATACATGGCACAATAAGGTCCGTAACTAATCCTATATACATACCAACGAACACGGATATACTCACCATACCGGAACAGTATCACGAAGGGAACTGAACGCATCACGAAAGAAACATCTCTTCACGAAGAAGAGGGGGTTCCAAAAATTATGCGAACGGGCGGTGACGCGAACGTTACCGTCCACCGGTATTCGAACCGGTCGCAGCAGTATAAAGACTGCAAAGTGCTTGCTGTGAGGAACTGATGCCAAATATGCCGCTAGCTATATCAACTATTAGATATTCGACGCAAAACGAGTACCATGAAGCCTGCTCACCCTGATCTTGAAATTGCGCCACTTGCCTTGGCATTTGAACAAAAGTCGAGATGCCGGAAAAGATGGAGAGGCAACGCGCTCATTAACTACGTCGCTTCCTAGACACCAGTTGAGCGGAGTGCATGGCAGTCGTGCGCCCGGCAATTTGACTGGCAGGTCGTGCTCCTCGTGGCGCAGTGGTGGCGCTCGATAGAACGACAACGTCGGAGTCGACCACCGTGCGCCCGATGTGAGCGACGCTTCGTATAGCGAAAGATCGTGGCCTTTTTGCATCATGGCACAGATCATAAGCCTGATAGCACATCACCTGATATGATGTCTCTCGCCTCTATGGACGGACGGCGGTGTATCCAAGCCGATTATCATCGAATGACTGGACTAAACTCCGGCGCACACAGCAAGGTGCACACACGCCACCGATAAGCATCAAGCCCTCGTATGTCGCAGTTGAAGCTGTCCAATCGTCTCGAAAAAGGTCTGACCACCAGGCTTGAGCTTCGCGACACGTCGAGACGCAATCATGCCGCCAATTGTCACCAGCGATTGATAACCTCGCACTGCAAAATCGAAGTGAGCCCGGCGGTCTAAATGCTTTGCTCTCGCAATAAGCAGTGAGCGTCCGCTGACGCAACCGGTGATTGCACATATGAATGATCTGTAATCTCGTGTATGCCCATCGTAAAAAACCAAGCAAATGGCTGCAAGTGTCCGCAACATCGCATGTGATGCAATAATGTCATGAATGCAGTATATCGCAAGTCAACGTATTTGCCTCTTTAGACGGCTTCCGTTTCGTCGCACCCGTGACGGGCACGAAGGTTGCCGATAGCAGCGCAAGCCTGCCTCGTACAACCGGCTCGAAACCACCATCTTCAATTATGATTCGTTTCTGTGACGTTTTCGTTTATAATTTGTTTCTGTGACGGTTTCTTGTATAGCATGAAGTGGCAAGTTTTCAAAGATCACTATCGATGTGATAGCAGAGCAAGCAAAATTCACGTCGAGCCACGAAGTAGTCGTGAGATAGCCCCTGAAACATGAAATAAAATCACGTTAAACTCGACCGCTGTAACAAGAAAGGATGGACACCGCACAGTCACGATTTCATGAGTGAAGCATTGTGAAGCAGATAGGACTTGAAGCATTGAAGAACAGAAGCAGGAAAGGTGATAGAGAAGAGGGGAGAAAGTGAGCGGTTATATGCTAGAGGGAGGTTGACTTCAGGGCAGGCGGCGGATGGTCACACTGCAGTGCCCAGATCCCTTCCGATGTCGCCACGTGACTGCAACCCTTAGAATGACGTAATAGGGAACGGCAATGGACTTTTGAGACGTGTTCATGATGCTCTTCGTCGTGGAAGAGCATCACACTCAAGTGCCGTCCTACTCACCGACAGAGTTGCTATTGCCATGCCAGTTGTCCAGCAGGCAGATCGGATTTTCCTCCAGCACCCCAAGGTAAAGCGCCTGGTCGCCGGTCTGCAGCATGTGTTGATCGCTCGCTTTCAGGGTTCATCTGCTGAGATCTTGCTGTATGGCGCGACCGTAATCTCTTGGAAGTCGGGAAGCGTCCTGAAGCCGACTCCAATCGAACGTCTTTTCGTCTCTTCCACGGCTGCGCTCGACGGAAGCAAACCTGTGAGGGGAGGCATCCCTGTTGTGTTTCCTTGCTTCGGCGCACCTACGCATCCGGAACACTCCAAGCTTGGACAGCACGGATTTGCACGCAGCGAAGTCTGGACTTATGATAGCATTGTGCTTGATGATGAGGCAGGTGTCTCAGTCAGGTTGAGTAAGTGTATCAGCGAGTGCACTCGGAAACGCTGTTACTAACCGACAGATTGCAGCTTTGGAGCCTAAGGCGAGCATCACAGAAAAGTACAAGCGTCCTTTCCACCTTGCGTATGTTGTCACCCTCGCGGAGCACCAGCTGTCCACCGATCTTCACGTTAAGAACACCGGACTATCAACCTCTCCGCCTCTCGAGTTCCAGGCTTTATTCCACAACTACATTCGTGCGCCTGCAAGCGAAGTCCTCATCACTCCTCTTCAAGGAGTGTCCTACTATGACAAGACGGAAGCCACTGACGAACTGCGCAGCAAGCACAAGGTAGAGAAGAGGGACGCCGTCAATGTCAAGACCTTTACGGACTTCGTGTACGAGAATGCACCTGGCACGTACGAGATTACGTCGCCGACGTCCAAGATTGAGATCAAGACGAAGAACTTCAAGGACGTAGTGGTTTGGAACCCGCAGGCAGAGGCTGGGTCCAAGATATCGGACATGGAGACAGGAGGATGGTAAATCTTGTGCATAGCTTGAGTGATGGCCCAATACTAACACGATTATCTTGAAGGGAAAAGTATGTCTGTGTCGAGCCAGGTTATGTCCGCGGCTTCGTGCAATTAGAAGCTGGACAGAGGTGGATTGGCCAACAGACCTTGACTGCCAAGCTGTAGAAGCTTTTGGACGGGATGAAACGGTTGAACATTACAGATGGAGACGCGACCCATGTGTATAAATTGGAAGGTGTACAACAAAGGTACCAAGTACTGAGATTGTTTGCTGCATAAGTTTTCACCCTGATGGCTAGTCCATCCAAGAAGCAAGTGCAGCATAAGTACATATTCGCCAGACGGGAACATGGATGGCGGGTAGTGTGAGGTAGTGTGCCATCGCAGAAAGAATTTGGACGTCGCGCGTTATGTCGCGTACGATGGCGTATCACGTGATCGTTGCGACGCGTGGTGGACGTGCGACGCGGTTCGGCGCCTCCCGTCCCACTCGGTGGCCAGGGCTCCTGAGTTAGCAAGGTCTCATTGCCAGTTTTCCCCCTTGTCTTCCACAGTTCTTTCTTGCATCATGCGAGATGAAAGATACCACCGCATCCTTGTGCGTACGAGTAAATCAGATTGACCATACGCTTGCACAAGCGGGTCCATTGGATAACACCACGCTCCCTCGCGTACCTATTATCAGAATATACGGGGAAGCCTCTAATGGTCAAAAGGCATGTATACATGTCCATCAAGTATACCCATACTTTTTCGTGGAATACCCGGGCAAGATGAACCCTAACGATGGTAAGCAAATGCTAAAGCTTGAAAACGCGGGTCGATGCTCACCATTATTGTCATTCAAGTCAATCACTACATCTCGAAGCTAAATTATTCTCTAAATCATGCTATTGCCCTTTCTTTTAAGCGAGATCCACGCTCACCAAAATCTCAGTTCATTCGTGCAGTCGTGCTCGTGAAAGGGGTACATTTCTATGGCTTTCATTCATCATATTCCCCTTTTCTCAAGGTTCACATCGCCGACCCAGCATATAAAAGCCGTGCGGTAGCCATCCTGCAGTCCGGAACCGTCATGAGGACCAGATTTCGTGTGTATGAAAGCCATCTCAGCTATCCTCTTCAATTCTTATGCGACTTTGGGCTCTATGGGTGCGGATGGATGGATCTCGGCGAGATCTGGCAGCGAGGCCGAGAGGAAGAGACCAAATCTGCGCACGAGGGTGAAGGCGAAGGGAAGCCACCCGTCTTTCGGACCTCACCGCATCCTCGCCAGTCTCGCATGCCTCTCGAAGTCGACGTCATCGCTCATCAGATTCTGAACCGGCGGTTGCTGTCAGCTCGTAACATTCACCACAAGTTGCAAACTCCTGCTCCTCCCCTTCCTCCCGAACCTCTCGTGCTCAGCGTACGCGAGCTTTGGGAAGATGAACGCCGCCGCCGTATCGCGAAAGGTCTTACACCCTCTCCGGAAATCCCCAAGGATCCTAGTGCAGACTCGAGAGTAACGAGCAGGGAATGGGTAGCGGAAGCAAGGTGGTGGGAAGAAGTTAGGAGGAGGATCGAGAGAGAAGGAGAAATGGAGAAGACCCCGCGAAGTGATACAGGCTGGGAGCGGTGGGTCATGACGACGTTCGAGAGCATAGAATCACTTTGGGAGAACAAATGGAAGATGTGGAAGCCATCTAGACCGCAAGATAGTGAAAGCGGAGAAGGCGCGAAGACATCGGCTGCGGACAATCCCTATGCACCAACGCAATCAAGCCAGTCATTGAGTTCACAAATTTCCAAGCAAGCAGATGAGCACGAAATTGATGTGGATGAGACACTGCTTTTCAGCCAGGCCATTGATGAGTTATATACTGAAGGTTGGGAACAGCAGCCCGAAGGTGACGCAATTGATGGTGGAAGAGCGGAGGAAGAGCTCGCAGCTGAATCATTTCCGGCGGAAAATGAAATCGGCCATGCTTCCGATCAGAAAAAAAGAAACAGGTCGAATCCTTGTGCACGTGTATTTCACGCACCCCCGCTGATTCTAGGCACATGCACAGTCTTCTGAACGGTTCTTCGACTCCAAAGCGGCCCAATCCGTTCGGAGAGGCTTGGCGTAAACTCACACGGTAGCGCAATCCGTGAAAACATTGTCTGCGTCACATTGACCATGCTTGATTGCTAGTGCGGACCAATCTGATGCTCACCGTTCGACATCTGTCCTGTCGGAGGCTCCAACTCCAACCCCACCAAGAAGGTGTGGTTGCATTTTTTTCGTCGCTGTTTCGTACGCTCACCGCGCCGCAGGGAGGATGTTGTCGAATACTGGGGTGATTCGCTTCCGACGACACCCGTGAAACCACGACCTCAAATTCGACCTATTGAAGAGGGCAGTGTCTTATCTCCCACCAGACCTGCTCGACCGACGAACCTAGCAAAGCCAACCAACCCAACGAAACCATCGCGGTCAAAGGGTGAATCATCGGGCATAAGCATTGATTTGCACATCGCAAGTTACAACACGATTCCATTGCTGTGAAGTCGCATATACTGCTCTATTGTTCTAAATCTCACGGAGACCGCGCCAGGTCCCACATGAAGCAGCGAATTGATGTCCCATCCACAATGGACGCGGTGTCGTCCGAGTCGGATGCTCTCAACCTACAGAATAAGAAGCGGCGACATTCTCATACTTCAGACGATGAAGGCGCTGAAACTCACCATCCACTCAAGCGGCGTAGGAAGAATCATGTGGATGATGTCCTTTCATCATCTTCAGCTACCTCGTTGTCACTGGAGTCTTCCGCATCGTTAACGCGGAGATCGTTGCAGGATACCAGTTCTAACCGGTCACCAGTCCCTTCATTGCGTCGACGACGACATAATTTATACGTCTATGCTTATCTTCCTCCATCCGCGGCAGAATTGTCTGCAAGCGTTGATGATTTTGCCATTCCCAGCAAAGTCTACATCGATCCGCATTATTCGAGGGCCAGCGACGCGCCCGAAAGACCAAGGGAGTACGCTGGGCTGGTGTTCAACTTGAAGGGTGGGAAGGGATTGAGCGTCCTTGAAGATTGGGACAGCGGTTCTAATGGTCCATCTTCCGCTTCGCTGGTGTCGAGTAGTCCAACACTTTCCAATTCTAGTCGCATACATGGTTGGGAGTATGCCAGCTGTCCGCCGTCTGCTAAGGAAGTACGGCAATGGTTGCGTGACCATCCAAGGACGCACAATTCAGCGCCAACGTCTGTTAAGAAGCACTCTCAGGTATGTCCCACGCCTTCCTCTTCATTTCTTGCAGAGGTATCTATAAATGTCACAATAGATCGATGGTTCAACTCAAGCGAACCCATATGGGCTGAAGGGAAGCCCTCTCAAACCGGCAGAAAGTGCGATTCGTGAACGACAGAATATGAGCTTGTTCTCGCTCGAAGTATTTGGCAAGTCGGTTCTGATTTTATGCTTAGCTTGTGTTGAACGTGAATCAGCACCATCTAGGGAGGGACGCTTGCCAGATCCTGCGGAAGATGAGGTTCTTGCTATTTTCTACGCATATCAAGACTCTGCAGATATCGCGGACCGAGGGAGCGCAGGCTTCGCGTGCGAGACTGGCATGATTGTTGTCGAAGGTGATCAAGTCAACCCGCGCAGGTTACAGAGCGTACGGATGGACGCCGTCAACAGCGAGCTTGACCTGTTGAATCACCTCATCGATTTAGTCTGGGCTCTCGATCCTGATATCGTCGTCGGTTGGGAGGTGCAGTCTGCATCCTGGGGATACCTGAGTGCGCGAGCATCTACTTATGGTGCGTGCATTTGATCGTGTTGGGAGATGGATAAGACGTGATATTGCAAGCTCGTAGGGCTTGACATTGGGGAGCAGATCTCAAGAGCCCCCGGTCGACATAGCGGTGGATCAGATCAATGGGGGATGCGTATGACATCGACTTTCCAGGCTGTCGGTCGGCACGTACTGAACGTTTGGCGAATCATGCGCGCCGAACAGAACTTCACTAGTCACTCTTTTGAGCATGTTGTCTTTCAACTTCTCCGTAGACGGTAAGACTTTTTCGTGTGGTTCTGCGACTGTACGTTGAATATCACCTTCATTCAGGACTCCTCGATACTCCGCGAAGACGTTGACAGAGTGGTACCATAGTCCTCATCCGTACCAAACGGCTAATCTCCTACGATACTTCTCCATCCGCGCTGTTACGGTGTTGGAAATCCTTGACGTTGCAGAGGTTGTGACGAAGAATGCGTACGTCACTCTGCTTGACCCGTGGCGCACTCATCCTGAATGCTTTACAGAGAATTTGCTCGCATTTTCGGAGTGGATTTTTTCTCGGTCCTCAGTCGCGGCTCGCAGTTCAAAGTAGAGTCGTTCATGTTCAGAATCGCCAAGCCGGAGAGTTTTGTACTGCTATCGCCGAGCAAGCAGGATGTGAGTGTAACGTTCGTGATTAGGAGCGCTATTGACTGGATTTGCAGGTCGGAAAGCAAAATGCGGCTGAATGCATGCCCTTAATCATGGAGCCGCTCTCGGCTTTCTACAATAGCCCCCTTGTAGTTTTAGACTTTCAATCTCTGTATCCATCTATCATGATCGCCTACAACTACTGTTACTCTACTTGTCTCGGTCGTGTATCTGATTTCAAGGGACAAAACAAATTCGGCGTCACGGAGTTGCATCAACCGCCGGGCTTGCTGGAGTCTCTACAAGATCATATTATTGGTGAGTCTGCACCTTAGCTTTTCCTGGAGATCTGTTCATGTTGTATCTAGTCGCACCTAATGGTATAATGTATGTGAAACCCGAGGTCCGCAAGGGGTTGCTCGGCAGGATGCTGACGGAATTACTGGAAACGCGAGTAATGGTGAAGCAAGCAATGAAGGGAGTGAAGGATGACAAGGTGCGTTATGGTCATATGTGCACAGAGGGTTTCTAATGGTGATTGGCAGGCCCTCAGAAGGGTCCTTGACGCACGTCAATTGGGTCTCAAATTCATCGCCAACGTCACTTATGGTTACACAAGCGCCACTTATTCCGGTCGAATGCCGGCTGTAGAGATCGCGGATAGTATTGTCCAAAGTGGTCGTGAAACTCTGGAGGAGGTACGTCTTTTGAGACAAGTCCTCATTCGAAGTTCACCATGTTATAGGCAATACGCGTGATTGATTCGACCAAGAAATGGGGCGCCAAAGTAGTTTACGGCGACACAGACTCACTGTTTGTGTACCTCCCTGGCAAGACTAAGGAGCAAGCGTTCCGAATCGGCTACGAGATGGCAGAAACGATCACTGCGTCGAACCCTGTTCCGGTAAAACTCAAGTTCGAAAAGGTACGTAGACTCTACTCCGCTCCATAAGCACAATAGGACTGATGATGCCAGGTTTACCTTCCCTGCGTGCTCATGGCGAAGAAACGCTACGTGGGTTTCAAGTTTGAGAATCCAGATGACAAGGAACCGGTGTTCGACGCGAAGGGGATTGAGACCGTCCGTAGAGATGGGATCCCGGCTCAGCAGAAGATGGTGGAGGCGTGCCTTAAGTGGGTGCCCTTACGTCGGTTTTCATGCCTGCTGACCTAACGATATGATATGTCAGAATTCTCTTTAGGACTCAAGACCTCAGCAAGGTCAAGGATTATTGTTGTAACACCTGGGCGAAGATACTCGAAGACAGGGTCTCCGTGCAAGACTTCATCTTTGCAAAGGAGGTCAAGATGGGCACATACAGGTGTGTGCTCTAACGTCCGATGCGATACGCTTATTGACCATTATACTAGCGACAAAGTCCCACCGCCGCCGGGTGTCACAGTCGCTGCACGACGTATGGTGGAAGATCCTGCTGACGAGCCTCAATACGGAGAACGTGTACCGTACATCATCGTCCGCGGCGACCCTGATAGCAGGGTAGTAGACAGAGCCGTAGCTCCTGAGGCTCTCCTGAACGACAGGTACGCTCGCTGTCGAAACCGCATGTGCAGCGCTCATCATTCCTTGCAGCCAGAAGCACCTGGATGCGACGTATTACATATCCAGAGTGTTGATCCCGCCTCTCGAACGCATATTCAACCTCGTCGGCGCAGATGTCAGAAGCTGGTATGACGAAATGCCGAAGACGATACGAGCGGATCATGCGGATTCGTTGTTGATTTCACCACGGAAGGCGAACAAGGACTCTAACGGACCCGGCACGCTGAAGATTGACTATCATTTTCTCAGCTCGAATTGCATCGTATGCGGTGCCCTCACACCAGAAGGTAAGCTAGCCGCATCGAATTTAGTTGAACACGTCGTTTTGACAGGCCGTCGAATGCAGGTTTGTGTGAAGACTGTCGTGCCGATCCTCAACCGACAATTACCGAGCTTCTGTCCCGGGTACGGACGACCGAGAGCCGACTATGGAATGTTCAAACGGTCTGCGGCTCCTGCTGCGGAACGGCCACCGCTGAACCCATCAAGTGCGAATCGTTGGACTGTCCGTGGCTGTTTGAGCGGAAGAAGATCGAGCACAGGGCAGAAGCGCTCGTCGCCATTGAAGATCTGGTGAGGCAGCTTGAGATAGGCGACGACGGTTTCGCAGGGGATGACGGATGAGATGGTCTTTTGTTGACGTCGATGATATATATCATCGTTTGTTTTCGGGTCGAAAGCATGTTGACAAGAAATACATGATACAGATTGGTTATACATCCTTATTAAGCTCTCAGACAAGGTTCAGCTCTTTGCGGATCAGCTCCTTCGTCTTCTGCTCCATCTCGTCGAATATCTTGAGAGCATCGGCCAACTTGCGCGTCGCCTCAGCATCCACCGACAATGCAGCCCGGAGCGCATCCGCGCCGTTCGCGAGGAAATCCGTCTCGATGATCGAGGAGTCTTTCGTGGTCGACGTGTCAGCATCCGTACACGAGCGACGTTGTGATGCTACGTCACCTGCACTGAGACCGACCTCTGGGTGGTGGGGCTTGGGATCGTTCGGCGTTAATGCGGTTTGGTCGGTTGCGGCGAGCTGGTCGAGCACTGCTGCTGACAGCGTCAGGTGGTCCGGATGGAGAGACACCAGCGCTACTGCCTAGGCAATCGTCAGCGGTGATTGGGAGTGGTGGCTATCAAGATCGAGGGTGAAGCACCTCGGTGGAGGTGACGATGCTTCGTACGAGGATTATCAGCTTGGCAGAGGCACATTGTATAATATGCGCGCATAACGTACCTGGCGGGCATGACGAGCGTTTTGGAACCGATGCTTTTGTAAACGTTCACGATCGACGCAATGACGCGAGCCCCGGGGTGCTCATTAGCCGTGTCCTTGTATTCCTTCCATAGCTCGTGTTGGAAATGCACGCGAAGCTCTGTTAGGGCAGAATGTAGTGTGCAACGTCCTCATTTGTAAGTAATCACTTGCCGTTGAAATACGGCGCAACGTATAGACATCCCGCTTGGGACGCCGCAACGGCTTGCGTGGCCGCGAATAGACACGTTGCGAGAGTGCTGATGCCTATCTTTTCGAGGTATTGACAGGCAACGATTGATTCCGGCGTGGCAGGGATTTTGATGCATACTCGTGATCTGTGTAGCTAGGTTACGATTGCGCCTTGGGATACCGCTGACAAGCCACTTACTTCGGAATGCCGTTGGCCTCAAAGAGAGCTACCAGTCTCTTGGCATGTGCGATCGTCTCTTCCGTATTGTAGGCGGCCGATGGGGAGGTTTGTGCGTGCACACGACCGGTTAAGTACGGATAGACTTCCTTTGCCAGGAGGACGGTCTGATCGTTCTGGATCAGACACCGAGGTTGGAAATAGGCGATCGGTCAAACCAAGATGTCCAGAGCATTTGTGACTTGCTGCTCTCCATCAACTCCACTTGCTTGTGTCTGTGCGCATGCAGCCTTTAGAAGCGAGGCGCGCTCTTGTTTAGCTGCTTCAGAGTACACGATGGCTTGGTTGGACGTCATGTCGCAGAACTTGACCGTCTCCGTCGTGTGACGGGCTGCAACCGCCGGATCCATGGAGTCCACATCGACGGTCACTTGAGAGCGAACATAAGTCAACAGGTTGGCATGCGCGGCCATGTCTGCGCGGTATGGAGAGTGATCAATCGCAAGGTGCGACTACAAGCGGACGTTGTCATAAATATGCTATTCAAAACACCTGCCTAATGCGGGGGTCATACGGGCAGCTGACCAGGAGAGAGGTACGCCGGTCGGACCACATCAGTACCGCTCCCCGATGCCTAGGCAAACACGGCTCTCGATATCTTGGATGCGATAGACTTGGGTGAGAATCGGCTTGATTGAATTCTCATCAATCCATCATTTGCGACCTGAATCCGGGGTCATCGAGATGCGGGGAAGCGACGCGTCCACATGGGCGATACATGTGGTCGAAGGGACTGAGATGGTGCAAGAGGCAGCCTCAATCCGCATCATTCCAGCTCGCAGTGGTCGCCCAGAGTTCATTCGGATATCATGAGAAGTGACAACGACTTGCGAAGGCGTCGCTGGCTCACACTTGTTGCCTCCGGGCGCTTAAAGCGAGCCTGAGATGGTTCCGCGAGACACGGCTCAGGAACAATATTTTTGTAAAGACCAATTCGCAGAAAAGGTGACGCTGTCCTCACCCGCCGGCTGCCGACTGGCCACCTCCATAAAGCGTCCGTAGCCCGACTCTGGGGTCGCCTGTCACCTGTTTTACGCGCGTCCACCGCATGTGCAGCGCTCACCATTCCGAACGGAAGAAGATCGAGCACAGGCCCAAGCGCTCGTCGCCATTGAAGACTTGAGATAGGCGACGACAATTTTGCAGGGAGTGATGGTCTCTCGACTGCATTATTGGTATATACACTGTAATTTGTGTTCGGGTCGAAACCAAGAATACATGGTACAAACTGGTTATACATCCTTATTTAGGCTCTCAAGCAAATAGATCCACTCAAACGAGGTTCAGCTCTTTGCGGATCAGCTCCTTCGTCTTCTGCTCCATCTCGTCGAATATCTTGAGAGCATCGGCCAAATTGCGCGTCGACTCAGCATCCACCGACAATGCCGCCCGGAGCGCATCCGCGCCGTTCGCGAGGAAATCCGTCTCGATGATCGAGGAGTCTTTCGTGGTCGACGTGTCAGCATCCGTGCATGAGGAACGTTGTGATGCTACGTCACCTGCGTTGAGACCGACCTCCGGGTGGTGGGGCTTGGGATCATTCGGCGTTGATGCTGTTTGCTCGGTTGCGATGAGCTGGTCGAGGACTGCTCCTGACAGCGTCAGGTGGTCCGGATGTAGAGACACCAGCGCAACTGCCTAGGCAATAGTCAGCGGTCATTGGGAGTGATTACTGTCAGGAGTGAGATGAAGTACCTCGGTGGAGGTGACGATGCTTCGTACGAGGATTATCAGCTCGGCACAGACACATTGTATAATATGCGCGCATAACGTACCTGGCGGGCATGACGAGCGTTTTGGAACCGATGCTTTTGTAAACGTTCACGATCGACGCAATGATGCGAGCCCCAGGGTGCTCGTTAGCCGTGTCCTTGTATTCCTTCCATAACTCGGGTTGGATATGCACGCGAAGCTCTGTTAGGGCAGAATGTAGTGCACGATGTCACGGGTACAGAAGAAGCCACTTGCGATTGAGATACGGCGCAATGTATCGACATCCAGCTTGGGACGCTGCAACGGCTTGCGGGACCGAGAACAGACAAGTTGCGAGGGTACTGATACCGATCGTTTCGAGGTGTTGACAGGCAACGATTGATTCCGGTGTGGCAGGAATTTTGATGCATACTCGTGATCTGTGTAGCTAGGTTACGATTGCGCCTTGGGATACCGCTGACAAGCCACTTACTTCGGAATGCCGTTGGCCTCAAAGAGAGCTACCAGTCTCTTAGCATGTGCGATCGTCTCTTCCGTATTGTAGGCGGCCGACGGGGAAGTTTCGGTGTGTACACGACCGGTTAAGTATGGATAGACTTCCTTCGCCAGGAGGACGGTCTGGTCGTTCAGAATCAGATACCAAGGCTGGAATAGGCGATCGGTCAAACCAAGATGTCCAGAGCATTTGTGACTTGTTGCTCTCCGTCAACTCCGCTTGCTTGAGCCTGTGCGCACGCCGCCTTTAGAAGCGAAGCGCGGTCTTGCTTGGCTGCTTCAACATAGACGATGGCTTGGTTGGACGTCATGTCGCAGAACTTGACCGTCTCCGTCGTGTGACGGGCTGCAACCGCCGGATCCATAGAGTCCACATCGACAGCCACTTGGGCGCGGATGTAAGTCAAGAGGTTGCCAGCGGTCATGTCTGCACGGTATGAAGATCGTAGGATGGGAAATCAAAGTGTGAATACTGCAGCGGACCTTGTCAGCAGTCCCCAATAAATATGTGCCCGCTATTCACAACGCCTGCCTAATGCGGGGGTTCAATGCATAGGGCAGCTGATCAGGGGGAGATGCGCTGGGGAGATGCGATGGTCGGACCACATCAATCCTGCTCCCCATGACCAGGCAAAGAGGGTGATAGACTTGATTGAACCGTTCTCATCAATCCATCATTTGCGACCTGAATACCTGGGGGTCATCGAGATGCCAAGTGCGGGAAGCGACGCGTTCACATGCAGCCTCGATCCGCATCATGCTTGCAGTGGTCGTCCAGCAAGTCCGTTTGGATGCGGCCATGGGAAGTGCCACACGACGAAGGCGTCGGGTGGCGCACACTTGGCGTTCGGGCGCTTATAGAGAGCCTGAGCCGCGGCTCAGGAACAATTTTGTAAACAAAGGTTATACTGTCCTCCAAATGATATTGCTGCCGACCATAAAGCGTCCGCAGCCTAACTCTAGGGTCGCCGGTCACTTGTTTTACGCGTGTCCACCTTCCGTCACATTGCTCGCACCTGCCGAATTGGTGGAGTTTACCCAGTGTGTCCCCTCCGCGCGCGGATGAATCCCAGAGTCGAGAATGTAAGTAAGTAGCATCGCCTAGGCGTAATGTGAATGCCGCTGGATTGATTGCGGTAACAAATCGCATACGTCATAGTAATCACCGCTCCCCTGCCATACTCAGCGGTCTGCCGCCAATTGGCCGCCTTCCAGAATAATTTCATGTGCATATAATCCACTTTCAACCACATGCATCTCGTCTGTCCTCCTCATTGATACATCCCTTCCTCTCCCAACATCTTCCAATGAACCAGGGTCACTCTTCCCAGAAGCCTGCGGCGCAGAATCCCTCCGCCGCATCTACCCACGACGAATCGCACGCGCGGTATTTCCAGTTGCGACGACAAGGTTGGGACTCAGATTCCGTCCCTACTTCGTCCCTTGATTCCAGAGATGCTGCGTCTTCTGCGGCTCTGGCGGATACGACTATGCCCCCCACCGCGAGACCGTTCCTGTCACAGGTGGGACTCTCTCCAGCGGCAATAGGCAACCCCCCCGAGCATGAGGGCAAGCCTCCCTTTGCCTCAGCTGCTCATCAAACCCTGACACCCCGTTTCAGGTGCTACAACAATCTCTGTGGATACAGGTATGGCAGGCGATTCGGTGCAAGTTGCTACTCAGACATCGCCTACAACACGACCTGATGCCCAGCCGAATCCCGTCCCGCTAGAAGCTGCCGCCAGTTTTGTACTGTCCGCGCCAGGATCGGAAACGGCCAGTCCATTTGCTACGACCATGGCTCGTGATGCTGCGATGGCATACGCGTATCATCTGTACGAGTCATCGACCCAGCCACCAGCAGCCGGGCTCACCCATACACCAATGTCCATGCCCATCACGTCAGTCGCTGTCTCGACAGAAAACGTATACAAGTTCCAACTGCTCCCACTTCTCACGACGTTGCGCTCGCTCCATCCTCGCCACCTGCCTATTCTGCTATTACTCGCCTGCACATATCATGCGTTGGGCGATTACCAAGCTAGTTTGAAGCTCAGCCATGACATGCTGGCCATCGACAACACCTACGTTGAGGCGATGTCGAACATCGGCACAACATACAAAGCAATGGGTCAAGACGATAAGGCTTTTGAGTGGTGGCTGAAGGCCCTCAGAATCAAGCCGACCTATTGGGATGCTATAGTGAAGCGTTCATGACTCTCCCAAGAAGCCGATGCTAACGATGCTCACAGGACAACGTACTCGGCAGGCTGTTCTCTGCCACCCAGAACGTGCTAGATAATCAACGCCGCTTCACGACGTACCTGCAGGCGATAAGAATGTGCGAACACATCCAGCGGGAGGTTGTGGACCCAGATGGACGGCTTCGCACGCCTGTCCCCACGCACGAGCTGCATCGACTGCAAAGGCTTTTCTTTATCGCCGGGACCCTACGCACCTTGATCCGGCCGGATGGCGTCGAAGATGCCATTATAGACTACTTCAAGGCTGTCGAGCTGGTCATCCGCCCGCCTCTGCCGTATCCCGATGACGAGTGTTATACCATGCTTGATCTTGTCCTTGCAGTCTGCGTCGCTGGCTATATGCTGTCCGCTGTCTCGAATGGACATATACCCACGGAGATCGCGGAGAGCATGAACATTACGGTGCAACACATGAGCGAGCACCACTTTCCAATCCTCCGCTATGTGCATGCTTCCTCGCACAGGCTTCTCAATGCGCTTCTGCGCCTGGGGGGAGGCATTTTACCTACGGTCCTTCTTCTCCCCGAGCAAATAATGCATCTGCCGATGGTGCTATTTCCTTACTCCGGCGGTGTCCTTCCTTCGATGTGTACCCGGGATCCCGACAGCGGGAATTGGAACGCGTCATCGGAAGACGCACGTCAGAAGACAAACCTGATGACAAGCACAGTACTGCTCACTCTGGCGAAAAGGTTGCAGGACGATTCGTCTGCGAACAGGCCTCTTCCGATCGATAATGGCAGCGTCAGCGTCAGCACATCACTCGTGATTCTGCTATATTATCTTGCTCTGTCGCTATCCTCATCGCCGTCGACGTACAACAACATTGGGATATTGTTGTGCTCGCTGTCGTCTGCAAGGACGGTACGCGACCTGCAAGGTCAGAGACATGTGGTAGACGGGCCTGTACTTGCGAAACTTTACTATCAAGTCGGCCTGCAGCTCGATCCAGGTCATCCTCACCTTCTCACCAATATGGGTTCCCTCTTGAAGGATCAAGGGCATGTCAATGAGGCTATCGAGTATGTTTAGACATTGCTTGAGGTGATCTCCTGGCGGCTGATAGACATCACTCGTGAAGGTTTTACATGAAAGCGATACAGCATAAATCGGACTTCGACATCGCCTGGGCCAACTTGGCCAATGCAATCAAAGACATGGTATGCTGCAGGATCACCGGTTCTTCCGAGATGCTTACCATCGCTGCGGATCAGGGCCGCCCGTGGGACGCGATCGACTACTACCGCCGCGCCGTCAGTCTGAATTCGAACCTCCCGGAAGCGATATGTGGCCTGGTGAACTCTCTCTGCTCCGTGTGCGACTGGCGGGGACGGGGGACCGTACCGCAAGGGATTGGCGTTGACGACAGTGGGGGTGTTATCCCGCCTAGCAGCGAAGGACGTGCCGGCTGGATCACGAAAATGGTCGAGATTTGCGAACAGCAGATCGATGCCGGATACATGCAGAATGTTGGCGTCATCAGGAAATCGGCCACGGTAGATGAGTGGCTGCAAGTCGTCGAGACGGCGCGAGGCCGTTCGCTCCGCGAGGACGAGAAGGCGCGATGGCGGAAATGTCTGGGTCGCTATTATGGCGACGAGAATCGTCTTCTGGGAGGCATCAACGAAACGGGCTTCATCATTCGTTTCATCGACTGGGTGCAACCACGACTCCAGCGTCAGTGGTACCTGAAGGCGTACGGCAGGACTGTTTCGTCGGACCAGCCCATGCTTGGCAACTCATCAGATCTCGCTGGTTTCTTTTTGCGACCGATCCTCCCGGCAAACTTGAGTAGCCCTCTTGTGCCGTCGGTCCTCCCTTTCCATACTGTGAGTGCCGCCGCGTTGTAGCGGACGCACCCGTGTTCACGTGGATTCGCAGTTTACGTATCCGCTGTCTCCGAGGATGACTCGTCTCATCACGCATCGGAACGCTCTTCGCATATCGTATATGGCGCTCTCGCAAACATGGCTCCCCAAGCATGTCTTTCGTCCCCCGCCGCCTCCGCTTCACGGGAAGCTGAACATCGGCTATGTCTCAAATGATGTCAAGTAAGATGTTTGTTATATGCTACTGCGTGGATCTGAACTTGACTCCTCATAGTGACCATCCTCTGTCCCACTTGATGCAATCTGTCTTTGGTTTTCATGATCGAGACAAGTTCAACGTTTTCCTCTATACCACGAGCCCATGGGATGGCAGTGACTATCGTCCGCGAATTGCGCAGCAAGTCGAGAACTTTATTGACGTGTCTACATGGCCTGCGAACGCCGTTGTCGAGCATATCCTCCGGCAGGACATTCACATCCGTGAGCATTTCTCCGCTTGCTGACATGTAGCACCACTTGACTTGTCACTTTCAGTCATCAATCTGGGTGGCTACACAAAGGGTGCAAGGAATGATATTTTTGCGGTTCGTCCCTGTCCAGTGCAAATTCAACTGATGGGATATGCCGGGACATTGTCGGCTGGTGGGTTACAGGCCATCAGCGCGCTAGCTACAATGGAATTCACGTTGCGACATCCAGGCTGGTGCGATTATCTGGTTGGCTGCGAAACCTCGTGCCCTCCTGAGATGAGTGCCACGGAACTATGGCGCAAGTCTCGCGGTGACAGTCGAGATGAGGACTATCTCACCTTTGATCTTGACGCCGATGCGGACCCGGAATCAGGCTCAAACGATTGGGTTTAGTACGTTATACGTCTCTCATACGGCTTATATCGGATGTCATGCTGCTTTACAGCACGGAGAAACTCATGAACGTTCCTGTTCGTGTCGTCTATTCCACTAGGGACACTTGATGGCTCATGAACTGTGCAGCACTCCTTTATGGTCACCGATCACAAACAATCCTATCGAGAAGACGAATGTTTAACGCCGGAGGAACGGGAGCGTATTCCTGTTGAACAATTGTGGCTGGACGAAGAGAAGAGGCGGGCGGAGATGAGGCGAGGAATATTTCCTGATTTGCCTCAGTACGCGTCCCATGACCGCGTCGCACGACATCATGCTTGACTCACGACACAGAGAATTTGTGATATTTGCAAACTTCAGTCAGGTGAGATTGCCGGTGGCAGTCTGTATGGACTCTTCTGATGTATGAAGCAGCTTTACAAAGTAGGCCACGCCATGTAGACGTCCTTGGGGGAAGCGACCACTAACTCTTCACCACGAACATAGATTGACCCGGTGAGAGTCGTCTTCGTCAGCTGTTGGTGATCACTGACTTTAGATGCAGGGTATATTTGCAACTTGGTTGGAGATCCTTGTGAGGGTTCCTCATAGCGTTTTATGGCTGCTGCGATTCCCCATAGCCGGCGAAGAACACCTTCTGCGCACGGCAAGGACTTGGGCAGGAGAAAAGGTTGCTTCACGCATTCGTTTCACTGATGTGGCGAGGAAAAAGGAGCACGTGTATCGTTGCCGTGTAGCTGACCTCTTTCTGGACACCGTTGAGGTCGGTCTCGTCCGTTTCATTTCTGTCGATAGTCGCGATTGACTGCGACTTTATAGTGCAATGCTCATACGGTAGCTGCTGAGTGAGTGCGCGTCTCTAATGACAATCTAGGTAGCTCGCTAACAGGTCTTTCAGTGTGCTGTGGACAGGCACGCCTATCCTGACATACCCAAAGCACCCCCACAAGATGTGCTCTCGCGTAGCCGCTAGCATGGCAAGAGCGACACAGTTCGAGAGGTTGATGGTGGTGAACTCCATCGACGATTACAAAGAGCGCGCCATCCAGCTTGCGGAAAGTGTCCGCTACGTACTGATGCTGGATGCCTCTGGGACGGTTGTGCCACGAGGCCGGGGAACGCTGATGAGCCTTCGTCGCAATATCTTCCTCAACAGGGACAGAATGCCTCTATTCGATACGATGCGCTGGACAAGAAACTTGGAGAAGGGTCTTCGCGAAGCGTGGAGACGCTGGGTAGAGGGTACGCAGTATGAGATGACCGACGAATGGGAGGCGTGTCAAGGTCCAGAGAAGGAGAGCGGATGTATCTGCATATCGGATGATGATCCTGTCAACGTGGTCGTATATAACTGAGGTGACTATCGAGCAGCTCGCGCAGCACTGGAAGGAGAAGCATCCCGCTGCTTGGGAGACACTGAAGCAGCGCGTGCTGGAGAAGCAGAGCTCAGACTAGACATCTGTTTGCTGCGAAAGATATGACGAATTGACCAAAAGGACACGGCTTGACAGTGTCGCGGATGTATCAGTAATATCAACCATGATGTTGTGCATGGTGCGAATACATGGGGCGGGATCCCTCATCTGATGACAGTTGTGTAGGATGGATCAATCGGTGCGCACTTGTGAAAAGGAGTGATTCTATCGCAGGTGAGTGATCGAAACGCGGCGTGGACGTATGCAATACTTATTTGTGACTGGAACAGGGAGCGAAGTTCCTTTAGATAGTCTCATGTGCATATGGATGGGCTGTATCAATAGTAGACTCATTGTCATGGCTCATATAGGTATTATGATCAATATTACACGTTCTGATATGCTCCCGGAGCGTTCGGTTGGGTAGTGGGCACTGGCTGTGTACTCCCTAGCGGCTTTGGCGTCTGGACTTCTGCAGGCTCATCAACGCTCTGATAACCGTCTCTTCCGCTGGATGTGAAGCCGCCAGGCATTGACCAGACTGCTTTTGGAATGAGCGGCTTTCAACGGTGGGAAAAACAAGCATGCTTACCTGTAGCCCCTCCTCCCACGTCGTTGCCCTGGAAACTAATCCCGGATAAATGCGCACCCCTCTGTCGCAAGGCGGACAAGAAGGCCAGCACGGTGGGTATCTTGTTGTGGGAAGAATTGAGTGCAATTGGGAAGCAGCGTAGATCATGAGAGTTTTTACCTTCAGTGCCAAGGTGAGAATTGTGATCAGCTTGAGGAACCAATTCTGATGGTTATTGTACATCCAGATGAGATCGTACAGCACGGAAGCGCTCAGAAGGTATATGAACTGGTTGTCATGCTTTAGCGGGAGCGTCTGCGAACGAAATATAAGAAGCTCACCAACTTCAGCGACTCCGTCGCTTCGGCGACCTCTTGCGTGTACATTCCGAACAAGAAGATAGGGAGGTTGTAGTTGGGTGCATCGAAGGCACTGACGGCGAATGAGAGAGCCTGTGCGCAGCGGAACGACGTGTTAACGGATAAACAGGAGTAAGGTCGACTTGCGACCGACCGTCTCTACTTGCACCAACTTGATGGGATCGAGCCGTTGGACAAATTCGGCCATGGCGAGGACGAGCGGTGAAAAGCAGGAGAATGAACGGATGAACGAGGTGAGAGTGCGGGGAGGCTATCCACTGCGGGAGACGCGCAGCGCGTTGATCACGAGCGGCACGCGTCGCGATGAAACGCGTCGGTCCCTTCTCGCGTCCATCACCTAGTAACCCCTCGGTGCATATGTCTGGCTTTGATACCATATGGCCAGCTGATTCTGTCGAATTCTGTCCACATCCTGATTTTCATGATGTGTTCGTGTGCGGGACTTACAAGCTGGAAGAGACTGGGACGAACGCGCCTGAGGAACGGGACAACATAGAGCAGTCGACGTCCCCTGTGTCAAAGAAGCAGAAAAGGCGCGGTGAATGCCTTCTTTTTGAAGTAAATCCGAACGTGGAAGAACAATGGTGCGTTTACGTTATTGCACGCATACTATGCAAAATTCACATATTCGTTGATTCTCACAGTTCATTGCTACAGAAGACAGCCCTGCCCGCAATTCTGGACATAAAATGGTGCACATCTTTCTGTGGTGGTGGGATCATGTGAGTTGACTTAGTGAACCGTAGGTGCCACCGAGCAGCATCTGCCTCTCCACGCTTGGCAGTGGCAGACTCTGAGGGTCGTATCACGCTGCATTCCTTGCAACAAGACGAGGAGGTAGGCTGTTATAGAACTGAGGTGCACAGTGAACTTACTTCAGACGCAGCCATGCATGGAGCAAGTGCAAACCATCGCTTGTGCTTCTGAGGATATCCTTTGTCTATCGATCGACTGGTCGAATCGGCGTGCACCGAGTACGTACGTAAGGAGCGCGTGCAGGGATCGACTGAAGCTGACATTCCTTCAGCTCTCTCGGATCATTGGTTGTCTCGCTATCCGATGGCTCTTTAGCCTTGTTGCATCCTGATGACGCTGGCATGACTGTGACCGATTCTTGGCATGCACACGACTATGAGCCTTGGATCGCCGCGTGGGACTACTGGGATACCAATATCGTCTATTCAGGTGAGCGTGGTATTAGTGTGAGATAAAATCCACGACAATGTGGTACTAACGCTTCATTGCCATCTGTATAGGCGGCGATGACCTCAAGATGAAGGGCTGGGACATCAGAGAGGGCTTTACTCAACCCATTTTCACCAATAAACGGTATAAGGCACCACATTGTGCCATGCAAGCAAAGCTGACCATTCATAGCTTCGATGCCGGCGTGACTACCATACACAGTCACCCATTTGTCGAGCACCTTCTCGCTGTCGGCACGTGATTCTGCACCATTCTCGCTCTGCGAATACGAATTGACAATATACGCCAGCTACGACAACACCGTGCGTCTGTTCGACACGCGCAAACCGCTCGTTCCCTTCACACAGGCCGACGTCGGCGGAGGGGCCTGGCGCGTGAAGTGGCATCCATCCCCCTCGCGCAAAAATGACCTCCTTGTGGCATGCATGCACGACGGTTTCAAGGTCATCCGCTTTGATCTCAGCGACTCTGGCGATGCAGAACTTGGACAATCGTTCAAGTCCTCGGCGGACCCATGGCAGGTCGTAACGCGCTACGACGCGCACAAGTCGCTTGCATACGGCGTTGACTGGTCGTTTAGAGGCGAAAACGAAGGGATTGGAAACACGTTGATTGCCAGCTGCTCCTTTTACGATCACACACTACGTCTATGGAGGGGATAATGCAACATCCCGTGCTATACAGCAACATCTCAGATGAATATGTACAGCTAAACCAATTGGGTATATGCGGAGTATAATTTCTGATGCCTATCCATGGACCAGCCGTTCGTCATTTTGAGAGATCCGAGTCGCCTGACTCGACTGGTTTTGGCTCGGAGGGCGCTGGAGCTGGCATGGAATTTCGTTTGCGCCTCCAGAAGGCCACGTTGGGCCCTCTCATCACAAAGGCCACTGCCCATCGCGACAGCCCGCGCAGCGAATCTGGGCGGTGCGTGGCAGCGGTCAAGATCGTTGACAACGATAAGACGAAAGCAATCCTGTTCAATGCATTAGCGACACGGCGAGCGTAATTATCCCCGATTAGACTGACCTTTCCCCGTACTTCACGCTCTTCCCGCCGCCTGTTACCCACCTTTCGGGCAGGCATGCCCTGATCGCTCTTGGGAGTACGTACAGCGCAATCTCGCCGCGCCTGCGCCCCTGCTCAACGAAGATGCTCGCGCCGCACACCAAGCTCCCCGCGAACGTGCATCCGAACGGGCCGTCCCAGAAATCGTGTGATATCCACGGCAACGCGCGCGCAAGGACCGTTGTGCGCACGAGGCAGACAGCGGCCCATATGGATGCGACGAACGTACTAAGGAAGGATGCACTCCGCAGCACGGCAGCAAGCGTCGCGAGGACCGGCGCGGGTTGCAGGAGTGCACGCGGGCGGTAGAGCAGTATGGGTAGGAAATGAACCTATCACATGAGCAACTTAGCATGATGGAGATGTCCATGACTACGTAGGGACGAGCATACCGGCAAATAGAGCGCAAATGCGCTTGCGAATGCCTGAGCACCTCTGATCAACGTATTCATGGTGCAGCTCCCGCCGGTGACGCCGCCATGTACAAGCTCGCAAGGAATCCCGCCGATGCCTTGTCTGCCGGAGACGCCCAGCGCCTGCCAGGCCGCGTTCGCTGTGGCGCCACCGTATGCGGGTAGACGCTTCACGTCACCCCAGGCGGACGGGTAGCCGAGGTCGTGTGAAAGCGAGGAGAGTAAATGTGGCTGCGTGGATTGATGCCGGCGGTAGGACCACGCGCCGGAGCGAAGCGCGCGGAGGGCCGCGAGTATGCGGGGATCAATGTTCGCTAAGGTCATGATCCTGGAGATAGAGATCCATTAGTTTGTTGGGGCATTTGATGGACTGCGTTGGGGGGTGGGGGTGCATACCATTTGTTATAAGATCGGGGCAGCCTGGTGGGGATGAGCTTAGCGTGAGAGGCGTTCGAGCAGTTGAAAGGCCCAACCTTTCGGGCTCATAGAGGAAGCACCAAATTATCCTGTACAGTGTCTCTGCTTTGAACTTGAACTCCACTCGTACAAGGAAAGTGTCACGAACCTTGCACTACAGGCCCAAAACACCATCGCGTCTACTCTGGTTCTCAAAAGCCGTTTCTTTTCTTGTACGCGCTTGCCTTTCTCTTCATCTTTTGTGGTCACCTCGCAGTACTTGCGTATGCCAATCTGCGTGAGGGCGTCCATCGCGCGCACAAGAAGTAATAGCGTCAGATCGAGAGTGATCGACGGTCGCGGACCAGCTCGTCGTGCCTTGGGAGCGGTGATCGCCGGCATTATCGGTATGTCTCCAGCCAGGAGGAGCTCAACTGGAGCTGGGCGAATGCGTCCAGCATGGAAAAGCGTGATGGCGAGAGAGGACGAGAGGATATAGGAGAGGAAGGTCCTATGCGAGTCCTTCACGCTGGCAAGGTATTGTGCTAACTTCCTTGTTCCGGACCCCGCGGCTGTGCTGTCTTCTTCGTCCTTCAGCTTCTCGCAGAGCAGGTTCCATGCCTCCCTGATGATAGCGCCTCCGCCGACGCCTACGGCCATCGCGCACGCGAATCCAGTCGCGCTCAGTTCTCGCACGAGCAGCTTCTTCAGCCGCTGCAGTCCATTGATGCGAGCCTTTGCGGATGTGAAGAAAGGCAGGAAAGCTGGCCCGAGAGCAAGGGAGAGAGAGAGCGCGTAGGTGCGCAGGAGCACCTGTACGGGATGGTCGTTCGGGAGAGTGGCAAGAGCATCACCTATGCGTGCCAGAGCCGCTCGGCCACCCGTCTTCGCTGGCGACAACGGCGAAGACATTGTATTGCTCTCGGGAGAGACGCAGGCCGCAGCTGGCGCTGGCTAGAAAACAGGTGCCGCTAAGGAGGGAATATGGCGAGTCCATTTCAGCACGAAGCTGCAGCCATCATCGAAAGCGATTTCACATGCGAAAACGGCACACGAACGCGCCCACGTGATACTGCTCTTGCGCGTGGCGCGTCGACAATTAATGGTGGCTGCACGTCCAGATTATTGGATCTTAGTGGCGTGGAGTTCTCTTCTCAACCAGACTTCCGTTAGACTGGTGAGGGGACATCAAAGTCTGCACTACCGGGGATTGATCTCTAACGGTATAGTCCGCCATATTGCACAGAGGCCGCTTCAAAAACGGAGTTCATGAATTTGCAGGCAACTTCGTGTTACCCCATAGACACAGCAGGAAAAATTAAATCGTGCGGACGCTACACCCCAGCCCAGATTTTCATGCATCTTCCTGTATCTGCAGTAACATAGTCTACAAATTGCCGTCAGTGAGTGCACATCCATTACGCTGAGGTGTGAGTGCTTTGCCCTCGCTACCAATTGGGAGAACTCTACTGTGCTATTAGCATGACCAAAATTGCCTGTACAAAGCTGAGACTGGAGCATAGCACGGAAAACGTGCACTACGGTAAAGATTTATCCTCACTTGTGGGCCAGCCTCCATACCCGCCGCGACAATGTAGCTGAGACGAAGTTTATTGTTCTCCCGTCTTATAGCCAACGTGATCATCGCATGGTGCACCCACTACATTGAGAGGATATACCAAGTGCCGTAAATGTCGTGCAGTGCGAGAACGTCAAACGGATAAAAATAATATTCGTAGATCAGTAACGTACTCAACTTCCCATGATGTAGATCCCAGCATATAAATAGCAGGAACGGTATTGTTTCCAAGTGAGGCAATTTCTCACGAAGGCACTGCCCACCGGCACAACAACCGATGTGTTGATACCTTGGAAAACCTGTCATAACCGCATACGATATATAAAGGAAAGATGGACACGAAGATGGGAAGCGCGCAACGGTGAATATCACAGAAAATAGGATGGAAGCGGCCGAGTGTAATTGATGGCCAGCGAGAGAGAAACCATACAGTACGCTCCGTGAGGACTGAACATCTTCGAACTTGGTGATGGCCTGTCCATAGAACGTCAGTCATTGAACTTGCACTGCGAGCGATGGTGCTCACAATTGTACGTCTGTGCATTCTGGCTAGAGCAAAGCCGAACGCCGTAAACAGTCAATAGGGATCATATGAAATGAGTGACATTCTCGAATGAGCACAGAGAGAACATGCCGTCCCTGTTCGAGTTAAACATGGAGGACACTATCATATCTTGAAGATGCGGAGACTATCAGTGAACTGCCGGAACATTAAGCTGCTCAGCACTCTCACAGTTTGCCGACGATCATGCGAAGCATGACGCGCGGAGCAAGCGTGCAGTAACACTGACAAAAGGGCAGCTGGAAGCCATATAGGCCTGTCATATGCTTAGCTTTATTCATTCCGTCGATGAACACTGCAGACGCGTAGCAATCATCTGAAAAATGCATTTCCGGACGTGCTGAAATCAGATAGGCCAATGAGGGATGGCAACTTGGAGTAAGGCGCACAGCGAATGGAGCCAATGATTACAAGCTTGGTTCAAAGTGCTCACCACGGTAAACCCAAGTGACCTGTACTATGATTCGTTGACGCAGACGGCCTGGCAGCCTGCCGATCCGAAATAGCTACCATCTACTCGCTCGGTGAGACCACAACACGACAAAAACTTTGCGAGCACCACCGTGCTAAGCCACACGGACGCAGCATAAAACCGCCCTGTCGTGAGATAAGATGGGCATCGAATCATGGCCACAGAAATTGAACGGCCGTATAGAGTTGGAACTTATGGCGTTGCGAGGCGTCGAGCGCTAACAATCACGTGCATTCTCCGGACGGATCAATCATCAACGTGGTCATGGCTCCAAATTAGGCAGGCCTCGTCATTCGCATTTTCACCCAGCACAGCCTTTTCCTCCGATTTCCCACGTCTCTTGCCGCCAGACCGCGTCGAGGCGCTCAGGCTTCGACGTATAAATATGCGGGCGTGCAGCGCGGAGTTGCTCCTCAGAAATGGCACCGGTGCGAGAGTGTAGTGACGGTGGTGTGACGGACAGTGCCGGCACTAGAGTGTGGATGCTGGTGTGCCGTGGCACGAGCGTGTCTGTTGGAGAAGCGGCGTAGCGAATTAACGTGTGACAGACTGTACGTTCTATGTCGATTGCGGTGGGCTGCGCTGGGATGCAGTAGCTTTGTGTCCTTAGCGTTGTTGCACTACAATAAAAAGAGGATCTCCTCGAGTTGATTGGACGTACGGTTTGTTATTGCGTGACGCTAAGTCAGGTCGAAGCTGGGTTAGTTGGATCAGTTATTAATACCTTGCGAGGAATTTCGTTGAACTGCAGGTACGATCGGTGAAAGGTAAGCGAACTTTCCATAGCGGAACGGTACTAACACACAAGGAAAATCTCAGAAGATAAGGTAAGCGGAAGATAAGGTAAGCGTACTAACAGCGTTTGGACATTAACACTCAAACCAATTCTCAGAACATAAGGTAAGCGTACTAACAGCGTTTGCATACTAACGTTATGACCTCGAAAGATGAGGTAAGCGTAATAACAGGTTGCGTGACTAACATTGCAAAGAAAAGTTTGTTATTTGGAGGTACGGTTCGCCAAAGGTAAGCGAGCTTCTGTTCGATGGGCAGATATTGACACGATGACATTCAACAGCGAAGGTAAGCCAAGACGTCAAGATGACCAGATACTAATATGTTAGACATGGTCGTTCCCGATCGGATGTGTAATCTGCAGTTGCCGCCTGCGATCTGAAGAAGTTCGTCCACTAAAGACCACTTTCGTGCGTGAGCGCGGGCACGATAAGGTAAGTATGGTACTGCACGTTCACCAAACTGAAGATTGTGGAACAGCGATAGTGACTTGATTAGTCCTTCGTCAGATGGGGACGTTGAGGAGGTCCATGACAACGGTAAGTAATGCCACGGTGACTGGAAGCGCAGAACGGGATTGAATACTAACATTTCAGCACTCAAGCGGCGGGAGTAGGGTGGCGATGAAAGCTCGTCGATGTTCAAGTTTCACGAGAGCGTCCAGTGACAACTATTCTCGGTTCGGGCACGATAAGGTAAGTATGGTATTGCACGTTCACCAAACTGAAGATGGTGGAACAGCGATAGTGACTTGATTAGTCCTTCGTCAGATGGGGACGTTGAGGAGGTCCATGACAACGGTAAGTAATGCCACGGTGACTGGAAGCGCAGAAGGGGATTGAATACTAACATTTCAGCACTCAAGCGGCGGGAGTAGGGTGGCGATGAAAGCTCACACGTTCCGACGCATGCGTCGATGTTCAAGTTCCACTAGAGCGTCGAGCGACAACTATTCTCGGTTCGCCATACAACTATTGGTCTTCGCGGTCGATTCCCTGGGGTCGGGTTTGTGCGCGAATGTAACATGGACGGTCGACTTCGGGGTTTGCGCGCGTTCGACATCTCTGAAGATCTTCAGCGCATGCGACAGCAATAGCGACGCCTTGTTTGAGCGTCAATGGTATTCTTTGTTACGAAGGGTGAGTTCAATGCGACTTTGAGACAAGCGAGCGATATGCTAATTTAGTATCTATAGACGACTTCCAGCATCAACCCGCCCGAATGTAGGCTGAAGTGTGCGCTGACTTGCGATGCGTCTCGCAATTACTTCGACGCCTTGTTGAGCGTCAACGCATTTCCCCATGCCGGAAGGTGAGTAATATGTGATGATCTTTTTAGGTTGATTGACGGCATTCTAACTTCTTACGGCAGATATAGACGCAACTACCGACATCTCATTCGCTAAGCGGTTCAGCTAGCTTTAACTGCATTCTTCGGACGAAAGCAACCGCCGGCGGACGAAAAAGGAAAAGACGCACTTGTACGACGAAATTGCACTGACACCCTGTCGAGACGCGCAGGAGCGTCAACGTTCTGTTCATATCGGAAGGTGAGTAGCCGATCTTCCGGAAAAAATGGGGGTAGCGTGCTGATCCTCACGTACCAGATATATTCGTAAGTACTCGACGTCGACATCGTGGGGTCGGACCAGATAACCGGCCCTGACATACGACCCACGACTCACTTCAATGTGACCAGACGACCGACCGTCATCAACGCCTCCGAGCGTCAACGTCAGCTTATACGAACATACTATTCTAGAAGAATTGACGTGATGACGCGTCTTCTATAGGTGTAGACGAACACATTCGACATTTCGCTTCCGATGCACTTACGCCACTGAGCAACGGCAACTTCAAGTCCACTGTCGATTTTTAGACACGGCCGCCCGAGTGCGGACGATGACGGCGTCGCCGTCTTGGAGCAACGCGTCTTCAGGCTACGTGCGAACGCTAGAGATCCCCGGGCCGAGTCACCGTCCGAATGCGGACACGGGTCTGGCATGTGTCGATCTTGGATGAAGTGTTGTGTGCGTTTGTCTCAGTGGAACGTATTGACGATGAACGTTGCAGCCAGTCGATTGGGTCGAAGTTTCGACAGAAGGGACGGAGAAAGTTGATATATGTGCAGGGGAACGGACATTCTTATTATAGTTCGTTTCTAATATAATGGTCAGCGGTTTATGATCATAGATGCGTGCAGTCTGTGAACGATAAGTTCGATGAACCGAGGGAGCGTGGGTAAGACGGTCGTACAGAACGCGAACGTGTATAAAGTTGTACTTATAGTCGGCTCGGACGTACTCATAGAGTCATAATAGGGTTGATTGCGTGTTTCTGCCCGCGACATGAACGTGTTGGTGTCGTTATACAGCGTACAGTCTGCTATGTACAGTTGCGTGCAAACCGTGTATATGCGAATTACAGATATCCTGAAAAAAGTACTCGTAATCCACGAATGTAATAAGAATTGTCCGTCGTCATGAAGCCTATCATTCTTCTCCGGCTGCGCGCCTTCATCTCTTTTCGCATACGTGGAATCTCATTCGCACGTTTGTTGGCCACCTTCCTGTCCGTTCTCATCGTCGTCTTCCTTACCACCTCTGTCCTCCTTTAGATCCTCTCGTGTTTCGATTTGATGCTGATAGCTCCAAAAATCCACGGCTCGCACCCCATCCTCGACCCCGAGCGCCGCCTCCAGCTCTCCGCGCATGCCCGCCCGCTCCACGAGCTCTAGGAAGCGTGCCCGCGAGTCGGGGTAGACAAATGCGCGCAAGATGTCACCCGCCTAATTCGATGAAATAGTCAATACCCAAAAATAAGTAGGGAGGTAGAAACTCAGAAACGTACATGCTCGCGGATGACAGCAGCAACAAGCGCACGTGGCGCGGCGGTCGGAATGACGCCCGTGTCCGCCGCGAGGGCCTGTGAGGAGGTCATAGAAAAGGGCGAGAGGGGAGATGATGGCGAGGTGGGAGAGCTCGGTGACGATTCTATCAGAGACCCTTCGTAGTCTGGTGCTTTGCCCTTGTCCTTCTCCGCTTCCGCAGTCCCCTCGCCGTCATCCGTTTTCCCGTCAGAAGCCGCTTCTTCGCTTTGCGCTCTCTCGTCCATTTCAAACCCCTCTAAGGTTTCTTCCTCGTCCTTCCCAGCATGTTTGTCCTCGAGTTCCACATTCAACCACTTTTCCCAGAGCTCCAGTTTCCTCCCATCCCTCCTAAGCTTCCTGAGTGCCGCGCGAACGCGTATCCAGTCCTCGCCATCGCCACGCCACAGTCCTGTATCAACGATTTCCTCCTCGTCCTCCAGGCTCTCGACGACCGACGGCGGACGTGATGCGCCCTCTTCCTCATGCTCCATCTCCAAGCTCAGCCTTACCTCCTCATTCGCGACCGCGCCCGCGTCGGCACTCTCCCCAGGCACCTGCGTCTCCCTGGCCGCCCTTTCCGCATCCGGGTGCAGCGCGCCCGGTCCCTTCCTATGCATCCTGACCATGAGCCTCACCCAGCGGCGCCTGCGCACCCAGCCGGCCGTGCTGAGGGAGCCGACGTCGGCGCGCCATGCATCCGGATTGTTGGAGAAGGACCAGGCGTACTCGAAGCCGTCGTGCTGGACGAGCCCGTCGCCGCGCATGTCGATCATCCACGCGCGCGAGACCCAGCGCCAGGTGCCGTCTGGGAGGGGGTATGTGGAGGGCGAGAGAGTGGAGACGTGCATGGAGGAGCGCTGGTGGTGGGCTGGGAAGGAAGAGGAGGGGAGGGAGATGGGGAGGGTGTAGGGTGGGGGGTCCCAGGGGAAGAGGGATTGTGGCGAGTACCAGGGCGTGGAGAAGAACATTATGCTATGAGTGAGCAAGGTACAGTCAGCTCAGAAAGCGTATTATATTAAGAGAGATTGGTATGACGCACCCACGCTGGTTCTCGTACAGTACAGCCCACTTGTATACGGGCTTGTCTGCGTTCTCTTCTTCTTGCATAAGCTCGTCGTTCAGCTGTACCAGTGCCGAGTCTGCAGACGGCGCCCCGAGCGTCGGAAGGAAATCATGCTCATGCAGTGCCTCGTCGTGCACCCTGAGCTGCTCCTCTTCGACTTCATGCTGGCCCTTGTGCTTCTGCCGAGCACGACGGAAGTTTGGGAGGGGCAGAGAACCGAGAAGGCCGCGGCTGTGACTCAGTTTCGCGCGCGCATCGCGTGCAACGTCCGAGTCCTCGCGTGTCTTGGGCGGGCGGATGGCGCGGAGGAGGGAGGAGGAGGAGGGCGGGGACGGGCGGCGGCCAGCAGACGAGGGCGCCATTGAGAGGAGGTGAACACAGCAGAGGGTTGCTTGTACATGGCGATCACATGACGTCGCGCTTGCCGGCGACCACCATGTTTCGTCGGGTCCTCGTCGCCGCCCCGCCCAGGCTCGCCTCTGCTCTGCCACAGCGCCCCCTCGTGCGCATACATCTGCCTCCTGCCACTGCTGCTCGTCTCTCTGCACACCGCTTCAGCACGTCTTCCCCCCCTCACCCAAAGTGCCCGCAATGCTCTGCGCCCCTGCCTTCCCCGCTTCCCATCTGTCCCAAATGCGCGTACATTGCCCCCATTCCGCAAGGAATGACCTACCACGAGATGCTTGGTTTACCCTATGAGCCGAATCCTTTTATTGTGAACCCTGCCGCGCTCAAACGCCGCTTCCTCGAGCTTCAGGGCATCATCCATCCCGATCGCTGGGTCGGGAGGAGCAAGGTGCGTGGGCTCTTGCTACTCAGTGGGTGAATGGAAGATTGACATAGCCGTCGCGGCAATCGGCACGAATGCAGGAGCAACAGGAGCTCGCTGTCGTTATGTCTGCCCGCATCAACGACGCCCTCCACCGTCTCTCGAATCCCCTCCGCCGCGTCGAGTACATCCTCGAGCATGAAGGGTTTGCCGGCGAAGACACCGATAAGCTCGAAGACCACACCCTCCTCATTGACATCCTCGAGATGCGTGAGCGCATCGAGGGCGCAGAGTCTCGGGAGGAAGTCGAAGAGGTCAGGGCGGAGAATGCTGGTATGCACCGTCGAATGCATCACGTATGATAAGCTCACAAAGAGGCGGTATGCAGAGCAAATAAAGGAAACGATCGACGAGATTAGGCATCTTGTAGAGAAGAAGGACTGGCCCGCCGTCAAGGAAGCCGCCGTAAAGCTCAAGTATCTCCAGGGCATCGAGCAGGCCGCCGCTGCGTGGCCTCACCCTTTCACCGACCATCATTAACACCATCCTCTTTTGCTCTCGAGTTGTGTATAATGCCCGCGAAAATGCTACACAGGAACCCCCTCTGCTAAGTGATTAGTGAGCGATTTTTCTATACATTGTCCCTGGCCAATGTAGACTCTCGGAATTGTAAATAGGTGTACAGTCGGAAGCATGGAATGCTGTCATAACGTAACAAATAGGTGTCCTCCTTATAGAGAGTGGCAACGTTCATCTCAAGCCGTCTATATGATCTACTATGTGTCTTTGCCGCAGACCGGTGCGTTGGAGGAGGGTCCAACGCCACAGACGGAAGCATTCCTGGGCGTCTACTGTGAGTAACGCGTGACGGTACGCGTCGAGACGCGCTTGTGGCCGGGACACGTTGTCGTGTCGAACTCCTGCTAAGCCTCCCACTGGCGTACGACATCTGCACGTTCGGCCTTGTTGCACTGGATGCGTCTCCATCGTAGTTTTGAGGGCTGATTATACAGATCCGAGGCTTGGTACCAAGGAGTCGAACAATGAATAGGGTTCTGGATACTATCTGCAAGCGACGTGCTTTTCGCGTTCGAAACCGAAGGAATGAACCTTCCTCCAGAAGCCTGTTCTCAAATATTTCAAGCAGCGAATCACGTATCTGACTTTCACGTATCTGACTTAGCCTCTATTTCGTTTCAGTCTGCAACCGACGTCCCGGGGGGTGACAGCGGCTGGCTCGCAGCACAGCCAGCCGCGATACTAGCCTCCAATTCCAATCCTGAGACAGGTCAGCTCCCGTTCCTCTCTTCCTTCTACACCCATCACCAACCTACACTCACCACTCAACATGTCTACCCTCCAATCGTCCGCACATCTGATGCGTCTCAAGCCGTGGCCTTTGGATTGTCCAACACTCTCTCTCGGAACCGAGGAGGTACGCGTCCATGTATTTCTTCTCCGCGTCTGGTGTCATGCTTCATCATACGCAACAGCATGCACGGCCTACCAAGCTTCAAGAGCTCGGTATACGCGCCCTTCTCGACCGCCCGAAGCTCGAGCACATCCAGAAGCTTCAAACGCATGCCCACGCCCTCCGACACGAGGCAGACAAGAAACGCATCGCCGCGCTCGAAGAGCGTTATCAAAACTCCACTACCAGCCTGCTCGCCGCGAAGACCAAGCTCGCCGGCGAGACGGCCGATCTCCGCGCGCGGCTGGCCGACACGGAGACTGTGCTCAATCACACGCAGGAGGAGTGCGTCGTACTTCAGGTGCATATCGAAGAACGTATAATTCGGGAAGACGCTCTGCATGCTCAGCTGGCCGACACCGAGGTTGTGCTCAAGCACACGCAAAAGGAGTGCGTCGTTCTTCAGGCGCATATCGAAGAGCGCACGATTCGGGAGGACGCTCTGCAACCTCAATTGGCCGGCTGCAAGGCTGACAGGGACGCTCTGGCTGGTACGAATGCCGATCTGTCTGGCAGGGCTTCTAACGCAGAGTATTCGCTGGAACTCGCCCGACAAAAACTCGCTGACTTGGAAGCTCTCGTTGTCGACCTGAAGACTTCAAGAGATAACTTGGCTTCGCGGCTGAATCTCGCTATTACCAGGGAAGCTGAGCTCGAGAAGCGCGTGGCCGACTTGGAGGCGACTCTGCAAGACGAGAAGCAAGACCACACGACAACCCTGTCGAATGCTTTGGCTCTCAAGGCCCGTCTGGACAGCGTCGAAGCCCAGAACGCCCAGCTCGTCGGCGACGTCAAGGATGCGAAAGCAGCCGCGTCGCACTACCAAGCCTGTGTTGAAGAGGCTGACATGCGGTGCTCGAATATGTCTGCTTCTTTGGACGATGCGCAAGATGCGCTTGCTGCAGAACGACAACGGTCCGCTTCTCTCGCTCTTTCCGTTGCCAACCGCGAGAACGAGTATCGCGCAAGCGAGGCAGCCCACAGCGCCGAGGTGGCGAAGACTCAAGCTCAACTCGCTGATGCTCTGCAGGAGAACACGGGTCTTTTGGCTAGGCTGGGGTCCTGCGAGACTTACGGAAAAGAAAAGGATCTTGCACTCGCCGACCGCGACCAGGAATTGGAGGCGCTGCGATTGATGGTTGCTGACCTGCAGGCTGCGTTTTCCCAGGAACATGCTGCGAGACTGGCCACCTCAGCGGAACTCGAGAATGCAAGACAGGCCGCTGCCACTGAGAAGGTACTTAGGCAAGAATGCGAACAGCGCGAGCAGGACCTGCATCGCGAGCTTCAAGAAGAGTGCGATGCACACGCCAAGACCGAGGACGCACGTCGGGAGGTGACGGAGCTCCTCATCACCACACGCATTGAGCGAGAGCGTGTCCGCGAGATAGCCGACCAGGAGCGGGAGATGAAAGTGTTCGCAGAGAATGACGTCACGGGCCTCAAGCAGCAGCTCCGCAGCCTGCGCGAGGAGGTCGAGGAGGCGGAGACGACGAAGCGCATCGCCGCGCTCACGCAGGACAACGGGGAGCTCGCGAAGACCAACGAGACTCTGCGCAAGACCGTCGAGGATCTCACGGGTGCGGTGTACAAGGCAGAGAATACCATTCGTGGGCTGCGCGACGCCAACGGCTTCGTCTCCAAGCAGTACAACGAGCTTATGCTGGACAAGAACGCTGCCGAGAAGCAGCACACGCAGAGCAAGCAGGCTGCGGACAAGGATCTCGCTCTAGCGCGGATGGACGCAGAGAAGCAGCTCGCGAGCGCCGCGAAGAAGCATGAGAAGGACCTCATCAAGAAGGACAGGGAGATCGAGAGGCTGCAAGGGCGGAACGCAGCGCTTGTCTCTCAGGTACAGGCCACGAGCAACGCGAACGACGAGCTTCGCAGCGCGCTCGACACACAGCGTACGTCCACCGGTGACGCACTGAAGGAGTCTCGGCAGCTCGTGCAGCACCTTCTGGACAGGGCGAAGAGCTGCGAGTGCAAGCGGAACGAGTCTGACGACGTGGCTGATATCGAGAACCGATCCGTCCGCGGGAACGGCCAGAGCATGGTAAAGGACAGCCCATTGCGCAGGATGGGCAGCGTTTTTTGGAGGGTACGTTGCTGTTCTTGCTGTTTATCGCCTGGTACTGATGGCTCTCTCATAGACGCCGGCGACGCCTCTGGGCGACCTCAACTGAGGTCGTCCAGGGCCGGGGCGGCGTCGCGGCTGAATGGCAGCGCGAGCCCTTTGCCTCCCTGTGAGTCGCTCCTTACGCTCAAAGTCTGAAGGCACTCAGCGTGAGGTCAGACGGCTTGGACCTGTGAGCTGTTGGGGGGATGTGAGTCGTGCGCTAGTGTGCGGAGTTTTGTCCGCAGCGCGAGCCCATCGCGTCCTGGTGAGCTGCACTTTGTTGCGGAAGCGTGCACCGCACTCATCTTGTTCAAGCCTGACAAGCATGGTCGGAAGCGATGGCTCGTGCGCCGATTCATTCACTAGACACCCACATCTTTGATCGTCTTCATGGTGGGCAGAGCTGTACTCTGATCTCTCTGCCACGCATATTAAAATTAACGACAGGCCACTTGCCCCCGCTGACCAGAAGAGACGGTCTCTTGTATTCCGGCGCCTACTAGGCGCGCGCGTTTTCATAGTCCACCGGTAAGTAGAGCTTGCCTTTCTTCTGTAGCGGCAGATACTCATGCGAAGCAAGGTCGCTTGGTCGAGCCGACCCCAGGTCTGTCTCACGCAGGAAACCAAAATTGTTCACCGCCACCCAAGTAAGTTGTTAAGACCACACCCCTCGCATTGTCTCGCTTACGCAGTCGGATGGCAGTTCGCCTCCTCAAACGCGCCACCGCCAAAGCTCTGCCTCTTCAGCCGATTTCTCCTGTGCTAGTATTCCTCCTCCATTATGAAGACCGCTGCCAAAGCTCTGTCTCTGCAGCCGATTACTCCTGTGCTAATATCTGATATTTCTCCTCCGTTATGAATTAGATGCGCGACCGAGGGTCGCTAGTGTTGTCCTCTCTCCGGGTCGAGCCATGTCTTTGGGGCACGGTATCGTGGGAAGGTGTCAAATCCCGGATTGTCCTGTATCGTAGCTTATGATATATCGAGTTCCCTTTTCGTGCCAATGCGGTCTCAGATCTGAATAAGGGGGCGAGGTGCCCATGCGAAAGACCACCCAACGGCATCTTTTTCGAATTGTCCTGACATCCTGTAAAACTGAGCTATCGTACAAATTCCTCGCATCACGAAACAGCAACATTCATGCGCAAATGTGAGCTGGGAGACAGGAGGGATGGGGTATCATCGTCCTCTGCGCGCCGGATGATCCCTGCTTGCATCGTTGCTACAGTGAACGCATCAAGAACCACTCTCAACTCACAAAATTCTGATTCTGACCACTCACCGTCAAGTTCCTCAATATCATGCTCGCGCGGCTGGCGCATCTTGTCCAGAAGCGCTTCTCCGATAATCGTCTTCACTTGCTCCAAAATGACCGTGTCTGTTTCAACGTCGTTTGCTTTGTCTCCTGCAGTGCGCTCTACGCGCCACCACCAGATGATCCCTCTGTAGTTATTCCCAAATGCATGGAGGTTGCCTACTCCAAGAGAGAAGTAACGTAACGAAGACATGACCCGGATAAATGGGAGCAAATAGGGCTCAAGCAGGGACTTGATCCAAGTCTGATAGTGCTGATCATTGACAAGGATCTGCAGAGTATGCACTTGAGAAGACGCAAAGGAACTCGTGACGTCATTCTGTATAAAATGTACAATGTTGGTCCAGGTGACAGAGAATCATGATCAAAGCTGAAGTCCACGAACCAGTAATTCAAATAACCTTTCTGTCGATTGTGTAACATATGAAAAAGTTAGCTGAAGGCACTGCAGGCGAGTGGCGCTCCAGGCCAGTGTCTCATAGAAGGCCATCTGTTGACAGTGCACGACAACGCACGCAAGCATGACAGGGGATGTTTTCCGTATGACGTCTAGAGCTTCGTCACGATTATGGTGTAAATAGCCACATCCGAGAAGCTGCACATAATGGGTCGGATATTGCAATGGCCATTCTTGCATGTGACTGAGGCGGACGTCAATATAGAGATGGTCGAGCTGCGACCACCATGGTACGTCTATGTTGTGAAAGGCCTTGTGCATGTCGGTCAGAATCACACCATCGAGTCGTAGAGTCCGCAAGTTCGGGAATATACATGCAAGGAGGGGGAGGGACGTGCGTCCTTCGACCGCGAGATGCCGCACAGATAGCCGTCGACGCAAACCGCGAAAGAAATCGGGATAAGCCACTGGCCAGCTGTTATCCGTCATTTCGTCGATTTCGAGCGTCTCAACCGTTGACGTTGACAGCGCGGGGAATGCATCTGACAAGAAGTCACCGAATGGGTCAGAATCTCTCGCAGCCGATAGCTTGAGCGTCTTCGGTGAGCTTCGAAGTCTCGCGATTAGTGCAAAAGCTTCTCCATGGAGCTCCAGGTGATCGAGATTCGGCAGGCTGACCAAAGAATCGCAGACTTTCGGGCATGTTTCGTACAGTGCACGTATCCATGACAAGGATAGATGCCTCAATCCTTGCGCAAGCGCAAGGAGCTTTGCGAGAAGTGACAGACGATAATGGTCAGTCAGATGACTTTCATCATCAGTGACAATATTCGCTCCGAATGTGATGGTCAGACTACGTATCCAGTGCAGACGATTGGGGGGATCCTCAAGCATATAGGCACACATGCTATAGAGAGCAGAAAAAGATCCGATAGTTATTTCGGATAAGGCGCGACGGCGCGCGGGCTCGTGAAGAGCACGAGAGACAAGACTGAGACAGAGAGCGTCCTTGGGCGAGAGCAGATTCAGTGTGGCGTACATGATGTCTTGATTGAGAGACAGCAGAGTACTATTCCCGTTCCGAGGTTGCAACTGGGCAGTAGACAGGATGGACCGAGGAGCGGTTTGTTGGGACATCATATAGGATGGAACGGAAACAACTCAGCGGATGAGGTAGAAAGGCCGTGTGTAATGTCTGGTATGTTTGATTGCGAACGTTGTCGGCTGATATGACCTGTTCGAGACGTAAAGGCTATGTTCTGTGCGTGTGACAGCTATGAACGTCTGGCAGATGCAGTAGCTGAGTGGACACGGGCCGTCAACAATGTGCATGAACCACTCACTGCTGGTTAGCGAAGAGTGCAGAGCCTGTGCGTCTATAACTCTGGCGCCCAAAGGGAGGCGGAAGCGCCGGGAATTGCGTATCGGGCAATTTGTCGTTCTTGCACTCACCGTGACCTTGCCGGCGGTCTTTACGACGCTCTCGCGTCCCACATCCTGCCATTCTCACCGGATAGAACTTTCAGTGCGCAAGGTCAACGCGTAGGCGACTGGAAACATCAGCACTCACAGGTTAGTTTTGCCAATTCTCGTTCGAACAGCGCACTGTATGGATCACAGATCCTCGGGCAGCCACACATGCGCCCTGCCTTTCTCCTGCGACAGAGGCGCAGCCTACTCATGCCATTAGACCCTTCCAAACGGTCCCCTTCTTTTGGATCTCCTCTCAAGCGTCCTTTCCCCCAATCCCGTTCCGTTTCCTCCTCTTCCTCGACTGCCGCAGACCAGGAAGCCCTTCGGCCAGGCAAGGTTCCAAAACTCGAAGACGCACATTCCCCTACAATTTTCGCGTCTTCTACGAGCACTCTGCCTTCTACTTCAGGTTCGTCGCGCCGCAAACCCAGTTCCTCTTTGCTCGCGCGCATGCCTCCGACCGGACCCTCCCAGCTATCCAGCGGTAAGGGGAAAAGAGGGAAGGCACAGGCGGCGTTGGCCTTGAAGGCACCTATTTTAGAGCCCACGTATGACTTGGAGTACATCGAGGAGCACTATAAGACGGAGCAGCTCAAGCAACAATGGTTTGACAACCCAAAGGCAGCCGTAGCTAATTGGATGTCCAATAAGTACAAGTCCACTCCATTATATGAGTCAGTACAGGGTTTAAACAGCAATCGGAAAGCGATATGGAGGTGGGACTTCCGTCATCATTCTTCCTAGTCCACGCTGAGCTTGGCTTAGAACCACAGCACGAATAGATATCAAAAACCTGCGGATGGAAGCTTATGGAGATCATCAGAACAGAAAAGATTCAGAAAAACTTGCGGCATTATCTCTTTTGTATCAACTAATCGACGCAGGGCTGGTGGGTACCATGTGGATTCAATTCTCTTTTGAACCCCATGTTTCCAACTGACGGTCGGTCTATATATAGCTTGGACAGCCTAGTAAAGGCCGGCAGGCAGAGCTGGAGCCGGAACTCTCACCAATGCAAGCTACGCTGTCTGATGGGAGCCTGGTCGATTTTGACAAGGGCCGACAGTTTATGGACTACTATTGTCGGCGCTTTGGTTTCGGCAAGCCGGATATCACATCTGTTGCCTTGAACAGCAGGGGACAAAAGACTTATTGGCAGGCGGAAATGACGGTAGGCGGCAGGAAGATTGGTTTTGCAACTGGTCCAAACAAGAAAGCTGCATCGATGGCCTGCTATATTGACGTCACGAAGTATCTGGAAGAATGCGACGCGAGCATTTGGGAGGAATTTCTCAAGGATGCGAAGACTGGCAAAGATCTTGGATTGGCACCCAGAGTGTTGTTTTCGATCGATGACTCCCTGCAGGAGCAGGTAGAAGACCTGTGCGCGGAGATCAGGAAGAGCACACTTTATAAAAAACGCCCAAAGACAGAGATGGCTCCCGGAGACGCTCCACCGGAACCTGAACAATCTCAGATCCCTACTGGACCTCGATATCCGGATCGCAGACCTGTCTCGCCAGAGTTCTTGCGGAAAAAGTCCGAAGTTTTGAAGCAGAGGCGTGATAGATACCTGCAGGACGAGAAGATGGCCAAAATGCGAGAAACTCGAGCGGCACTGCCTGTCTACACGAAGTCGGAGGAGCTGCTGAAACATATACAGGAGCATGATGTGACTATCTGTATGGCTGCCACCGGTTCTGGCAAGACGACGCAAATTCCTCAGCTCATTCTGGATGAGTGGACCGAGCGAGGGGAGGGCGCGAAGTGCAATATTGTTTGCACGCAACCTCGCAGAATCGCTGCTATCAGTGTCGCGGGTCGAGTCGCGAAGGAGAGGGGGGAGAACGTTGGTCGTGGGCATTCGATCGGTTATCAGGTCAGGTTCGAGGCGAATCTTCCAGACGAACACGGCGCGGTTACATTCTGCACAACGGGGATCTTCCTCAAGCGCATGCAATCCCAGCTGCTTGGGGGCGGCTCTGCCGGCAGGAGTCTGGACGACGTAACACACGTCCTCGTGGATGAAGTTCACGAGCGCGACGTCGACACTGATTTGTTGCTCGTCGTGCTCAAGCGTCTGCTCGCGGATCGCAAAGCGCGCAACCTACCGATTAAGATCGTGCTCATGAGCGCGACGATCGACCCGAAGCTCTTCCAGGAATACTTCCGCGAGGACGACGGCCAGCCGGCAAGCGTGATCGACATTCCGGGTCGTGCTTTCCCTGTGCAGAAGAATTACCTCGATGATTATGCTCATATGCTGGCGGGCCATCACGACTCCGCATGGGTGTTCCAGGAAAAGTCGGTGCAAAAATACCTGCGGTTCCAGCTTGGAGACGATGCGCCGGTGCCACGGCTTCCTGCTCCAAGCGGTAGGCCGCGCTCAAGTGATGTAGTGTCGGATGCAGATGATCACAGTGCCAAGGATATCAAGGACGATGAGCTCGAGCTGCCGGTACCCTTCATTGCGCTCACGATAGCGCACGTGCTGAGGAATTCGGATGACGGGCATGTTCTGGTGTTCTTACCTGGATGGGACGATATCATGGCGGTTCAACGATGTCTATTGAATGCAAGATCCTTGCTCGGGATGAACTTCAATGACCAGTCGCGGTACAGAATTCACCTTTTGCATTCAAGCATTCCCGTGGCCGAGCAGCAGGCCATCTTCGAGCCTCCGCCTGCGGGTATCCGCCGCATAATCCTGTCCACCAACATAGCCGAGACTTCTGTCACTATCCCGGACGTCGTCTATGTCGTTGATTCCGCGAAGGTCAAGGAGCAGCGGTACGACCCCGAGCGGCACATTTCGTCATTGGTCTCTGCGTGGGTCGGCTCCTCGAACCTCAACCAGAGGGCTGGCCGTGCTGGCCGTCACCGCCCGGGCGAATACTATGGCATCCTCAGCAAGCAGTTCGCGGAGAAGCTTCACCCATACCAGTTGGTCGAAATGAAGCGTGTAGATCTGAGCAACGTCGTCATGCATGTAAAGGCGCTCAACTTCTCCGGCATGACTGTGGAGGAGGTTCTGGCGGAAACTATCGAACCCCCGGCTCCTGACCGTGTGGTATCGGCTATGAATTCACTCCAAATGGTCGGTGCACTTGACGAACAGCACAACCTCACATCGCTTGGTCGCGTGCTTTTACAGATCCCAATTGACGTGCAGATGGGTCGGATGGTATTGTTCGGCAGTTTCTTCCGTTGTTTGGACCATGCTATCACCCTCGCTGCAATTCTGACCAATCGGGATCCGTTCGTCGCTCCAATGCACCTGAAGGCTGAAGCATCTGCCAAGAAGAACTCTTTTACGACCGAGGATTTCCGCTCGGACGCGCTTGCCACACTATATGCTTATAACGCCTGGTGGGACTTGCAGAAGCAAGGCAACTACGTTTCTGCGAACCGATTCTGTTCAGAAAACTTCCTCGCGAAGCCTGCGCTCCTGACGATTCAAAGGATCAAGGAGCATTTGCTGAAGTCTCTGTTCGACGCCGGGGTGATCGACGTCTCCGCAGGTGGCGATGTCGTTGGACCTGCAGGCCCAAGAAGAGGGGATCGCTCCATAGTCCCGTCGGCGTTGAACGTTAATGCAAATTCTCGGCCACTTCTCGCCGCTCTCATTGCGATTGCGACTCAACCGAAGTTTGCAATCAGGACAGGCGGAAAAACATATCGCACTCAACATGACAAGGTACATTTTTCGTCTTGCATATGCGGAATGATATTTCACTAATGTATTTGCGTTAGACTGTCTTCATTCATCCATCTAGCGTGAATCACCGGAAGCGTGAAATCCTCGAAAACGAGCCGAACGCTGTGATCACCGAGAAGCAGATCATTGCATACGCGGAGAAGCGCCAGAATATATCCGCAGGCTCGACTCAGGCTCAGATGTTCCTGGTGACGACCACACGGCTGGATCCGCTGACATACCTCCTCTTCGGTGCATACCATGTCGATGTGACTGCTCGAGGCTTGGAGTGCGATGAGTGGCTTCCCATCGTGGGAAGGGCTGATGCTCTCGATGAAGCGGAGCGGCTCAAGGTCATGATGGAGGCCTGCATGCTGCGAGTTTTCGAGGGTATCATAGCGCGGTCGGTCACGCGAAGTAGACGATCCGTACGTGCTCCTGGCGATGAGCGCGAGTCTGAATCCGGCGACGAGGATGAGGGGCCTGTGGATGGCTCGCTCAGTGGCATCGAGATCAAAGAGCTCGACTTGATGACGCGCGACATTGTCAACATTTTGAACAACTACAGTCGGTATCGCATTGCCAACCAGTCGCACCACAATTCGCGGCCTGGGACACCCATGGACTCTCCGTCGTCCGGGCCCTCTCGTCTGCCGGGATTCAGCGGCGGATCGCGCTCCGGATACTCGACACCGCACAACATGGCATACAATTCGAGGCCTAGCACCCCTAGTCCATTGTGGAAGAGGCTGTGAGCGATGGTTGTTGTACGAGTGGCGTTGGAATATAGATGTTCACTATACATATGGTACAATAAGTCGTGTAAAAGTAGATTCACATTTTGTTTTGTTATGCTAAGGACATACAGTAATGCATGTTTTTCACCGCTCTCTATGAAGACTCGAGTGATGGCCGGCGTACGCGATCGTGTGATGTGACGTGACCGAGGCTTCCCGCATATACTGCGCGTCTCTTTCTGCCAGCTTGAGCAGCCCTCCCCTCCCTTGCTACATCAGTGCCGGTCCACTGCTACCTATCCTGCTCGCTGTTCCGGTGGCCTGCCACAGCTCTTTTTGGTCTCTCTAGTGTTTCCTGCGGGTCATAGGCTACACTCCGATATTCGAGCCGTTGGACTGGTCGCCCAAGCGACCCAAGCGATCTGCCCAAGATGGCTTCCAATATGCGTGGGCTCACGCAGGTCAGTCGGGACAGCGCCATGCGTTAGCAGATGTCGTTAAATGCTATAATTATGTAGTTTATTGCGGACATCCGAGGTGCAAGGGTTAGAGAACTGGAAGAGAAGAGAATCAACAAGGAGATGGCTAATATCCGGAAAAGATTCAAAGGTGTGCTGGCGCCAGCTACTCGATCTCATGGTGTGACTAATAATTTCGGCCTAGATGGCAATCTGGACGGATACCAGAAGAAGAAGTGAGGATGCTCACAATGGCACTGGCAGATGTATTGATTCGCATGGTCCTTGAAGATATGTCGCCAAAGTCATCTTCACGTATATCCTCGGTTACAAAGTCGACATCGGACACATGGAGGCTGTGAACCTCATATCGAGTCCGAAATACAGCGAGAAGCAGATTGTAAGCTTTCCAGGCTATGTCTGGTGAACGTTAGCTGATTCAAGTTGGACCAGGGCTATCTGGCTGTCACGCTCCTGATGCATGAGAATTCGGACTTCTTGCGACTTGTAGTCAACTCAATTCGCAAAGATTTGAATGACAACAACGAGATCCACAATTGTCTTGCTTTGCACGCCATTGCTAACGTTGGAGGAGTGGAGATGGCGGAGGCTCTGACGGAGGATGTTCACCGTTTATTGATCTCTCCGTGCGTAATTCAATCTTTGCTGCCTTCCACGAAAATAATTTGTGCACAGAACATCTCCCAACTTCGTGAGGAAAAAAGCTGCGTTGACATTGCTCAGGCTATACCGGAAACATCCAGATGTCATCCCCGCTGCTGAATGGGCCCTGCGTATAGTATCAATCATGGATGATATGGATCTGGTGAGCACATTTAACATGTCAGACTGGCATGCAGATCCTGATGACGTGCTAAGGGCGTAGTGGTGTGCGTCACGAGTCTTGTCATGGCTCTAGCGCAAGACCATCTTGACGCTTACGCAGTATGCTATCAGAAAGCAGTCGATAGATTAAATCGGGTAGGACCCGAGTTGTATCGAATGATAACGATGACACTGAGCCCATTGGTAGCTTGTCGTACAACACGAATACCAAGCAACTTATGCATATTACAAGGTGCCTACTCCATGGCTGCAGGTGAAGCTTTTGCGATTACTGCAGTACTATCCTCCTACAGGTCAGATCGATGTTGCACATTTTGCTGAATCGCGACTAAATTAGCTAATCGCAGAGGATACGACATTACGCAAGGTCATGCTTGACGTGCTTCAGACCATGATGAACAATTGTGCCGAACCTTCAAGAAACGTCCAGCACAATAATGCTCAGCATGCCGTGCTTTTCGAAGCGATCAGCCTGGCCATTCACCTCGATACTAATTCACCCCTCGTCACAACCGCGGCTGTCCTTTTGGCTCGCTTCATCAGTTCCAAGGAAACTAACGTTCGTTATCTCGGTTTGGACACGATGGCCCATTTGGCTGCGCGAACGGAGAACTTGACCGCTATCAAGAAGCACCAAGGGACGATCATTCTGTCTCTCCGGGACAAAGACATTTCGGTCCGTCGACGCGCGCTCGACCTGCTTTACAGTATGTGTGATACGGACAATTCGGAGCTGATCGTTGGCGAGTTGCTGCGATACTTGAAAGTCGCGGATTACGGCCTACGCGAGGAGATGGTACTGAAGATAGCGATTTTGACCGAGAAGTATGCTAGTACCTACAAGTGGTATGTCGATACCATCTTGGAGCTGCTCAGTGCGGCGGGTGATCACGTCGGCGAAGAGGTTTGGTATCGTGTCGTACAAATCGTGACCAACACAGAGGACTTGCAGGCATATGCTGCAAAAGTGGTATTTGAGTATCTCAGGTCGCCCTCATCGCACGAGAGCCTCGTTAAAGTAGGCGGTACGTGTTTCCGAGGACGATATGGCGTCCAGATGTCTCATGTTCTATTTAAGGGTACATTCTGGGCGAATATGGCCACTTAATTGCCAACGATCCGGGATACAGCCCGATGGAGCAGTTCCAGGTCCTTCATTCGAAGTCTCAATTTTGCGCTGCACCCACACGTGCACTCCTCCTCTCCACATATATCAAGTGGGTCAACGTCTTTCCGGAGATCAAACCCCAGCTGCTGAACGTGTTCGAACGGTATCGACACGTGCTGGACGTCGATCTGCAGCAGCGGGCTTGCGAATTCTATGCGCTTGCATCTCGTCCAGATGATGACGAGTTGCTGCAGAACGTCTGCGAGGAGATCCCACCCTTCCCTCCAAGAGAGAGCGCCCTCCTCAACCGTCTCAATGGGAAGGACGCATTTGCAGAGAGCACTCTATCTAGGAGGGCGACGAGGAAACCTACACTCACGAAGGCGAATGGGAATGGTTCAGCGACGCAGGATTCCGCGAACGATATCACGAGCTCGTTGATGGGGCTCGACATCTCTGGACAGACACCCTCTACCTTCCAGCATCTGGTCTCCTCATCACCAGCGGCTCTTGCCGAGAAGGGCATTCCGCTATTAACAGTGGGCCCCAATGTAGAGCGGTGGTTTGACAAACTCACGTGGAGTAGCGAGGGTGTGCTCTACGAGGATGTCCAGATCCAGATTGGCATCAAGTCGCGGTACCATGGACATCTAGGACAACTCGCCGTGTACATGGGCAATAAGATCTCTGCTCCTCTTATCTCCTTCACCGCAACCCTCCATACCGAAGAGCCAGACGCGTTGTCAGTGACGTTCGCTAAGATCGCTCCGAATGTGATTCCGCCCCGAACACAATCGCAACAACTGATTCAAGTCGAATGCAAGAAACCATTTACGAAGCCGCCAATATTGAGCGTGTCCTACCTCGCTGGCGCGCAGCAGAGCATCGCACTCAGATTGCCGATCGTGCTCACAAAATTCATCGAACATGTCAAGCTCGGACAGGCTGACTTCTTCGAGCGATGGAGACTGATTGGCGGTCCGCCGCGAGAGGCACAGAGCATCTTCCCCATTAATTTGACTGAGTCAGGTTATGTCGACCGAGAGAAGCAGCGTCAGATCGTGTCTGGTTTTTCGTTGAACATCCTCGACGAGATCGACCCCAATCCAGACAACATTGTCGGTGCTGGCATATTGCACATGTCGGTGGATGGGAAGGTGGGCTGTTTGATGAGGCTAGAGCCCAACCGGGAAGCGAAGGTACGTGTTTGCATAGACTTCGTACTGCTGAACTTTGCTCAACACTGTTGCAGCTTTGTCGTGTAACTGTGCGGAGTACATCGGAAGATGTCGCAGCGGAAGTGCAGAAACAGATACAAAAGCCACTCAGTGCGGACACTTTATCATGACATCTACTTCGCTATTGGCTAGGAACGATTTATGGAGTTACATAGTACATATATTGCTACTGACACTCGTAATATATATCCGTAAAAACAGCAAGAAGACATGGGTTCATCATCGTCGAGCCAGGAACCCGTGGAAGAGGCTTTTCCGCTTTCTTTGCACGTCATCTATCCCATCAGAGAGAGCATCCTTCGTCGGACTGGAGCTGAGGGAAAGCTGATCGGACTTGCTCTTGCTCAGGAGGGCAGAATCGGTCGATGAGGATCGCAGCTGATGATGGAAGGGAGCTCGTGGCATATGTGATGACCGCGGCCTCGTCCGTATCTCATCGACGGATCTGCTCGTTTGAGGCACAGATTGAGAGTGCGCGCACTGACCTGGCTGGTCGCTGATTGGACTCACAGGGACAGATGCATCGGAGGAGGGCTGTGCATAATGAGAGAACTCGGAGTCATCGGGCGCTGTGGCAGGGCGGGCATTCTTCCTCTGCACGCGGCTTCGGAACGGTGTGAGGTTGCGATTGCGATGAGGAACCTTGGCGGGAGAAGACGGAGAGGGAGGTAGCGGGATGTTCGTAGCGAGAGGAGAGGAGTTACTGGGTTGGCTGGAGCTGTGGTGCCGAGGCCGGCTGGCGAGCTGACTGACGCGGTACAGAGCCTGCTCTTCTACCTCCAAGCATTTCAAACAGAATTCATCAAAGGGATGGGAGTCGCCTGAAGGTGTTCGCGAAGGGGTGTAGCCGTGTGAGCGGGAGTAGCGCACGACGACAGCGGTTATCACTGCGAGGTGTTTGGGAAGATCAAGAAGATGTGGAAGGACGGGTGTCGCCTCGCGGTAGAGTATGGGGGAAGAAGCACCACGCTGGCGAATGGCGTTCATGATAGCCGCACGCTCGTGCGCTTCCACGGATGTGCCTGTTGGTTGGTCGGTCTGACTTGGATCTGGTGTTGATACAATCATAATGTAAACAGTCATGCCCTTCAAGCTGCTCAAGAGAAAATCTTTGACGCCACGCATAAAACCTTCCTTGTGGACGGTCTGCAGTAGATGCATCAGACATGCTGCGCGTTTAAAGGTCGAACATACTGACAGCATTTAAATTCGCCAGATTTTGAATGACTTTTGCCACAAGGGTGAGGCTACGCTGGACACGGACTTCAGGCATGCCTGGTATGATGCGTGAGATACCACATGGAACAAGATACTGGTCCAAGCGTACCTGGCCATATGCCGAATAAATGCGGATGCAATATCGCAGGAACGATGAAGCGCAAAAAGCAGAACGCTGACACGCTCTGACACGGCAGTTCTTTGTTGACCTCGTCGCTGACCTGATATCGCTGCTCTACCAGTGATCGAATATGTTGGAACAGCTTCCGCATCTCGCTAGGGGCGTCGACGTGTCAGCTCCATCGTTTCGCACATGACAATCGGACGATCGCAGATATGAGGACGTCGACATACGGTGGACACAATTCTCGCGCATTGTAAATGCAGTCCCAGAACGTCTGGCACCACTGGACGAGGAGCTCGACGTTCTTCTCCGTGCTCTTCGTGCCCTTCCCGCTGCGCGCGGGGTCGACCTCGATCGCGACCTTCTCAGAGCACAGACGGCGAATCGTCGGGCCGACGCTCGCCTCAAGGAACTCTGCGCCATACCACGACATGAAGAGCTCCATGGTCTTGGTGAGCACGGTATTGCCTCGGCTGTCGTGTGTCAGTGGTACAGGACATGAGTGAAGGGGGGAGGAGACAGCTTACAAGAGCGTATTGTGCGCTGTTCACGTTAGCAGGGGTGATTGAAGGCTACGACGATGGTCAGGCTCACATGACAGAGTGCCGTCAACTTCGCGATCGGCGATTTCCATTATGTCGTTGACGAGGACGTTCTTGGCGATCGCGATGGATATGATGTTCTTCGAGATGTGCTTGAGTTTGAGCTTCGACTCCAGGTCGGACATCCAATCTAAGCTGTTCCGAGAGCTAAACGTCTATATGGCCAATTTGGCTTAGAAAAGGATCTGATATTGAGACGACCGGAACAATACCTGAAGCACTCCAGCATATGCGGAGTAGGGAAGGATGATCTCTCTGCAATCGCGGTCAAACATCCGGTACACCGCAAGAGAAGCAACACGCACTCTTCCACCCTTATGCGCAGCCGTAGCTCTCCTGCCTGCATACTCGCAGATGACGTGCTATGCAGCACAGGAAACCAGCCCTCCACATGCTCCCCCCGCCTGAAGTTGACCAGCACGATGAGCACCGCACCCAGCATCGTCGGTTTTGTCAACTTCTTCTCCCTCCATGCCACAATCTCCAAATTCTCGAACGGAGGCAGGTCTGCAAACGTGAACCGCTCCTGCCAGTCCGGCGCGCCAATCCCACGCTTGACCGTCGTCCGCCCGCACAAGCACCCGTTCACGAAAATCTCGCAGTACACATCCATGTCCAGCGCGTCCGTCCCACCATCGTGCTCGTCGCCCAGTGAAGGAGCCGTGAGGTCGTCTATCGCGGACGAGGATGCGGGGATGTTGCGCGGGGCGCCGAGGTTCCTGCCCTCAAGGCACGTGAGCTCGACTTGGCGCCACATGCGATAGAGTCCACCGTCTGCTGGTGCGAGCCAGCGACCGTAGACCTCGGGTACAGCATGTGCGCGAAGGAGGGAGAGCCAGAGGTGCATCGTGCCACTGTCGGGGAAATGGAGGAAGGTGGGCTCGGCGATGGGGGATGCACACCACATCTGTCCGCTGGAGATTGCGATCAGCAAGTCACGGCGACGGTTGGTGGATGTGCAAGACAGGAAAGCACGTACGCGACGCAGTATATGCCGAGGCAGTCCTTGCAGTCGAAGAGAGAGTGGTGAATTGGCCGGATATCAGTATGATTCAGCGCATAGACGTAGACGGACTGGTACAACGCTCCCTGCTGTAGTGTGAGCACTGCGGGTGTTGAATGGTACTCCTGTGCGAGTAACACTCACATCTAAATAGACGTTCAGGACGGGAGATTCGTCCTCTTCCATCAGCTTACAAGTGGCCACTCTCCACTGGCCAGTAGCGAGAGAATTGCGACCCAGACTCAGCCAGCTTGACTTCTCTGATGTATTCACATAGCGCATACATGAATGCCAGGGAATGGTTCACATTGCTGGCTCACATACCCTTGACTTTCCTGGCAGTGCCTTCCGCAGAGCTGCGTACGTTCAGCCTGGACGGTTCACCCGGCTTGTCCAGCCTATCCTGGCTTCTCCTGTACAGTACAGCAGGCTGGACAGTGCGAGTTCAAACCACTGAACAACGACGTGTATCTTGCTGACAGGTCTCGCGCACCTTTCGCAGAGCCGAAGCGGCCTTCGCTGAAACGTACAGCTCAACAGGCACGGTGAACTCTTTCTTCTCAGAGACCAAGCTCTTCCGCCGCCCCGATTTACGCGACCGCTCGGTGGGCGATATCGACGACATGGTATGGAGTCAAGAGAAAGGTATACTATAGCACAGGGTATGGAACTAGGAGAATATCAAACAGGTTGAACAGTTCCCATACGCGTGCATTGGCGGCAGGCAGGTCGAGATCCACGCGTGTGCCGCTGTTGCCGGACTGAGAAGCTGGTGCAAAAGGCAATTCGACAGATTGAGGTTGTTGAGCAGATGCAAGGTGTTTGAGAGTGCTCAGGTGGGGCGAGACATGCGAGGCAGCGCAGTGATGGCACAGCTTCAATTCGCATACAGTCAGATCAGATCTTTACTCCCCTGTGGCGTCTGCTGCAAATACCGCAATGCATTTCAATTCGGGATCATGGTCGGATCAAGAGTTAGTGAACACATCTTCACCAACACCAACCTGTCCCAGGTCACCAGCGCTCGTCATTACTACTCCACAAGTCTACATCGTATGCAAAGACATAAAAAACCCCGGCGAACTGTCCGGATGTGCTGGGTCGGACGCGACGTTTTCTTGACCCCAATGTACAATTAAAATGAACCTATGGTAGTGAAAATCAAATAGTAAACAGACGATGTCAGTATGCAGTTGTTATATGTCGCGCCAACGGGTATCTCTGCGACGAAGCGAGGATATGATGGTCAGTCATGGACTGCTGTCGTAAGGTTTTCTGACTCCGGTGATCCCGTGAGAACGTTCTTCTTTGGCCCCGGAACAGATTACTCCAGTTTGTGCCTGAAGCGAGACATGAGAAATGTATTACATGGCCCGGCATTGGGTACGCACCCATGACCATTCGCAATACCGTTGCCGTTTGCCACAGGCTTGCCATTTGCTACAGCCTTGCCGTTTGCCACGGGCGCCTTGCCCTTTGCCGGCTTCTTGTATGTGTTGATGTAGAACTGGATGAAGAGGACCAGATAGCTCGACAAGATAGCACAGCCGAAGACCGCAGCGGACTCAGTGCCGGCGCAAGAACCCATCGTGGGCAGTAGTGGGCTGAAATAATTGGCTGCATAGTACGAATAAGCTTCAGTCTGACGTCAGTTATTCCGTCCAGCCGTCCAGCCGTGGCAAGGCTCTCACTCACTTCCGAAGTACACGGCGAACAGGTCAATGATGAACTGTGCAATTTGCATAGTCGTCAAATGCTTCTTCCACTGCAGGCAAGATTTCAGAAACCGAATGATAGCAGATAGAGAAGGTATGTACCCAGATCTTGGCACCACCAGCGGTCGCGTAGTAGTAGTAGTCTGAAGCGTTATTAGCACAAAGCATAGACCTACTTGACACGTACTCACACATTAGAACGTGGACAGACAAGTTGATCGAAATGGGGATCCATTGCTGCACAGCATAGTCAGAGTGCATCTAATGAGGCCACACTGCATGCCACGTACCACGCTGGTCTTCCCGTTGAGCTGAGTATAACATAGTAAAGCCGTTGCAGAGTGGTGGTACACGTGCAGGAAAGCTGAAGGACAGTGCACAATCAGTCAACACGCGCCGTAACGCGTCGAGGACATCGTACCGAGAGGCTTCTTCTTGAGCGCCAAGAACACGGTGTCGATGAGCTCGAGGTACTTGAAGTAGTAGTTGATCAAATAGTAGAACTCAAGCCTCTATGGACGCAATTCAGTCAAAAGTAGGTCGACTCAGCAAGAGCAGCAGCATTCACATCCGTCCACATCCCTTCGTTGCACATTGCCCAGAAGGTGCCGTTCTTGTAGTATAGCGGCGCAATCTCCTCGATCATGCAAGCGAGCAGCAGACCACTGCCAGCACTGAGGATAATGTTGTGGAGCTGGAAGAGCCGCTGGAGCTTCAGTGGCGGCCTGTTCTTCATGTACGCTCGTAGACTGAAGACGATGACGAGGTATGCGACGAGAGCCGGGAACACTTCCTGCGGCGTCGACAAGGGTGTCTTCCCCACGACATAGCTCCTCAGGTGGTCTGGGAGCGAGATGGGGACCGTGCGCGCAAGGAAGTCAGCGAGAGGAGCCATGGGGAACCGAAGGAAGAGGTAAAGAAAAGGAGGGGACAGGTTGTTGTTTTGATTTATGGAGCGCGCTTTCGAGGTCGCTGGCAAAAGCGCGTGCTTCCAACAAATTTCGATCCCCGAACCCGACCCGGCGCTTCTCTGGGGACTCCCAACGCAATGTACGCTCTCTGCTCTCCACGCATATATCGTTCGATCCTACTTACGCTCGGAGGTGTCCTTCATGTGAAGGCGACCTTGCTGCGGTAAATTATTCCACGATGCGACATCCTTATAATGCGGTATACTCAACGCCAACCTGTACATGACCGTATATATCATCTCCGACTCACGCGGGCGACGAGGGTAGTCTCGCGTAACCACTCAACGTCCATTCGGCCGCATCCGTCCCCAATGCTGAGATCGCTCTCCACCTCTGCTTGTTCTGTACCGATCCCCAAGGCCGCTCACGGTGCATGGGGGCAATTGGGGGGGGGGGGGGGGGGGGGGAACTGGAATTGGAAACAGCTCATATGGAGGAAAGGTGAGCCACAGTTCTGCGCAACCTAGCTTGACCTGTCCGCATGATCCTGCATAAGCAACACGCCGTTGATCCGGATAAGGCACGTGAAAAAGAAAAGATAGCGTTATGCATTGCAAGAGAGCTTATAGACGGTACTAGTGTTACTGCACGGAGACTACTCAGATGGGGATAGCTAGACGGATATAGATACACAAGTCGAACAAACAAACGATGATGTATAAAAGATTCCAGTCGCCCGATGAGAGGAAGAGAGTAGAAAAGATGTGGGAGTCCGAGGATGCTATGTGATGATGAGTGCGAGCCCGTCCTGGAGGTCAGCTAACAACGCTTTCTCCCTGTCGTGGCATGGTCAGACGATGCCCTGCGGATGATAGATTGCACGACATACTTAGACTCGAAGTGCGCGTTTTGGATGGCTGCTGCCGCTGCAGCTTTCATCTTGTTCGCATCCAGCCCTAACGGCAACGCACAGACAAGACAGATGGGGGAATTGGACGGCTGCAGCCGATAAGAGGCAGTTATCTATGAGATCAATTCAGCATGCTGTCACTTCGTTGATATGCCACGTTAGAACTTACCCCCGAAGAGCGGAGCAATTCCACCAAATTATGGACGAATAATAGTGAACGCGAACGTAGATCATGAAGGTCGTGAAGGTCGTAACCTGCTCGATCGCAATCAGACGACTGACGCAACGTAGGGCCTGTGCGGCACGTACATGTGGGATACGACGAGGAGCATATCGTCGGAATTGTGCAGTGCAATCGCACGGAACGACCGGAACGACGGATTAATCTAGAAGAAGGCTCAGCAGATTGTACGTAACAAAATAGGGGGATCGACCTACTGTGCAAAGGGTTCCAGGGCGTCTTCAAGGTCACCCAGCTGCGACACATTCATTGCAATCAGCGTCGAGCGACCTCAGTAGGGCCTGCACGCTGCTCACCTCGTTCAACTGCACATCCAAGGGCTGATGGTCGTCGACGTGCAGAGGCAGCTGCGCAGGCTGGTGGGCTGGCTGTGGCATAACAGACATCATCTTGACAGAAGACTAATGTTTGACTGGATGGTGGGGCAGAATGTGGGGAATGGCGAGTCAAGCTGGAGCAGCGGGGCTCTAAGGTCCCCTCTGGAGTGTACTTATATGTATTGTAGAAACGGGCTCCTCGTTGCACCCCTTCGCGGAGCATCCCGGGAAGTATAGCGTTACACGGGACTGATCGGTGGCAGAGACAAAATAAGTTCGAGAACAATTCTCGGCTGTCAGCTGGTTTTAAAAGAGTTGCCACTCTGAACGAATAACTCGATGCCATCACATGCCGACCCGGAGCGCTCGCGGCTCGCTGTCACAGCACCATTCGATGTCGGTGGAGCAGAGGACGAGGCAAGGATAGTCGAGCGGGGGTGGACGGAATGGTAGTTGGAAATGTACTACCGAATCGAACTCTCAGGCTCATGGTTTTGCAAGGGCGTGTGGGGAGCGGGGAAATGCGTAGCTAATTCTGTCTCGTTCCTTGGATGCTATAGACCTGCTCGGGGCACCGCGCTGTCTAGATAGTGCAAGCTACGGCAATTAACTGCTACAAACGATGGTTGGGAAAGATCCGGAAGATGAGCGATAAATGCTGGCAACGGTGCGAAAACACGACTACTATCGTACGTCGCAAAAGACTAAAGCACCCCCTCATGGATCAACATACAGCCCAACATTCTGGCCAGCCTGAGGAATTTCAAGGCGGACGCGGAGGGAGTAGGGTCCTTACGTACTTTCGGGAGCATAGGGTCCAAAAGGCCACTCTGGAATATCGAACACTGAGCAATAGATCCCTGAAGGCCTGATCCTTTCCCAGTCCCGCTAAACATGATGCCGGTCACCGCAGTCGTTCGAATACTTGTTCGATCGACGATGGTGAAATCGCAATGTGATGCCTGCCGTACATACACCGTCGATTAGTCTACCTACATACACGCCCTCTCCGTCCTCCGCCTTTCGCCCACAACCTCAGACTCCCTTACTGTCGCTGTCTACTGCAGTTGTAGCACGCGGGATATTAAAAAAAATGGCACTGAACGTGATCGAGGAAGTTGTGAGAGTCACTTGATGATTACCGTTTTGGGCCGTGACGTCCAAGACAGGAACGTGTTCGCGGCGCTCAGTCCTCCACAACGAGTGTATCTGTTGCCTTCAATCTCGCTCGCATATATCGCCGCGATTGGCTTACAGCACAGGGCCCGTTTTGACAATGGTGTGGTGGTCGGACCCCGCCAAGGAGGTCTTGAACATCGTGTGTATCGCTCAGGATTGATGCGGAGTCGGCTGCTCATTGCACCACGGTTACAGGTGTTCAATCGCCTCCTCGCCCCATATGTCGAGAATCTGGACATGGGACAGGTCAGCTATGGAATCGGGCAAGGTGTGTGAACCGGCAATTGCTCACTCTCAGGTGCTGATGGGTGCGGAAAGGTCGTGTAACCTTGAGGAATCTGCGGCTGAAGAAAGGCGCTCTCGACAAGTTCAGACTGCCAGTCGATGTGATCGAAGGTGTGGTGACTCTTTGAATGCTCGTATGAGACGTTTAACATGCTTGCAGGTCACCTCGGAAAGTTCACGCTCTCCCTGCACTGGATGAATCTTGGGAATCAACCAGTGGAAGTCTTGGTCGAAGATGTATACCTGCTTGTTGTGCCCTCTGCCGAATCCACGTATGATCCGGAAGAAGAAGAGAAGAGGAAACAAGCGGCGAAAATGGAGCGTCTCGAGAATGCTGAACTATTGCATGTGCGTGGCCAATCAGACGTATCGCAAGGCAAGACAGCGTAGGAAGCTATCACATTCAACTGATAACTCATATGTCCGATAGACTCTGCAGAGCCACAAGGCTTGATCGAATCGCTCATTACCAAAATTGTGAATAACCTCCAGGTATCCGTGAAGAACATCCATATGCGATATGAGGACAAAATGAGTGTTCCTGGAGTAAGCATCGGCGTTCCATCCTAGCATTAAACGCGTTTCTAACCGCTTGTGCAGCATCCTTTTGCTACTGGTTTGACGTTGGCTGGATTTACTGCCGTATCTGTCAATGAGCTATGGGAGCCCGCGTTCATTGATAGCAAGGCTGGCGCGATTCATAAGGTAAATTGATCAGATGTTCTTCGGCGAAATTCTGCATATACATCTAATTATGTATAGCTAGCCAAGCTCGAATCTCTAGCACTCTATTTCGATACCGATGCAGGGAGCATGGCAGGACTTTCTCATGCGGATTTCATTCAAAGATTTACTGAACAGGGAAGCGTCTGTACTCAAATTTAGAGTTTGCTGGCTAAATCCGCGCAACACAGATCTCGCAAGGGGACTACATGCCGAACCATCAGTTCATTCTCAAGCCTGTGACAGGGGAAGGGAGGGTAGGCAACGCAACAGGACTAATGTATACATGATCTGATGGGTTTTCCAGATTATGATGAATCACGAACTGACGAAAGACACGCCACGTTTCGATGTTCAGCTGTTCTTCAACGAAATCGGTGTGCTTTTGGATGACAACCAATATCGGGATGCCATCTCGCTGGTCGACATGTATCATTTTTACATGCGGCAGCATCAGGTGAGCGAATCCTTGACTGAGAAGTCTGCTGCTTCTTAGCAATAACCACGCATGTAGTATCAGAGATACCGCCCGTCTACCGAGGAGTTCGAGCAAAATCGACCAAGAGCATTAATCCGCTTTGCCGGACGGGCCATTCTAGATGAGGTACATGAACGTCGAAGGAGGTGGGCTTGGGCATATTTCGCCGAACGACGTGACGATCGCCATCGATATCTCGAGTTGTTCAAGAAGAAACAGCTCAATCCTCTTTCAGATCCGGTGAGTCATTAAAGCTATCATTAAAGCTATCCCTCCGGCATGCTCCGTAGCTCATGCGATAATCATGTTCAGGAGGCGGCTGAACTTACGTCTCTTGAAGAGAAGCTCTCTTATGAGGACCTCCGGTTCTATCGCTCTATCGCGCGCTCGCAGCTGCGCAAAGATATGGCGTCACGGAAGAAGGTGGAAGAAGAGAACAAGCAGAAGCAGGAGGTTCAGGCTCGCACGAGCTGGTCCAGCTGGCTGTGGGGCTCTTCCAGCTCTTCTGATACGACAGAATCAAAGCTGGAAGATTCCATGTTCACCGGAGAAATGACGGATGAGCAACGCAGAGAACTGTACGAGGTCCTCGACTACGATGAGAAGGCTGCTATCGCGGAATCCCTGGAAGTGCCGCGTGACGCTCTCAAGACACGTGTCGTTGCACAGCTTGATCGGGGATCGTTTGCGTTGAAGATGGATCCGCATGGACGCGATGCGGAAATCACATCTATCGTGTCCGATGTATTCCAGGTCACCTTCATCGAAAGGCCAGATAACTTTGAGACGTCGGTGTCGCTTGGAGGTTTTGCGGTCTATGATGGCACGACGAAGAGCACGCTGTACAAACAGATAGTGCACGTGCAGGAGAGGCAGGGCGGTGGCGATGTGGTGAAGACCCAAGCAATTCGTGAAGGGGAAAAGATCACAGAAATGGTTGACCCTTTCTTCTACCTCAAATTCGAGCAGAATCCGCTTGATGAACGAGCCGATAGTGCACTGCAGGTGAAGATGCGCTACATGGAGATCGTCTACCACAGAGGCTATGTCGAAGCGATATACAAGTTCTTCAAGCCGCCTTCTAGTCAGTTGGAGTCGGTTGAGGCGCTCTTGGTACGTCACGAGACTCGTAAACACGACTGTAGCCTCATTCAATCTCAGGATGTAGCGAGTCAAACCCTGGAAGGTCTACGGAAAGAGACACGAGCGGGGCTCGAGTATGCGCTGCAGACGCATAAAACTCTTGATGTACACATGGACCTAAATGCACCCATCATCATCATACCCGAGGAGTGAGTGGTGCCGCATGAAATTGTGCCGTTCTTGCTGATGACAATTCAGCATCACGACGCACGAGTGCAAGCATCTTGTGATTGACGCCGGACACATTGCCATCGAGAGCCAGTTAGGCAACAAGGACGCTATTAAGGAAATCCAAGCGAAGCGCAAGCAGGAATACACCGAGGAGGACTACAAGCGTTTGGAATCAATGATGTACGACCGACTGTCAGTGCGACTCAAGGATACTCAGGTAGGTGCTAGTGGACTGCGCGTATGGTTGTACCAATGCTTCCGTAGTTCCTCGTTGGCAATGATCTTCAATCATGCATGGATGCGTTGACATCTGAAGGACACGACAATTTGCATCTATTGGAGCGCATAACGCTCGATCTGCAAGTCCAGAACTCCATAGTGCCGACTGCCTACAACCTCTCCCGTTTCAAAATCTCGGGACATCTGCCTAGCCTGCAGGTCAACCTGTCCGATACGAAGTACAAATCTCTTATGCGGCTGATTGACGTTACTGTCCCGAATTTCGATGGTGATGAGGACAAGGCAGTCGCACGTCCGACACTCGGTCCTCATGTATCGGGCGCGTTCAGGCTGCCGTCAGGGCTATTTGACTCCGGCAAGGCCGAATACAGTGTAGATGATGGACAAAGTGAGACTGCATCCGTTGCTAGCGATGATCATGAAGATGAAGAGGAGGAGTTCTTTGATGCTGGAGAGACTATCACAAGTGTATGCGAGTTTCACACTATCGTGATGGCATCGTTATGGACTCACAATAAGAGCAGGCTTCCGCGCTGCATCAACATCTCGTGGAGTTCAATTTCCAGGTAGATGTTCTACGGGCATCTCTCTACAAATCTACCGTGGATGGCGGAGAGAGAGCCATGGGCGATGTCGCTTTCGAGCGGTTTGCCCTTGCCTTTTCTATGGCCAAGTATGTTATGACTGTCGATATCAACTTGAGGTTAGTTGTTGCATCACCGTCCTGGCGTGCACTAAATCCTGATGTAGCTCGGTATCCATGAACGTTTTCCAGCCCGGCAAGGAACCAATGGAATGCATTTCCTCGGCTGGGGAGAGCAACAACGAGGACCTCTTGATAGTCAAGTATAACAGGGTCCAGCCTTTGTCCCCGGAATATCAGTCGAGATACCAAGGCATCGATCAGAACGTCGACGTGAAATTCACCACTTTCATTTTCCGTGCTGCTCCAGAACCAGTGCTTTCTCTGTACGAATTCATCATGACTACGTTTGTGCCGGATAGGACGAATACTACCCCGAAGCCTTCGCCAGATGTAGCTGCTGCTGATACAGCGATCCTCATCGGGCAGAAGGCAGCAAACGACAGCGTTTCAGACAAGATCAAAGTGGTCCTCAAGTTAGCCGGAATCCAAGGTATATCATTGCTTTCACGGCAGCCGTAAACAGCTGTACAGAGCTGACATTTGGCGTAGTCATCCTCATCAACAACGATATCAGACTCGCCACGCTCTCACTGTCGACGGCAGATGTTTCGATTTTTTTGCGCGCAAATACCATGCACATCGGGGGCAGACTAGGCAGTCTGGACCTGTGCGACGACTCTCCCATAGAGACTTCCCTCCCGGCGTTCAAGCAAATTCTCTCAATTGAGGGAGATAACTTTGCGGAATTCCAGTATCAGACCTTCGACCCAGCGGATAAGATTAATTCCAAGGGTGCCATGTCAGCTGTATCCCTCAAGGCCGGATCGTTGAAAATGCACTACTTGGAGCAGTCCCTGCACGATATCTATCTCTTCGTCACGAAACTTGCTAAGCTCAAAGGGTTGTATGATGCAGCTGCCGAGGCTGCGGCGCAGAGGGCGTCAGAGATTGAACGCATGCAGTTCGACGTGTCGATCAAGACCCCCATAGTTATTTTCCCATCTGATGCTCGTCAATCGCAGGATGTGCTCACATTGCGTCTTGGCGAATTCAAAGCCAGTAATAGATATGAGGGCGTCGCCGCCCACACCGCAGCTACTCTTCATGGAATACAGCTTGCATCGACGATATACTACCAAGGGAACGAGTCCTTCGCACTCAAGCTTGTCGATGACATCGACATCGATGCAAACGTCATTCAGATTAGCGGGATTGATCGCTCAAAGAGTATCGACCAGCCAGATACCCAGGCATGTGACACTTTATTCTCTCTAATATTTTCTCTGTAACTGTCTTGATAGGCTGCAATAGACATATCCGACGTCCGTTTGCATTTGACTCAAACGCAGTACAGTCTGCTCATAATGCTATCCGAGTCCATTCCTAGGGTGTTGGCCGGTGCGCCCGAAGGCGATGCGCAAGCTACCGAAGTCTCCGCTGTATCGCCTCAGACCTCAAGCGCGCAGATAGCTTCTCCGTCGACACCGATGGTAGACTTGCAACCAGAATTGCGACCGAAGGAGATGCCTGGTAATTTGCGCAGCTGGACTTCGCTGGATCTAGTTGTCACGGTTGACGCTGTCAAGCTACATCTGTACGATGATTCAGCGATCATGGAGTCCAGCCTCAAAGAACACGGGATAGTGCGATTTGCCTTGAATCACAATAGTCTGCGGATGAAGCTTCTGGCAGATGGAGCTATTGAAGTGCAACTGATATTCAAATCATTGACGATGAACAATACACGACCTGGCAACTCCAAGTTTCGGGAGATCATACCGGCCGCGAAGCATGAACGCAATCAAGTAATGCTCTTATACACGAAGTCTCATACGGACGATTCTGCCCTAGCGGTCGTGACAATAGATTCGCCTAAGGTCATCTTTGCCGTCGATCCCGTCATTGCATTGTTGTCATTTTTCACAAGCCCATTCTCAGCTGACCTTACACCCCAGTCCGATATTGCTAGTAATCGCTCGGATGGTACAGGTCGAAACGATACGCCGTCCTCTCAGATAGGTTTCCGCCTCGACCTCCATGATGTCTCCATTAGCGTGCTGCAAGATGATTCCGACCCAGAGTCGCAGGCCATCCGTCTAAGCGTCAAACAGATCCTCCTCTCACAACAGGTTCGCTCGCACGCTCATCGTCTCAATAATCACGCTGACTCAGCCTGATGCTAGGGTATACTTGCTCTCAGTGTAGACCATCTTGGAATGTCGCTTACACGTATGGGCCGCGAGACCTCGGAGAGTGTGCGCTTTCTGGATGATGTGGACCTGACACTATCGATGGACAGTCGATCGAATTCATCTCACCAAATGACGAGCATACAAATTTCGGTCAAACCGATCATCTTTCGTTCTTCGTATCGCGACATCGACTTGATCATGACCATCGTTAACCGGGCTCTCGAGTTGTATGCCCAGTCAGCGGCGTCATCTCAGCAGATCTCTCCTAGTCGAGAACATTCACAGTCAACTCCGGCGAAACGACCCTCGCTTGGAACGTCTCCTCGGAAAGCCTCAAGAACTGGAAGCTCTCATGTGAAGGCTATCGGTCAATCCCATGTGTTGGTCTCGAAAGAACAAGCAAGTTAATCTCCGGGAGCTGCATTCAATTCTATCCTAACCTGAGTTCCTTTCTCACGCAGTTCAATGGATCCTTTGACGGTTTGCGTTTGGTACTGATCGGAGATCTTCATGAGCAACCGTTGCTACATATCAAAGTGAAGCCATTCATTCTTGGTGCCAAAGATTGGTCCGGAGAAGTAAGTCATAATGTCCTGCGGAGGTATTATTAGGCTAACATGCATAGTTACATGCAACGTCGACTCTAGGGATTCATATAAGTTACTGGAACATATCTAACTCTCATTGGGAGCCGCGTCTGTATATGATTCTCAAAAATTTTCGCATCATCTAACACTTCGTCGACAGTGATTGATCCATGGACGTTCACGGTATCGGTATGAATCAGCTTGATACCTGACTTTTGACCCAACTGATTGTTTGTGCAGATCACGAAGACTTCTGTGCCGGATGGCATGGAATCCAGCATATCCTCGCGTGACCGCCTGGATATCAACGTGACGACGACATTCGTCGAGCTTGCTATCTCGACAATGAAGATGCTCGGCCAGGAGGGAGCAAGTGTCCTTCGTAAAGCTCGAGGAAGCTATGCACCCTATCGAATATTCAATCGCACTGGGTCTTCGATCTTCGTCTGGTCGGATGTTGACGGCAGCACCCATGTCAAGGAGACGACTTCCAAGCAGATCACTAGTGGCAAGATGGCGGACTGGAGATTTGACGATTGGAAGACCATGCGCGAGGTAAGTCGAATAGAAGCATGGTACAGTATTAGACTCAACAATGTCAAGCATGTGACCTCCAGCGGGCATAACAGCATAGGCCTGCAATTCATCGGCAAGCCATGGGAGCCTCTGCGAAGTATTCCTCTAGATAGAGAAGGCGAATTTACATTCTCTTTGAGGCCTCGAACTGACAAGTATGCGCATCGATTACTTGTGGAGGTTCGAGTTCAGGGCAACGTCAAGGTGGTCACGCTTCGGTCCATATACAGAGTCGTGAACGATACGTTATATCCATTGGAGTTGACCTTAGTGGACGAGGCTGGACAGCCGGTCCATTCTGTAGAGAAAATCGGTATGTCTGAGCTCGATATATCGGCGATACAATTTTTCTGACTGGATTCAATAGCACCAGGGCAAGACTATGCACTTCCCATCGAGGCAGTCAACAGAGATAGGATACGCGTGCAGCCTGATCGTGTGTAGCACCTTCGTCCGCTTTCGCTAGCCATACTAATATTGTTTCTTTGATCAGAGGGATTCGGGTATAAGTGGTCACACGCCGTCCGATGGGAGGACCTTGTGGCTAAGCGCGATCTGACTCTGAAGTGTCCACACACGGAACCAAACGAATCTGCATTCCGCTTCCAAGTGTGGGTTGAGACTAATGCTACCGAACTCACTACACGGTGAGAAGAATCCTGCAAGGGATCCTTAGTAGTCATGTGATTGAATGCTCATCTTGTTGCCAGTAAAATCCCAAAGATCACGGTGAGATTACGTGCTCCCATCGAATTGGAGAATCTCTTGCCGTATAATATCGAATATCGCATCTATGACAAAGACACGGATCAAAACTGGCGAAGCTATCTCCGAATGGGTGGCGTGATGCCTGTGCATTCGGTGGAGCTGGGACATCTCATATTGTTGAATATTCTGGTTCAGGAGACGCGTGCGTGTTCTGGTTCTTTAACTGTAAAAGCTCGCTTCAATATCCAAACTAGCGTTCAAGCAAAGCGATTTCGCCATTATCAACACCGACGGTAGCTCAGACTTCGATATCGAGCATCGTCTTGTTCTGAGGGATGCAAGAGATCGCAAACTCGAACTGAGATTGAATTACGTGTGCGTCGCCAACAATGCGTATCTCTTGAAGATAGTCCTGATTAAGTTTGAAACAAGGCGTCATGTCGATGGTGGTAGTTCTTTCAAAGTTCAGATATACTGCCCGTATTTGGTGATCAACAAGACGTCCTTGCCATTTGCTGTACGGCCAGGAATGTCCAATCGCATCGCCTCGTCGCAAGAAATGGCGGGCGAAACACGACGAGGTTCGTGCTTCCAGGCTGCATGGAGCGAACATTTCTGATGGAGAATTGCAGAAATACTTGCCAAACCAATACCATTCAGTATGGGCTTCTATACACCTGCTGAGCCGATGTTGAAGATCTCTTTCTGTAGTGCTCTCTCACCCGAACGACCAAGGAAAAGATTTCGCCTTCAGAATAGGCGACTCAGTGTGGTCTTCTGTATGAATCAAGCGTCTTCTTTCGTAACGATGGTGATGATGATAGATTCACTATAGGTCGTAACTCTTGATGCCCCCGCTGCCGACACACGGCTAGCCGTACCTTCGCAGGTTCAAAGATCAGAGGAAATCCATATCGGACTTTCGTGGTCGGAGGGACTCGGAAAGTATAAACTAACCAAAGTGATCACCCTTGCTCCGAGATTCATCATCAAGAACAACTTCTCGCGAGCCATCGCGTTCCGCGAGCACGGGGTCGCACCGCGGGGACGTTCCACTCTAGATCCTGGGGAACGCTGCTCTCTCCAATTCATACGTACTGGCGAAGAAAAGCTTTTAACTATAGCACTCCCAGGTCTGAATGCGCAATGGTGAGGTGGATTGCCTCGTTAAATGTGCATAACCCACTGATTTCGTAGGTCTGCACCTATTAACATGGAAGACATTGGTTCAGTACACTTCCGTCTGTACGGAACCGGAGAAAGTGGTGTGGCCCAGTTGATGAGAGCAGACGTGAAGATCGAGGGATCGACAATCTTCATCTTCATTTTCGAAGCGACTGAAGGATGGCCTTTCACGATTGAAAACGATAGTGACTTCACATTCACGTTCTACCAGTCGGTAGGTGATTGCGCATACGTTCCATAACCGAATTAATGTCTCTTTCTAGGATCAAACGCGTTCCAATATCGATGCTCCACCAACGTCGGTGTCAAGGTATAATCTCCCGAAGCAATCAAGAGTCGACTATGCATGGGACTATCCAGCTGCGAGGGACAAACGAATTGTACTCGCAGTTAATGACTTCAGACGCGCTGTTGATGTCATGGAGATTGGTGATCTTGTGCCTTTCAGATTCTCAGTACGTCTCCCGTCACACACATAAAATCACATCTTCTGATGTGAGCAGGAGCGCCAGAGCGTGCGAGCAGTGTCATTGGATGTTCGGGCAGATGGTCACAAACAAATCTTGCGGATTACGAACTACAACCCAGAGCAGAGCCTATATCGACCAAAGCGCAGCACTTCTGTATCCTTGAATAGGCAAGATACTGTAAGCGGCAGCCAGGATGCCTTCGAAGCTGTTCAAGCGGACACGCACCCCTCTCTCATTGTCACCGTGGATATGGAAGGTGTTGGCATATCCCTCATCAATCGTAGGATGACGGAGGTTGCCTACCTGTCGGCGAATGCTCTTAAATTCGAATACACAGACAGCGCTATGTCACAAGCGGTCAATTTATCCTGTGGCATTCTACAGATAGACAGTCAGCTGCATGATGCCTTGTTCCCTGTGGTTCTCCAGCCCACACCTATTTCGCAAGAATCTATCGGTGTCGCGTCTCTTCCAACCGTTCAAGGCTCGGTGATCTGGCTCAAAGATCAAGGTTTGTATATTTGTCTTATATTCGATGTGATCATATTACCCGTATCCACAGCACATGGGGTGTTTTTCGTGAAGTACTGTTCAATCCTTTTGCAAGCGTTGACTATAGAGGCGGACGAGGGCTTCCTATGGGCTGTGCTCGATTTGACCAAGATTAAAGGAGCATCTTGGGATGAGGGGCAGCAGGAGTGAGCGATATCAACAGATTTTATGGATGATTTGTTTGACGCTGAAGCAGCGTTCTCATCCAACACCCCGAAGAGATTCCGGAACCTCATGAGTTCTCGGATGGACAAGACCTATATTTTGAGGTGCTGGAGTTGCAACCGATCCGTCTCTCCATCTCCTTCATGCTTACCGGAAAGGTCAGCAATGAAGACACGTGAGTGAACTCTAATGGCGCCGTTGTCATAGCTGATTGGATATAGACTGAGTCTACGCAATCCACTCGCCGTCGTCGTGAACGCCATCGTAATGACGGTTGGCAATGTCAACGATGCTGCCCTTGAGATGAATGCGCTTGCAATCAAAGACATGCGCCTTACCTTACCGGATTTACAGGGCAGAATCATGCATCATTATCAACAGGAGATTCTACGACAGCTGTATCGGATACTAGGATCAGCAGACTTTATTGGTAATCCGGTTGGATTGTTCAACAATGTCAGCTCTGGAGTGGCGGACATTTTCTACGAGCCCTTCAATGGCGCTGTAATGCACGGTAATTCCGAGCTGGGTGTTGGTATTGCCAAGGTACTTGACGAATTATGTTTACAAATGGTAGATGCTCACCGTCACGTAGGGTGCAGCGAGCTTTGTCAAGAAGACTGTTTTCGGATTCTCCGATAGCATGACCAAATTTACCAGTAGCGTCGGCAAAGGTAATCTTCTTACGAACTTGCTTCAACAATGTCCCTCACAGTCGTCTTCAAATCAGGGCTATCCGCGACTACCTTTGATCCTGAGTTCCAGCTTCGTCGACGGATGAATCAGAGACGGAATAGACCTCGCCATGCAATGTGAGCTGCTTGCCAATATTGAATATTTGTGAGGCTTATATACGCATAGCTACGGTGTTACCGCGGGCGCAGATGCCTTCGCGACCAGCATCGCTAGTGGCATAGAAGGGATGGTCGTACGTGATCTCTCCCATATGGCGTGGCCTTCTGCTCAACATTGCGTTAGACCAAACCTTTGGAGGGTGCCGAATCCGAAGGAGCAAAGGGATTCTTTAAAGGGGTCGGAAAGGGCCTGATAGGGTTCGTAGCCGTGATCATGGTAGTTCTGTGCTAACATGGATTTGATTAGCGCTGTCACGAAGCCCGTCGTAGGCGCGTTCGATCTTGTTGCCAATTTGAGTGAAGGTTTGTCTATCCATCTATTAATTCGAGATTAAGCTCACTTTTGCTAGGTATCCGCAACACCACCACTGTCTTCGACGTTCCTGCGCGCGATCGTGTCAGACTTGTAAGCGTTCGCCATTCTCGTACATGAATAATGCAAACTCATGCATGATAAGCCGCGTCTGACCCCGGCTGATGGCGTTCTTGTTGTAAGTTGTCTCGTGTACACAGGAAGGTTTCATGTCTCATGCACTATGCAGCCGTACTCAAACCGTGAGGCCCTCGGCCAATTTTGGATGAAGGACCTCAATGAGGGGGCTTATCGTGATGAGCTCTATGTCGCTCACATCAGTAAGCCCTACAGACATAAGGAGGCAAACTTTGTAGTTAACGTTGCACAGATCTACCAGGAGGTGACAATGTGGTGCTCCTAACCGCTTCAAGAGCGCTATCATTTTGGTCGAACAAGTTGCGCCTGGACTGGGATCTTCCTTTAACTCTCGTCCAGGGGGTCACAATTGAAGATACGGGCATCCGATTTGCACATAAATCCGGAAAAGACCATGACAAATTCGTGTGCATTCCTGACAAGAACACGCAGACGTGGTTCTTTGGTCAAGTCGCAGCAGTCGTCAAGGTCTTCAATGCTCGACGGCGTATGGACTCATAATAGCAATGTGTATACTTACTCGTCCCTGTAGAACATATCTGGAATGTATTGATACCAGTCTCTCAACGTGAGCCTATGGTGCAATAGATGATATTGTGAAAGTGCAAAGACTGCCAAACTACATGATTAGACTCGACGGTGGTCTGCGTAATATTGAAATGAACGATTGAGAATGACACCAAGGGTGACATTGATTAAGAACCGCACGAAAAGATCCAGTACAGAACAGTAGATGAACAAGTATGCGTAGATGGTATAGGCGAATTATCAACTTCCGAGAGTAGTCGGGCGAGCGACGATCACGATGTCTTCACTCGCCCTTGCATCTTGGGTCTGACGGGGTACAGTCGCGGTGCCAGCGCTAGATCCTCGCTCTCTAGTTTTGGATGCTGGTACGCTAAATTCGGCATGATGCACTGCAATTGGAGTACTATGTTCGCTGTCGTTAGTCTCGCCAGCGTTCACAGTGACACCCTCGAAGCTCCCGTGACTATCCCGGGGACTCGCCGAATAGGCGCTTTGGAAATCTGTGTCTTCATCATCTGTGGCAGCGCTAGGACCGAACGACAATGATGGTGTCGTCGGGGTAATGACTGCGGGTGACGCAGGACGACCAACAGTCAAGGTTAAAGTCGGGGACGGCAGGTCGCGAATGTCTACCGACTCGTGGTCGCGTTTCCCCTCCGCTTTGATAACTCCGGAATTCGAGGCGATAGCTTGGTCAATGGGACTGGCTTCTGGAGGACTCGAAGATGGAGATGAGTCAGAACTGAATGCGATGCTCGGAGCGCTCCTAGCAGGCGACAAAGCAAAGCTTCTCTTGGCGCCGACTCTAGGATGCTTTTTAGAATGCCTGCCGCTCTTCGCTAAACGAGCTCTAAAAGCCCTTGAGGATTCCGAAAGGTCGCTTTCGCTCATCTGGCTTTCCGACGAGCGACGTTGGGCCTCTGCGGCGAGTGCTGACTCAAGCTAATCAAAGGATGAGTCCAGTGCAACATATACTTCGAACAGCTTACTGACCTTGCGCTGAATCTCTAGCACCTTCTGAGTGATCTTGTCGCTCTTCTGGCTGATGCCCTCGTCCACCGCAGACATCCCATCCTGAGCCATATCCATGAGATTGGCCGAAAACCGCTTCGCCCTCTTCGAGACCTCCTCTTCCTCGTCCACCTCAGGCACAGCGTCCTTGCTCGAGAGTTTGTGATACTCGACGCTCTCGCGTCCATGCCCCTCATACGATTCGGCCAGAGTTGACTCCGTACTGAACGAGCGGAGGGGCCTTGTCCGCTCGGTAGGCCGGCGGTATGTGGTTGGCGCAGATCTAGAGGACATACGACTGCTAGGCCGAGAGCCGCATTCCGAATCACTCATTTCAACGGCCATGGATTCGAGCGCCCGTTCAATCTGAGCCTCCACTTCAGCAATCATCTCCGCACGCTCCTCCTCCATCCTCTCCATCTCCTTCTTCATGTTCTCAAGGTCCGTGAGGGCCTTCTTGTGTGCATCTTCGGTCTCTCTCAATTCTGTTTGCACAGCTCTTATCAATTCTGGACAGGAATGAGAAAACAAGACTTACGGCTCTGGAGCTTGGCCTTCTCTGCTGTCGTCATCGTAACCATGCTCGACAGCCTCTTCGTCTCCCTCTGCTCCTTGTTGATCTTCGACCGGAGGTCGCTCGCCTCCACGCTGAGCTTCTCAGCATACTGCTCAAACGTGACGAACTTGTCCCGCCACAAATCCGACTCCGTCATCAAGAAGTTCAACCGACGTGACAACCGCCCAATCTTGGTCTCCAGGTCGTCCCGAGCATCAACGAAGGCGGTGGCTCGCTTGCGGATGGAGTGCTGAATGTGTTGCTCCGCAGGTGTCAGCCGAGGAGGCGGGCGGACTGCTCCGAAGGAGCTTATACGCTTGAGCAGCGAAGGCTTCTTCATCTATGTCATCATGGCCATATTGCGTACTTAGCTCCAGGACAAGAACCGACACGACGAAACATACCTTGTCGGCAAGGACACTGTCGAAGGCCTGGATAATTCTAGTCGAATGCCACCAGTCCGGCGGCTTCACCATATCGGCCACTGCGGTAGACGCTGCACCACGTTTCGCCTGTATCTTGCATACAGGACGGAACCGGCCCGCAGGGAATGCCTCTTTGAACTCACTATAAATGTAATATCGTTACATGTGATCAAGTAAGCATATATGCTGCCACTAACCTCGGGACACAGTGGTCAGGGTGATAGTGAGGTTCGAACGCAGCCAATAGCTTCTGCCTGTACCTATCTCGCTGCTGCTTTATTGAAACTATCCCAGCAGGAGGTGCCGGGCAGTTCAGGTAGTTGATATCTCTGACAAGGAATGCTATCCTTTAGTAGAGCCGGCTTGATGGTATGGTGACAACATCCACTCACAAGTCAACAGCGCACACCTCAGGAGGCGGACGGACACAGTACCGTGCCTCAGTAGCCAAGCCCATGATCCACGGACCAGGGTCGTCAATGTAGATCTTTGCATCGCGGGAGTGCACCGTTGGGAGTGCAACCCCATTCCACCCACGCAATTCCACAAGATACTTGATAGTATGTACCGCAATACCCAAGATGGCAGGATGTCGAGAAAAGAAAAGGATTCTACCGGTTGGTGCAAGGGCGATCTGTCAATCAATGTGCGTATCAGTAAAAGAACATCATCTCTACATGAGAACATCTCGCTGACCTCGCATATAGTCAAGATATTATCGATATTCAAGCATTTGAACAGCGGCCACATGGTGAAATTAACGTCGACCAATCCGCGCCCAAAGTCCAAGCCGCCAGGGAAACGCGCGACGACTTCCAAGCTGGTCTCGACGCCTGGGCTCGACGAATGCTGACTAGACGCCGAAGCATCGAGGTGCACGAGTTCGCCAGGCCGCGGGGCAGGATGCGAGAGAATCTTGCTAATCTGCAGCGTGTGCGACTGGACATCCTTGGAGAAACGGGCCCAGGAAAGAGTCAAATAGTCTCGCATCAGATCATAGATGGGGTATCGCGATACCAGCGCTACGCGGGAACGTGGTCAGCACAATATTACTCCGAATTTGACTAGAATCAACCCACTCAATGCATATGGTAGCCAGAAGACTGTATCCCCTGGCAAGAACAGCGTACTCTCTCCAGGCCCGTGTCCGACCGTGCTCGCCACATCGAAGTCGCTCTCACTCACGCCTCCGCCCTCACCGTCGGTCTCACCATCCGTGTCCACATCCGTGCCCGCTCCCCAAGGGCCCCGCGCGCTCAGCTTCGCCCGGCGCCGCGCCTGAGCCGGCGGGTCGTTCGTGCTGCCCGCGTCCGAGCCGAGCCGTCCCTTCATGCGCGCAGCGACGAGGCTACTCTGTCCGCTCTCCTTGCGCGAGCGGCTCGCCTCAAGCGCACGCCGTATTGCTGCGGTGCGCTCCGCGTCCGCGTGCGACCACACGGTGAGGCACACGCCGTGATACGTAATCTGGCTGCTGGGTGTCAACTTCGCGCTTGCGCTGAGGTCAGGAACGCGCCCTGCGGCGCCATGTGCGGGGGATCCGGCGAAGGCAGGACCAAGATATGCGGAGGAAGGGCGTGCACGCGCGAGCGGATCGTCGTAAGGGAAAGAGACAATGGAAGAATGATGATCAGTGTTCGCGGTGAGGACGGAGGCGCGTAGAAGATCGGTAGATGCGGATGGGTTGAGCGGTGTTGATGGCGCAGGGAGCGTGAAAGTGAAGGTATGCACCGTTGAAGCGGGTTGAAGGGTAGATGCGATGATCTCCACTTCGCGAGGGAAGGAGAGCTGGGGGCTACGTGAGCAGGCGTGCAGTGTAGACCATCGCGAAGCAGCGCACCTTCAGTGCTTTCGAGAGCATCTTGCCCACTTCCTGCTTGCTGAGGTGACCAGAGCTGCTGAACATGGTGCTTGTCTCCTCGCTCTTGCCCTTCTTCTTTCGCTTGCCACCGCCAGCACCCGGGCTCACTGTGCTCCCCAGGACCTCAGGCCTCCACCATCTGCCCACGGCGCCTTCGCTGTGATGCAATCCCATCACGGAATCCGGATCTGCGAGAGTCCATGTATGCGGGCTTTTCGGCAGGCCGCATACGACATAGAGCGATGCCAGCGGCAACGTTGGCCCTGTTGCTGGAGGAGGAGGCGCGGTAACCACGGCGTTCTGAGGCGCAGAACGTGCGGAAGCAAGCGAGGAACGGTTGGAAGCCGGGATGGGCTCCATCTCCGTGCGATGCCTGATACCGAGAACCCGGGCTGCCTTATCTGACCGAGCCACGACAGCAGTAGACACTGGGCCAGGACGTTCGACAGTCACGTAGTCAAGGTCGTCGGAGGCGGCGGTAGCCACGCTGTCGGCGGTGGCGGGGCGTAGGAAGAAGGAACTGGGAGTGAAGTGGTTGTCCAGCGCGTCTAAGTTGGAATGGTCGGAGGCAGAAATGGTGATGATCGGGTCAGGCGCTGGGATTGGGCGGGGAGTGCGTGCGGAGTTGGGGCGCGACTGGGGCAAGCTAAAGCTGCTAGTGACGGACTGGAGGCTGAGGGTGGACTTTTGGGTGGGCTTGCGGGCGACGGAACGTTGACCCTGAGACTTCTTGTTCTCGTCGTCTGACCAACGCGATTTCAACTTTGGCTCGCCGCAGCTGGTGCCTGTGGTGCCTGCGGCGGGCTGGACAGGTGAGTCGGCGCGTACTTGCATGGTGCGCTGACGGGTTGGGAGAGAGGGGAAGAGGGGACGAAATCAAAGGAGGGTGGGGAGGCAGGGACTGCGCCTTGTAGGAGGAAGAAGTGGAGGGAGCAGCGTAGAGGAGGGGAGGGGGGCTCCGAGGCGGTCGCCATACGCACACTGAAATGGATTATACTTCGAATTACCATCATTTTTGAACTGGGGTCAGACATTCTACCAAGCGCTCACGCATACACTATCCGATCTCACGCTCGCTAACGACTGCTGGCCCTTCTCCTCCGGCGTTGCTGTCGATCCCAGTTCTTTCGTCCACATCCGTGGCAGACGATGCGTCCTCTGTATACATCGGGCCCGCAGCAACGGAGAGGGCGGTGGAGGCCAAAATCCAAGACGGCGCAGCGCAGCAGAGGATGGCGCGGTCACGTGAAATAGACGAGAAGCATGTGAGATTCGCGGGCGCTCAGTCCGCTGCGCTGGGACCGGCTGCTCTGTCTCTCCAACACATCCTTCAATTTCCTCTCCGCCGCGCACGCACTAACCCTCCCACCCACCAGCGTGCCCAGCTGAAGACCGGAAAGCATTCCCGCCTTGCCACCCCACGATCCGATGCTCGCTGAAACTTCACTTCGGCTATCAATCGCGCTCTGCGCTAAGAGATCTCACGAAGATTCGCGGGCTTGCCCAAACGTGCTCGTTGCTCGTTCTCCGTCCGTGGGGCCCCTTACCTCGGAGGCTGCATGCACCTCTGAGGCACTGCTCAGCATCCCTCTGCGGTCTTCTCCGCGTCGGCAGCAGCGATAGTCCACAGCCGAGGTCGCAACGTATCATCCTCCCGGCGACTGAACGCCACTCAGGACCTCGACCAGCATCGCGCCTACGCCGCTCTTCCTCAAATGATGTATGTTGACAGAACTGCATGTAGATTGCTACGTACCCGGCTCATGAGATAGTTGCCAGTCTCTCCATCTGTTACGTGTTCCTGGGCCTCGTCATCCCCTATTGATTCAAGTTGCATTCTGACGCGCTACATATTTGCCCATGATCGAAGAGGGCACAAATCGCAGGCGCATCTACTCGCCACCGCTGGCGAGCAGTCCCGGACCTCCTCCGGCCGATGTGCAATGCAGTGGCCGACGCATACCTGGCGCGCGGACAGCTCTCGCTCTCTCACCAGACTTTGTTCTTCACACTGGAGGAGATAGTGCAGAAGTCCTTCGCGTCCTTCTGGCGCTAGCCAGCTTCTCCCGAACTTTGTCCATTCGCAGCCCGTGGGCCGTCGTGACCACCATCCGTGCGACTATTCTGCCCAAGACCGGGTGTATGATATTGCGAACTATAGTCTTCTGCTTCTCTGTCGACGTTTATGCGCATCAGATATTGCGCGCGCTAAGCCCTCTATGGGCTAGCATTTGTACTCCCGTGCACATGCTCCCAACGGCTCAACGCAACCTGCATCCGAGTCTAAGCTTGCCCTCTGCTACTACCGACGCCGCGCGAGAGTCTTGAGGATGACGCCACTAGGAGGAATTTTACGACACTCCAATTCGAACGAACCATCGGCTTACCCGATGCGCTATGTATGCATACCTATGTATGATGGAGATACGTGCCAATACAATATTAAGAAAATATGGAGAAAAGAGATCGAAGAAAGAGAGGGTCCTAGTTCCGTCTACAAGGTATACGTATCACAACATACGCCGTCCGCCACAAGTCGCTTGTGGTGCTAAATGCAATATAGCGCAATCGCCCTGCGCATAAATAAATTCAGCCGCTTGCCTGCTCGTCATCTCCTCAACGTTCCGAACACATTGTGCACCAGCTTCCACCGCCCCTTCGCGGGCCGCGTCGTCGCAAGCTCAGGCGACCCCTCTTCTCGAGCTCCGGCCTGCCCCGCCTCGACGTCATGCCCACGAAGGACATCTCCATCGCTCACCGCCCTCCACATGCTCTCCGCCCCCACCCTGCTCCGCCTTCTCTCCGTCGGGACGAGCGAGAACCCCGGGCTCATCGGCGACAGTCCGATCGAAAACGCGGGCAGCGCTGGCGCGTTCGGCGCAAGCGGGCCCTGCACGCTGAGCGGCGCTGCGAGCGTGGTGCGTCGTCGCCGAGACGACGGCGAAGTCGGCACTGCGCCTTCGCCCCCATACGATGAGCGAGAACGGCGAAGCGAGTTGGTAGGTAGCCGGCGTGGTCGTGCCGGAAAGGTGGTGAAGATGGGGGAGGAGACATGGGCCGGGGCGACGGGTGAAGGGGGCTGTGCGATGACTTCGACTTCTCGCGGAACGCGGTCCATGCCGATGGCTTCGCCGAATGAGCTGCTTGGCACGGTCATAGCGCGCGAGCGACGACGCAGTGGTTCGTCATCGTTCTCCTCGTCCTCGCTCTCATTCTGTAGCGTGGACTCGTCTGCGCTAATGTCAGAACGATCGTCGCGGTCGTCCTCGGCCCAGGCGCCGATACCTATGCTGTAGCCGCCAGTAGGCGGGAAGCTGACGATCCAAACGCCTGCGAGCAGGATCAAGATTCCAAGCAGGACGAGCAGAAGCTGCATGGTGGACAGGAGGGAGAATTGATCGAAATACACGAGACCATTGAAGATGGACGAGAGATTGTACAAGCAGAATGCCACTATGCAAGCACGACGATCAGCAAGTGGAACACCCAACACCGGAAGTCAGCGGACGCACGTGGACATATGACAGTTGGGTCTGCCAGAATCAGGCTCTTGTGCATGTACCATAGCTGCAGGAGAGCACAGACTCCCAAACTGAGTAAGAGAGCCCAGGCTTGCCATCTCCAGAACTGGTTGTCTCCGCCAATAGTGAGCATCAGGAGCTCTACTCCGCTCTTCGCGAACAGGAGGCACATGCCAGAGATGATTCCTGAGAATGATGCATAGGAGGCAGCCATAAAGAGAGGTGTCCGTGTGGATTGGGTCTTTAAGGAGATAACATTGGAGAGAATGGAACGGCTGGACGAGCTGCCTGAGGGAGACGGGGACTTTGAGCGGTCATCGAAACGTGGATGAGGCTTGCGGTCGAGGAGAGGTGTCCGTTCGCTGGGGTCGGCGACGAATGAATCCGTCATTGCGGTCGTCAGGATAGATGGTTGAGTGTTCGATGCAAGGAGGGGAGACAGTGGTGGCGAGACACTAGGCAATGAGATGCGTCGCTTATAGGAATACTCAATGATGTGAGTCTGCGTTGCCATGTCAGTGGAAGCCCGTAGGAGAAAAGTACACAGGCGACTGACGATGGCGAGAGAGACTATCGTTGTCAGGCCTAGGAGAGAAAAATATACAATAAACAGGGGGCGATTGAACAGCTCCAGTAGATCTTCAAGAGAGTGGGTTGGTTCAGGTACAATGCCGAAGATGGCGATGAGGACGGCACCGCCGGCGATGAGCAGCGTCCCGATGAGCATCCACACGGAGAACACGTCTCCTAAGAGGATGCGGGCGAAGAAGGCATTCCAAAGAAGTGACACGGCGCCCAGTGGCGCAAGAATCACGACGGGGAGGGAGGCAATCTGAAAGACGGAGCCAAAGAGGTTTGATGAGATGAATATTGCTGTGCATCGTGATTAGCACGCGGACGCAGATGTCCATTAGAACCTTACGAACCAAAGCCTAACAGCCATAGACTGCATCCTCATGAGTAATGAAACCGTTGTAGAGACGACACGCAGTGCACTCACGGCCTGCGGCGTTCCACCTTCTGCTGTTCCTCCGGCAGCGATTGGTTTATGACATGGCTCTTGCGCTGGATAGTGAGACCTAAGGATTGTACAAATGAAGCAAGTAGGCCGACTGTAATGCCAATAGGGATAGAGATTGCCTCGCCGTCGAGGTCGCCGGCCATGAAAGGCATGAACATGTGGAACGAGCGCGACATGCTAAGCAGCCTTGATTTCCTCTTTCGGATGTGTGGCCTTCCAGCACGTGCTCTCCGTATCGAAGGCGCGTCGTGCATTGCGCAGTCGCGCTGAGCCATTTCGACTTTTTTTGGATAAATCGAAAGTACAAAACTTGCTTTAATGCCACCTATCTCCTTGCGCGTCCTTCTAGAAGAACCATTCGGTCCTTACATGGACTCTGATGTCCTCACGGAGGCCTGCAAGAGTGTGCCGAAGAGTGTCCTATGCCTGGATCTCCTCATGCTGGAATGCAGAGGGAAGCCTATAGGGTTAGTACTCAAAGCCACTGTGTGTCAAGATCCTATCTCATTGTAGTCTGATCCATCATTCGAAACAGGCTCACGCAATGCGAGTTGTCCCAACCAGAATTTGACAAGGAACGCGTTACTGGCAATGACGCTGTTCGTTTCCGAGGAACACTCAGGATATCGCAACTGCGCTGGTTGACTGCAAAGGCCATCAAACAACTGAACAATGACATCCGCAATCGCGACGTCTCACTGCATCTGAATGAACGAAGTAGTAGACTGCCAGACAAATCGCCGACTCTTGAAGATATCTACGCCAATGCCTCAGGATTCAAGATCAAGATAGTCATTCAAGGTGTCAAAAACATGTCTGCTGTGTACCTCATGAGTATGTGGAATCTGAAAGTCTCGGTGTTCTACCATTACAGTGCTAAATGGGGCTACTGGACTTAGATAAGATGGTGCCAAACGGCTTGTACATGAAGAGTAAGAATAGGTAGGTGAAAGGGTTGAACAGTCATCTGCTTTTTTAAGGCTTCTTCCCATTGAGGAACCGAGACTACGAAGTGAGATCCATGGAGGCCATCACCTATCACCATAGTCGCAAGGTGCGCATAATACCTCCTCTCTCCAATTCAATATTCTGATATGTATTAGTATCTTGCGAGATACCGTGCTCTTCATGTGCTCGAAGAACTCATCAAAATCGACCGATCTTTGGCTTCCTCCGGCGGTGACAGTCCTGCATCACCATTTGAGCGTTTAACACCGGAATGGTTCTGCGCACTCTACAAAGAGCACATGGCTAAATCCGCCCCACCACGCGTCCGGCGCAAAGTCTACGATTCAGACGACAGTGACATAGAGCCTGACACGGGCGGGCGCATGAAGGCTGGCCGGGAGCATGTTCTGCGGCATGTTCCTGAAGCAGAGATATATTCTTTGCTTGCAGCACACGCGGAATGGATCTTGGACCAAGAAAAGCAGAGAATGAGGAAAACACTTGATATAGAGGTGTGGACGGCATGGGTGCGGAAAGCGCGCGGAGCGAGACTGGCTGCTCAAAAAGAAGGCGTCAGATGGGGCAAGTGGGACGATGTGGATCGAGACGACGGTTCCGATGGTGATGCTTATGATGAAGTACCTCCGGAGAGGCTTCCACAGCGGCGAAAGACCAAGCCGAAGGTATGTGGCTGCATCATACTGCAACACCATTTGACTTACTCAACGCACCTCGCAGTCTGGCTTATCAAGCCGACGACAGGGCAATTTGACAGCTGCAGGTTCGCACCCACAGGTTCCCCTTGGCAATGAGGGAGTCGATGTAGAAAATCTTGATGCCAGCACTCTCGTCCACTACGACTCCGACTTCTCTCCGCCGTCAACACCTCCCGCATCCCCCTCCAGCTCAGAAGCCTCCCTGCCCTCCCGGTCCAGTACACCGTACAATCCAGAGATCATTGCCCTTATCCCTGCTGCCCTCTATCACCGGCCCATGCTCCCGTCAACTGACTTCACTTGGATTTGCCCAATCGACGACTGCTACTACGAGATCCAACTTCTGGATCTGACGGACGAGAACTGCAAAGGGCTGGTCGCCGACGATACGAGACGACTGAAGACTCACAAATGGCACCTTCGTGAAGAATGGGTGCAAAGCTGCTTCTATCGGATGGTCTCCGTACATTTTGAGGAACATCTGACAAATCTGGGCATTACCATGATTAGAGAGAATAACATGGTGCGTCTCGACGTCGTGTGTGGTGGGGCAGATATCTCATGAGAGACACAGCCGAAGTTCGTATGGATGAATCCAGCACGTCATAAGCCCTGGCCGCCTAGCCAAAGGCAGTCAACAGTGAAACAGGAAGAGGAGAACTGACTGTATAACAGTTTGTCTAACGAGGAACGCTTATCACCGAGGCAGTGGGTCCGGTATATTGACATAGAACCTTCCGAAGCTGTCCGGGTCAAACGCACATCACGCATTGCGCTCATTGCAGCAAAGAAGGTGGGACACTCTTAGCACGCAGCAGAGGACACAGAGGGAGAGAATATGTATTGGTATTACAGAGACAGTACAATGATGATTGCTAAAGATACAATGCCACATGCTTTTGGATTCATGAATGTCCGACTCCAAAGAAATTACTACACTACAAGGTGCACGCGCTCGTCGCTCAGTCCATCTCCTCGATCTCGACGTCGCCGTCGATATCCTCGTAGTCGACATCCATATTGTCTCCGCTACCCTCGTGGTTCGGAATGATCGCCAACCGGTTGTGCGGGCCGTCAAACTTCACCCGAATCGTCTCGCCGTCGCGGATGCGATCGGAGAGGATCAGGACGGAAAGTGGATTGAGCAGCTCTTGTTGAATTGCACGGTTGAGTGGCCGCGCACCGTATGTTGGTGAGTAGCCGATCGACATGAGGTACTGCTTTGCCGCGAGCTCGACGTCCAAGACCATCTTCTTATCAGCCAGACGCTCCTGGACCTCCTTGAGACGGATGTCAACGATCTTGAGGATGCTTTTCTGTGATAGTGTGCGCTGCAAAAAAGACACAAGTCAGAATACATATCGACATTGACGCTATGAGGTGACACTTACGAAGATGACGATCTCGTCGATACGGTTGATGAACTCGGGCGGGAAGTGCGCCCGAATGGCGCCCATGACGAGCTCCCTTGTCTCCGGCTTGACAGCACCTTCACCCATATCGTTGAGGAAGACAGCTCCGAGGTTACTTGTCATGATGATGACCGTATTCCTGAAGTCGACAACACGACCCTGGCCATCCGTGAGACGACCATCATCGAGCACCTGCAGGAAGAGCGTGCAGAACTCTCGAGATGCCTTCTCAATCTCGTCGATGAGGATGATCGAGTACGGCTTGCGGCGGATGTACTCGGTGAGCTGACCACCTTGGTCGTGGCCGACGTAGCCCGGAGGAGCGCCAATGAGACGCGAGATTGAATGCTTCTCAGAGTACTCCGAAGCATCGATACGGATCATGGCGTCCGGCGAGTCGAATAGGAGCGTCGCGAGCTGCAGAATGAACCGTCAGTAAGAGTCATCGCACAACTCATTCCATTGAATGCTCACCGTCTTACTCAACAATGTCTTACCCGTACCCGAAGGGCCAGCCATGAGGAAGCTCGCAATTGGTCGCTGAGCATTTCCGAGACCACTCCTGCTGAGCCGGATCGCGTTCGCCACAGCCTTGACGGCTTCTGGCTGGCCCACGACCTGCTCGCTAAGGATCTTCTCCATCCTCAACAGCTTCTCCTTTTCCGTGCTCATCAACCGTGTCACAGGGATATTCGTCCACCTCGCGACAATCTCGGCGATCTGCTCTGGGGTTACTGTGTCACTACCAACGCCAGCCTTCGCGTCCTCCTCTGCCTTCTTCGCCTCCAGCTGCGCAAGCCGTTGTTGCAAGTCAGGCAGAGCATAATATCGCAGGTCAGAAGCAGTCGCGAGGTCGTACCGCCGCTCGGCCTCGTCCGCTTTCGCCTTGAGCTCATCCATCTTGCGCCGGACGCTGGCAATTTCGTCGCCACGCGACTTCTCGGCTTGGTACTGTGCGAGCAGAGGTTGCAACTGGTCTTCGACGTTCGCGATTGCCTTGCGCGCGATAGCAAGACGCTCCTTCGATGCTTCATCCTTCTCGCGTTCGAGTGCGTGAATTTCAACGTCGAGTTCGAGTTTCCGTCTCTGGAGCTTGTCGATCGCTTCAGGCGCTGTTTCACGCGTGACGCGAACACTAAATAAATTAAGTCAGTATCTGATCGAAAGAACACGGAAGCACGCGTGTACTGACCTTGCGCAAGCCTCGTCCACAAGATCAATAGCAGAGTCAGGCAATCTTCTCGACGTTAGGTAACGGTGCGCCAACGTGGCAGCTTGGATCAACGCGCCATCGAGTATCCGTACACCGTGATGTACTTCGTACTTATCGCGGATACCACGCAAGATGCTGATCGTTTCCGGAACGGTCGGTTCGTTCACGAGCACCTGCGCAAACCGACGCTCGAGGGCAGCATCGGTCTCGATGTATTTCCTATACTCCGCAAGCGTTGTCGCACCGATGCATCGCAGCTTGCCACGCGCAAGAAGAGGTTTGAAGAGGTTTGCGGCATCCATGCCACCGCCTTCGGCGCCGCGGCCAGCCATGATGAGGTGCAGCTCGTCGATGAAAAGAATGACGCCGGGGCCTTCCTCAGCGGCCTTCTCGACCTCGTTAAGGACCGACTTGATACGCTCCTCGTATTCACCCTTGTACTTCGCACCAGCCATGAGCGCACCCATGTCGAGCGAGTACAAGCGACAGAGTAAGGAAGCTGGGACATCGCGGTTGATGATACGCTGCGCGAGGCCTTCTGCAATGGCGGACTTTCCGACACCGGGCTCACCCAGTAGAATCGGGTTATTCTTTGTCCTGTAGGTGTAGCATTAGCACATTGGCATTCCAACACTTGCAATTGAGGAAGCACGTGCAACTTACCGTCTGCAGAGAATACGAATGACTCTCCGAATTTCATTGTCACGGCCAATGACAGGATCGAGCTTGCCCTCCTCTGCCAGTGCGGTAAGATCGACTGCGTATTTGTTCAACGCGTCGAAGCCCTCCTCGGCGTTCTTGGTGTCAACTCGCCTATTGCCCCGCAATTGGTCGATTGCGGTCTTAAGAGCAGCCTCAGTGAGGCCGGCCTCTTTCAGCACAGGTTCTATTGACGTATCCTTGATAAGTGCAGCAAGGATGTGGTCCTGGGCAATGTAGGAATCGTGCATCGTTTTCCGCAAGTTCTCAGCCTCCCTGAGCACTTTGAGCGCGGCGGAACTAAAAGAGATCTCATCCGGCGGTGGCGACTGAGTGGGTATCCGGACGATGAGCTTCTGCAAACCACGCTTGACCGTCGTCTGAAAACGGCTTGTTAGAACAACGATACTTAGTTGCTGGCGAGAACATGCTTACCGAGTCGCCGCCCGCCTTCTCAATGACATTGTGAAACAACGAAGCGCCATGAGCTTGGGTCAAACCTCCTGGTGCGGCCGGCTCTCCTGCGCTTTCGTTCAGGAGCGCAGACGCAATGTGCGCGGGGTAGACTGTAGATAAAATAGTCAGCGTATGCGCCATTAATTCCCAAAACTAAGTAGAGTTACCTTGAGCGTTAGCATAGTCCTTCGCGAGCTGGATTGCCGCGGCCAGCGACTCTTGAGTCTTGTCGGTGAAGTTCATGCTCGAAGCCATGGTCGCAGACAAAAACGGTGATTAGGGGGATAAAAGGGAGAGAGAATGGTGGGTGTAAAATTAATTGAAAGCTTAACGAGGGGCAGGAGGAGCGGATGAGTGTTTTATAGCTGGTCCGCGTACGATATTGTTGTCGCTGCTGGTCTCGTCTCATCGACTCTCCGCCGTTCCCGAACGTTCTAACACAAGCCATACATGGTCATGATGTCACACCATGTCACTCTCGCTCTCCCGTTCTGGACGCAGCCCAAGCCTCGGCACCGCCCGGCAGGTTCGGCGCGTTCCCACGGGCCTCCGCCCTGTGGCGGGCGTCACGGTCACCGCGCCGCGCCGCCGCCGTCATTCACAACGCTATGCTCGCCCGACGCTTCCCTCGCCTCAGCCGCCCTCTTGCCCGCCTCGCATCCTCATCACCCCAGACCCCTGCGCCCGCACAAGAAGCACCGTCGAAGGAGGTTGTCGAGCCTCAGGCTCCGAACTACCCGACAACATGGTCCACTAGCCAGCGGCCACGCCCTCAAGCCCAATCTGGTCCCCGCTTCGAGCAGACCATCATGGAGCTCCAACCGAACCCTCTGAGTGCAATGGATATGATTAGCAAGGAGCCTATCCGCGTTGTGCATGGCCGCAAGGCTGTCTGTGATGGTGGTATGTGCCTGTCTTCATGCCATTATGCGAATGAGATCTCATTAAATCTATGCACAATAGGGATAGGTCCTCTCGGTCACCCGAAGATTTTCATTAACTTGGTGCGTTAAGTCGCTTATGTCTCGTCAGGCGTCCTAACACTCGAGGCAGGACAAAGCAGGTCCTCAACCGTGCGGGTGAGTTTCACATATATTCACAGGAGCGCAGGAGCACTCACATCCAGGGTGCACTGTTTCTTCGTATTCGTCACATAATCCGACCGAAATGCAGATATTGGTGCGTTATCTCAATCTCATTACTGAGACTTGGCAACTGAGGATGATGTAGTGGTTTGCGCTTTGAGCAAATACCTCATCATGGGCACGAACACTGAACAGACCGATGTATATTCATGTCCGCGGTATAGATTAGCTATTAAGGACCTGTCTTCGAGAGCTTAAAACAAGATCTTGTGATTGTCTTGTTCTGACTTTGCATGAAGTCCTTAGCCTCGAATCGTCACACAATGACTTCGTCTGGCGAATGCGATATCAACAGATTTCGCCCTCATTTATGGATAGTACGTCTCTTATGCCACAGTTTGGAGCCGATGAGGTGCGTGCACAGGCATTTCGTATATCGCTTGATTTCGTCGAAAGAGTCACTTAGATTCAATCATTGAGCTCAGTTCAAAGTCCATCTGTGCAATTTATATTTGATCGCATCTTTGTGTTGCTGGCTGGCGACAAGCTCTTGCTACCGCTCGCCGTTCGATGTGCTTCGCATACGCCCATACCTCGATCGAGGCCTTGAATTCGTGCAGAACTGAGGTGCCGATGAACACCAACTGGATGGACTTCAAAGTTCAGACATCTATCGCCATGCACGCGGAACCTGTATGGTCGATATTGCTCGGCGATTGAGCAGTCAGATCCTTTTGAATGCTTTGTTATCTGCTGGTGCAACGATACGGAGAGTGCACTAAGATTGCAGCACGGTTTAACAAGCATGTGAATTTACTCTGGTGAGGCATTGTTGAAGTCGAGAACTACGGCTTGTTCGCCACTGATTCATCGGAAAAGATGCAGGATATATAAATCAAGATTGTCTTGACTGAAAAACCGTCGACAAAAACAGTTTCTGCAGCCAAGCAGAGGATCCAGTTGAAACCATCGAGCCAGACATATATGGATCACGTCGGCGGTGAATGCTTCTTCACATCGGATTCTTGCTAGAAGCACACCGCGACACGTTCGACGCAGCAGCGGCAAGCCAACAAGTCGCTCGGGCTCCATGGTGACCGAGCACCGAGCGGCGGCCCGCCTCCCGCCACCTTCCGCCAAGCCCAAGGTCCCATAGTTATTGATGGCGACCCCCGGGAGCCTCAGATTTGGACAAAATGGATCGATTTTAGCTTCACTTCTCCGCGTCCCAGAATCCGGACAGTGTGTCTGCAGCTGGGTGGAGGCCTGGTGTGTGTCCGGACATTCTAAATCTGGTTTAATGCATACAATTGTCGGTGCTGTTATTGGGAATATATCATCCTGTGTCTAATACACAAGATACTAAATGTTGTGCATGCAGTTCTGAGCATTGTGCAAGTGCAAGAGCATTGCTGATTTTTGGAAGCCCCCCATTCGAACTGCCAATTTCGATAGCGCGCGTGCATCCCTGCCTTCTCGGGAGACAAGCGGAGTTTTAAACCGCAGCTGGCAACACAAAGCGGAGTGTCGGAGGTTGAACTGTAGCAAATGGTGTCGGAGTTCCGCGCATTTCTCCCGAAATCGAGATCGGGGGTAATGCGGGGTCCTTTCTCGACCCGAAGCGTGATCGCGATACCAATGCTTGGCCGCCGTAGGATTGTTTGGACTCCGAATATGCAATGCTGTTATGAAGTTTCATCATTGTCTTAAAACGTTCGGCCGCTTTATCATAGCGATAACGATCGTCCTCATTCCGAAATTCAAATGACCACCGATATCATTTATCCTCTTCTTCCATGCATGCGCAAGCTAAGCCAATTGGCGGGTGATCAGTACGGTCCGATAGACGCAGCTTGATGGCGAGGCTCACCACATCCATCCGCTGCGGTATCAGCCAGAAAGCACAGAATGATCATATGAATCAGTGTATACATAAATTTCACTTGGCCAGAGTCCGTGCAGCCATGAACTGGCCTATAGATGCGAGTCCAATCCCCTTTTTTGCACAACCACCTGGAGTGGGTAATAATACATCGGAGTCTATGGTAAAAACTGCAGGGTGAGCGCAAAGATGTGTATGAATAGCGGACAAACAATATAGTACGCGTGCGAATGGAAGGAGAGGGAGAAGACGAGGGGAAAACGTCAACCGGATTTGTACATGCACAGCTATAAACGTGACTGAACGCAACCTCCTGGGTCCGCCAAAGTGATAATGCAAGGACACTCCGATGCACAGTGATAGAGAGGGGGATGAATGCTGGCGTTAGGATGACGATGACAGGGAGAGACGGAGATGGCAGCGATAGAAATAACTTGGGCGAGCATGTCGACACTACCTTGAGATGAGAGCAAGAACGAGAACCGATGGTCTTAAATAGAAACCAAAGAATGTGTTGATCCCTATGAGGGACGTTGGATGTGAGTGGAACAGTTGTAAGTCAGATCTCGTCGTTGCTCATCTCGTCAGGCGATGTGAACGACATCGGTGACAGCGGAGGGTATTCTCCGTCTGCAACTGCCTCCAATTGCGAGAAAGGTGGTAATGAACCCGGTCTGTCCAAGCGCTGTAATGGCGGCTACTGAATGCGTTAGTCAGGACGTGTGGTAGAAAAAGACCCGTACTTACAACTTTGAACATCGGATTAATAGCAGACTTCGGAGCGACACCAGGACTGGGTGGTCGCCCATATGACTGCCCACCCGGTAGCACTGGATGTCGAACTGACGGGTGCAGAGATAACGACATCCTATCTTGCAGCCGAGACAATGTGCTGGTGCTGTCCAACGTGCTGGCATTTGACGACAGATCGCAACTTTGCTGCCAAGGCGGCGACGACAGCGAGAGCATATGCATAGGAGGCGGTGGCGGCGATGACGTTCCATCCGACAAGGAAGAACTGTCCACGGACGCGCGTATATGGAACTCGTTGACAAGCTGCTGCTCCAGAGACAACGACGCAGACGAACGACCAGGCAGGGAGTACTCGTCCATACAAGTCCGTAGTGAGTTCAAGGATGTCATTCGACCCACACGGTCACCACCACTGCAAACACTGCTGCTCATTCGATGCCGTGATCGCGCAGGACCTGGATCACTGTCAACCGTGGCAAACGAGATGACAGACATCCCGCTCGGCAGATCCGTCGACGACATCGAGTGATCATCATCAAACTCTCTCCGCCGGGCCTTCGAGACCCGCTCGTCTCTCCGCCAGTCGGCGCGCGCGCTCGAGCCCTCGCTCGGACTGTAAACGCTCCCTGAAGCTTTGGCGGTCTTAGAACTCATACCATGGCTCTGTGACTGCCTGATGGGACCCATGGCCATCGGCTGCTTGCCCTTATCCCGGAACGCAGGCGGTGCGCCGATCTGGGAGTTCTGCGCCGACAGCCACTGCCAGTCGAGGACCGCCGCCTCGTGAGTGAGAGCAAGCTTCTGCTTCTCCATGACCGCGCGAGCTTGATCGCGATGCTTTTTGCGCGCATGCTCACGACGCTGCTTCTCCGCTTCACGGACGATGCGCTCGGCCTCCTTCTTCCTCGTCTTCGCGTCCATGATCGTGTTCGTCGGAGCCTCACTAATCGGCGACAACTCTGACAGCGAACGGCTGTCCGTGCTGGAGGTTTGGGTTCGCTTGAGAGATGGCGTCGAGTTTGCGGAAGAGACGTTGACCTCCTGGACAGGTGGTAATGTATGCGAGCTCTTGTCTCCATGCCCAAACATTCCGAGGCCCCACTTGCTGTGCTTCTTGCCAAAGCCAAACGGAAGCTTCGCCAACTTGTGCCCGTGAGAGTGATGGGCATCGTGCGCGTCTGCATGTGAATGATCCTGAATGGGCTCCGGCTGCACGGGGCGGGAAGGATACTCGCGCGCCATTGGCGAGGTCTGAATCTCCGTCGACTGATTGTCGGCAACAATGTATTGCTCTGGGACCTCCACGTGCGGCGACACATCCATCGCATCCCAATCCGACTGACCGCTCCCCGCATATAGCGAGTGCGTGACACGGTCAGCTCCAGTGATCGAGTACACCGAAGAGGCATATGCAGAGTCCGCGATCTGTGGAGAAACACCCACAACACGTATGGGGTTGAGCGGCTCGCCGCCGTAATCAGAGGTCCTGCTTGATGTATCGGAGATTGCCCGTGGCCGTGCCGAGGAAGTATCGTAGAAAGACGACCGATGTGAGGAAGAGGCATCGGGTATATGCGCATTGACCGGGGGTGCTGATGGTTGAAATTCCGGCTTCTGGCTGACAGATGTGTAGGAGTGTGATGGCGGGAGATGACGAGGAGCAATGGATTGTAGAGAGGTGCTCCAAACGGACCCATTCCGTAATGACTGTTTTGTCGAAACGGGCTGGACAGTTCCTGACGTCTGAGATGCCTGAGCAGATGGTTTCGGTGGATTGTTAAGCGGAGCAAACTTCCGCAAGTACGGATGCTCAAGACATTGCCGGCTAGTAAGCCGGGCGTCGGGATCATACTTGAGAAGATCTGCAATGCATTCGACCAGCTCAACGGGGACTGAACGATCGAAGAGAGCGTAGAAATTCTGCGGTTCCATCTGGAAACAGTTAGCATATGCTGTCATGAAGCGACTTCTTGCAGTCACGAACCTTTCGGAACTCAAAGCCGACCCCCCGTGCCATTTTCACGCCTCTTGACCACCTCCCGCCTCCGATAGGTTTTCCTCGCTCATCTGGGCCATAGTCCTGACAGGGATCTCCGAGTAGCTCGCAGATACGCATGAGCTGCTCCAGCTCGTTCTGCCCGGGGAACAGTGGTCTAAGATTTACAAGCTCGGCCATGATGGTGCCGAGCGCCCACATATCCACAGGATTCGAGTAATCCCTGCTCTTGAGCAGTACCTCCGGAGCACGATACCACCGGGTAGAGACGTATTCAGTGTATGGAGGTTTGCTTTTGGTCTCCCGCGCGAGACCGAAGTCGGCGAGCTTCACGATGGCGACCACGTCACGTTCAACCGGAACGTTTGGTGAAGCAATGGATGATAGCGCGCGGTAGTCATACAGTCCCGTGGTCGTGACGAGCAGGTTCTCTGGCTTCATATCACGGTGGAAGTAGCCGTGTGAGTGTATGTGGTGAAGCCCCGACACGACCTGCTGGAAGATGGAGCAAACGAGTCCTCCTGCCAGCGGCTTGCCTCTGCGAGCCTTGATGAGCTGGTATAGATTTCCCTCCATGGACTCGAAGACGAAGTAGAGCTCCTTCGTCGTGGGCAGGAGAAAGAAGTCGTATAGAGGGATTATATTCTCATGGTATGGTATCGCCCGCAGAGACTGCCGTTGGATAGGATACGGTCAGACATTGACCGGTACGCGACGAGCAATCACGCACCTCGAGCTCCTTGAGCTTCTTGCACTCGTCCCATCCGCCCTCCCATCTCTTCTTCATCCGCTTGACTGCGACGAGTCGCTTTCGCGCGTATTCCGGCCTTGCACCGGCACCGCACTGCATGGCGGACATGGGTGTATTGGGCGGTAGCGTCCCATGCCAATCGCAGAGCCACACGGTGCCGAATGAACCATCACCGACCATCTTGAGCGGGGTGTAGGATCGCGTGGACGCTATGACGCGTGAACACGGGCTGGTTAGCAGGCAAGGAAGGACAAAAGATGCGCATAATAGCTGAGTGGGTACTGACTGCTTTGGGCATCGCCAACGATGAGGCGATTGTCCTGGATGGAGACGGACGGGGTAGCAAGTACAGT